GCCTCGACCTCCCTCGCCGCGCCTGCTTCGCCGATTCCTCACCTCTTTTGCCATCCACCGCCGCAACTGCCGCCGCGGACACGGTTTCGGGGGACGCCGCGAGCGGCGCCGCAGCCGGTGAATCTGCCGAGCCGCCGTCGCGGGAAGCGGCGAGGTGGACGAATCCCGAGGCGAGGAGCATTGCGTGGGAGCTGTACGGCCCGTGCCGCGACTGGGAATGCCTCATGGAGCAGGAAGACCAGGCAGAACGCGCCTGGCGCGGGGATGAGGATGCAGCTGCCGGTGCCAGTGCCGGTGGCGTTGGCGGTGGCGGTGGCGGTGGCGGGGTTGTGGGTACGGGAGATGCAAAAGGGGAGGGGACGGTGGGCGGGGTGGAAGGCGGGGAGGCGGAGGGTTTGGAGATCGGACGGCTGGGATTGCCTGCTGCTGTGCGCGGGTGTTTGGTGTCGTGCTTTAACCTGTCTAAGGCCAGGGAGAGCGGTGCTCGTGGGGCATACGGGGGATACGGTGGTTTTGCGGAGGGTTCAGGGTTGTATGCACAGGCAGTGCCGTCAGCACCAGAAGGGGCAGCAACAGCAGCAGGAGAAGCAGCAGCAGGGGCAGCAACAGGGGCAACAGCAGCAGCAGGGGCAGCAGCAGCAGGGGCGTGGGGGATGGAAGCTGTGTTGGCAGTGAAACCACCAGGAGGCATCCGAGTAGGGGTGGACATCGGAGGGGGCACGGGGAATTTCGCTGCACTCATGGCAGACCGAGGCGTTACGGTGGTTACCACCGCATCCAACCACGGCGCCCCTGTAATGGAAGTACTAGCACACAGAGCCCTCCCAGCACTCCACCTCCCTCCCACCGCCCGCTTGCCCTTATCGGACTCTTCGTTAGATTTGATTCACTGTGCGTTTTGGCCGGCGATGCTTGCGCATCCGCCTGCCCTGGAGTCCGTTCTGTATGATTGGGACCGAGTGCTTCGCCCTGGGGGCCTGGTGTGGCTGGAACTGGTGCCGTTTTCTCGGCCGTTGATCCGGAAGATCCTGGCCGTTGCTGAGGTGGCGCAGTGGAAGAAGCTGAAGTGGGCGAAGGTGGCGGGTGGTGGGGGGAGTGGAGGAGGGGTTGGTGATCGTGGGGTATGGTTGCTGAATGTGTTGTTTGAGAAGCCCATGAAGAGAGTACAGGAGGAGAGGAGAGCAATTGCTGTTATGAGTTGAAGTACAGGTTGAATGGATTTACTCTGTGGCTTGTGTTGTGCACAGAGGATGCCTAGCGGCATGTGATGCCTGGGAAATATCCGCGTCTGATGCATTACCTGGTAGCTTGCGATTCCCTGCTTTGTTTTTTGTGCTTTTGTAGCCAAGCTTCATGTTAGGCAATAAGTGAATAATGAGCTAGCTATATTCGGCAATCGTATTTACCGGTATGTGCAAATGTAAGCACAATTTCGAAAACCGTTGCACCGACATTTTTTTCCCAGTAGCATCGTGTCGTGTGCGGTCAGCTTGTTCTGAACCGAACTACACATGCCCGTTTGACTAACTCAAGGTTGCCTTGTGAAGAGGGCTCTTAAAGCCCAAGACCTGAATTACAAAAAAGGGAAGGCAAACTGTGCACAGTTTGCCTCCCGAGCCCACAGTTTTTCTCCCGAGCCTCTCCAGTTACCAGATGACTTCCCGCAGAAAAACAGTGAGTCGTAGAGCAGCACAGGTTCGGTTGGCGAGAGCCCCAACCACTCCCTCCACAAGAGATAACGGCTGCGGCTGTGCACAGTTTGATTTTTTTGTAATTCAGGTCGTATGGTACGAGGAACTCCCAGTTTACCAGCAGAGGTAGAACAGAAAGCCAATAGAGCTGTAGCTTAGTTCACAAAAAAATCTAGATTCTGTGCGATGGCCCCGCCTTTTACTCTGCATCGTCGTCGAACCCCTGCGCGACCGCGCAAAACGCCAGTTTGCCGCATGCATCACCTTCCTCTCCATGGTAGTCAACTACCCGCCGCCCTGCAGTGACTTCCTGTCCTGCTTGCCGTCATGACCCCATTCCGACGCCCTCAGCTCCAGTTGTAGGGCGCATTCGCCCTACGTTTCCGTCCGCCCTTTTCCCCTCCCATCGCTTCCTCGTCGACGTCGTCGTGTCCCACAACGGCGGCACTTTTATGTCCCCGATCGCTTCCCCTCACCGTCGCCCACGCTTCCCCCCACCGTCGCCCACGCTTCCCCCCACCGTCCCCGATCGCTTCCCCCACCGTCGCCCACGCTTCCCCCCACCGTCGCCCACGCTTCCCCCCACCGTCGCCCACGCTTCCCCCCACCGTCGCCCACGCTTCCGCCCACCGTCGCCCACGCTTCCTCCCACTGTCCCTCACACTTCACCCCACCGTCGCCCACGCTTCCCCCCACCGTCGCCCACGCTTCCCCCCACCGTCGCCCACGCTTCCCCCCACCGTCGCCCACTCTTCCCCCCACCGTCGCCCACTCTTCCCCCCACCGCCGCCTACGCTTCCTCCCACCGTCGCCCACTCTTCCCCCCACCGTCGCCCACGCTTCCGCCCACCGTTGCCCACCCTCCCCCTCACTGTCATCCACGCTTCCCCTCACCGTCGCTCACGCTTCCCCATCATGTCGCTTACGCTCCCCCCCACCGTCGCTCATGCTTTCCCCCACCTTCCCCCACTCTTCCTTTCTCATCACCTACGCTTCCTCCCACCGTCGCCCTCGCTTCCTCCCACTCTCCCTTACACTCCCTCCCACAGTCACCCACGCTTCCCCCCACCGTCCCCCACGCTTCCCCCCACCGTCGCCCACGCTTCCCCCCACCGTCGCCCACGCTTCCCCCCACCGTCGCCCACGCTTCCCCCCACCGTCGCCCACGCTTCCGCCCACCATCGCCCACGCTTCCTCCCACTGTCCCTCACACTTCACCCCGCCGTTGCCCACGCTTCCCCTCACCGTCGCCCACGCTTCCGCCCACCGTCGCCCACGCTTCCCCCCACCGTCGCCCACGCTTCCCCCCACCGTCGCCCACGCTTCCCCCCACCGTCGCCCACGCTTCCGCCCACCATCGCCCACGCTTCCTCCCACTGTCCCTCACACTTCACCCCGCCGTTGCCCACGCTTCCCCTCACCGTCGCCCACGCTTCCGCCCACCGTCGCCCACGCTTCCCCCACCGTCGCCCACGCTTCCTCCCACTGTCGCTCACACTTCACCCCGCCGTTGCCCACGCTTCCCCCCACCGTCGCCCACGCTTCCCCGCACCGTCGCCCACGCTTCCCCCCACCGTCGCCCACGCTTCCGCCCACCGTCGCTTACACTCCCCCCCACCGTCGCTCACGCTTCCCCCCACCTTCCCCCACTCTTCCTTTCTCATCGCCTACGCTTCCTCCCACCGTCGCCCTCGCTTCCTCCCACTCTCCCTTACACTCCCTCCCACAGTCACCCACGCTTCCCCCCACCCTTGCACCCTTCTTTCCTTCTCTCTGACTCTCCCTTCCCCACTGCCTGGGTGTGCGAGGCGAGGAGCATGCTCCGCGGTGCACACGTCCTGCCCCTCACGCTGTGCCCCACACAACCCTATGGCAGCACAGCAAGCTTGAACCAGCCTCCTCCTCTCTCTTTCACCAACCCCGCTCGCATGGCAGGTGCTGCTGCAGCATTGGAGGAGAATGCTGGGCGCACAGCCGGGGCAGCGCGTGCAGGCGGGAAGTGAGGAGCGCTGTGCACAAAGGGAAGGGGGGGGGGGGGCAGGGGAGTGGGGGAGGCGTGGCAGGGGAGTGGGGGAGGCGTGGCAGGGGAGTGGGGGAGGCGTGGCAGGGGAGTGGGGGAGGCGTGGCAGGGGAGTGGGGGAGGCGGGGCAGGGGAGTGGGGGAGGCGGGGCAGGGGAGTGGGGGAGGCGGGGCAGGGGAGTGGGGGAGGCGGGGCAGGGGAGTGGGGGAGGCGGGGCAGGGGAGTGGGGGAGGCGGGGCAGGGGAGTGGGGGTGGCGGGGGCAGGAAGCCGTCCCGACTTCCTCTCTCGTCCGCTAATTCGCCTTCTCCTGTCCGCCCTTCCACTCTCCATTCCTCCCTCCTCTCTTTCTCTCTCTTTCCCTCCACTTCTCCCGTCCGCCCCTCCTCCCAGTCTCCCTCCTCCCTACCACTCTCTCACTCACTCTTTCTTTCAATTTTTGAGTCGACTCAAAAATCGACTTTCTCTCTCTTTCCCTCCACTTCTCCCGTCCGCCCCTCCTCCCAGTCTCCCTCCTCCCTACCACTCTCTCACCCACTCTTTCTTTCATCCTCGTGCCTCTCTTCCACCATGCCGACCTTCTTTTCAAACTGCCACCTTCCGAGCTTCCTATAGTCCGCCTTTCCGTCTCACCCACTTGTCCTATCCCTACTTGAATTGCTCACATCCTCTCATCCCCCCTTCTCCCCTTCCACCCTTCCACCCTCCAGCCCTTGCGCTCATCCTCCCTTCCTCTCATCCTCCCTTCACCTCATCCTCCCGATCTCTCATCCTCCCATCCTCCCTTTCTTCCTTCCCCCCTCCCTTTCTCTCTTCCGCCCTTCCTCCTTGTCTCCCTTGCTCATTTTCTCCCTCGGCGCATGCTTATTTTCCCTGCATCCCTCGCTGCCATCCTCCCTTCCTCTCAGCCTCCACACTTCCTCTCGTCAACCATTCCTCCGCACCCTTCTACCCTGCCACGCCTGTACACTCCTAACTTGTTTGTTTATTCTAGGGGCTTGTTTCTTGTTCCCTGCCTGCCCTTCTATTGGCATTGCTTTGTATCCTTCCCCGCTGCTTCAACTTTTGGCACAGAAGATTTTGTGGTTCGTGTTTGTGCAGGTCTGTCATGCATGAAGTTGTGATGTCTTTGCTGTTGGGTGATAGTGGTACAAATAGCGATGCCATGCCATGCCATGATGGTGGATGCTTTTCATGATACAATCATACAACACTCTGGGCTTTGGAGCAGCCATGCACATGACCACGACAAAGAAATGCAACAAAGCAAGTTATATTTTTATAAAAGTTGTCAACAGTGGATTATAGAGGCACAATGCACAAACCTAGGGGGTGGTAACTTTCCATCCCACTCCTGTTGGGACCCATGGTGCCGGGCACCTGTACAAGCATGGTTCTGTGATAGAATGGGGAGGGAAGAGGGGGTACGGCGAATGAGCGAGGGGTGGAGGTGGGAGGTACAAAGGGCATGTATGGGAGGAGTGGGGACAGGGCAGAAGGGTGAGCGAAGGGGAAAGAGAGTCAGTAGGGGGGAGAAGGGGGTGAGAAAAGGGGGAAATAGAGTGAGCAGGGAGGAGAAGGGGGTGAGCAAAGGGGAAAATAGAGTGAGCAGGGAGAAGGGGGTGAGAAAAGGGGGAAATAGAGTGAGCAGGGAGGAGAAGGGGGTGAGCAAAGGGGGAAATAGAGTGAGCAGGGAGGAGAAGGGGATGAGCAAAGGGGAAAATAGAGTGAGCAGGGAGGAGAAGGGGGTGAGCAAAGGGGGAAATAGAGTGAGCAGGGGGAGGGATTGTGGGGAAAAAGGGTTGAACGAAGGGGAATATAGAGTAAACAGGGGGGAAAGATAAGTGAGTCCAGGGGGAAAGAGAGAGAGCAGAGGGGGAGAGAGTGAGCAGGCGGAAAGAGAGCGAGCAGAGGGGGAGAGAGTGAGCAGGGGGAAAGAGAGAGAGCAGAGGGGGAGAGAGTGAGCAGGCGGAAAGAGAGCGAGCAGAGGGGGAGAGAGTGAGCAGGGGGAAAGAGAGAGAGCAGAGGGGGAGAGAGTGAGCAGGGGGAAAGAGAGAGAGCAGACGGGGGGAGAGTGAGCAGGGGGAAAGAGAGAGAGCAGAGGGGGGGAGAGTGAGCAGAGGGGAAAGAGAGTGAGCAGGGAGAAAGAGAGTGAGCAGAGGGGGAGAGAGTGAGCAGGGGGAAAGAGAGAGAGCAGAGGGGGAGAGAGTGAGCAGGGGGAAAGAGAGTGAGCAGAGGGGGAGAGAGTGAGCAGAGGGGAAAGAGAGTGAGCAAGGGGGGAGAGAGTAAGCAGGGGGAAATAGAGTGAGTAGAGGGGGAGAGAGAGAGCGTGGGAGTAAGGGAGTGAGCCGGGAAAAAGGTGGCGAGCAAAGGGGGAAAGAGAGCGAGAAGGGGGAAAATGGGTGAGAAAGAGGGAAAGTGGGGTGAGGACAGGGGGAGTGAGCAGGGGGAATGGGAGTGAACAGGAGAGAAGAGAGCGAAGGGGGGAGAAGAGAGTGCACGGGGGAGAAGAGAGTATGGGGGGGAGAGAGTGAGCAGTGAGCAGGAGGGAAGAGAGTGAGCAGGGGGGAAGAGAGTGAGCAGGGGGAGAGAGAGTGAGCAGGGGGGGAGAGAGTGAGCAGGGGGGAAAGAGTGAGCAGGGGGAAAGAGAGTGCACACGGGAGAAGAGAGTAAGGGGGGGGGGGGGGGGGAAGAGAGTGAGCAGTGAGCAGGGGGGAAGGGAGTGAGCAGGGGGGAGGAGAGTGAGCAGGGGGAAAGGGTTGAGTGAAGGGGGAAAGAGAGGGGTGAGAACAGGGGGAAAGGGAGTGTACAGGAGAGAAGAGAGTGAGGGTGGGGAAGAGAGTGAGCGGGGGGGAGAGCGTGAGCAGGAGAGAGTGAACGGCAATGGGAGGGGTAGTGAAGGCGACAGGCGGGAAGCGAGTGCGACTGGCGGGGAAGAGAAGGTGACGACGGGAGGGGAAGCGAGTGCGGCGGGCGGGGGAAGCGAGAGCGACGGGCGGGGGAAGCGAGTGCGACGGGCGGGGGAGGCGAGAGCGACGGGCGGGGGAAGCGAGTGCGACGGGCGGGGGAAGCGAGTGCGACGGGCGGGGGAAGCGAGTGCGACGGGCGGGGAAGCGAGTGCGACGGGCGGGGAAGCGAGTGTGACGGGCGGGGAAAGCGAGTGCGACGGGCGGGGGAAGGCGACGGGAGGGGGAAAATGAGCGCGACGGGTGGGGGAGAAGTGAAGGCGACGGCGGAGAGGAAGTGAAGGTGACGACGGGAGGGAAAGTGAGGCGACGGGGGAGGGGAAGTGAAGGCGACGGGGGAGGGGAAGTGAAGGCGACAGGCGTGGAAAGCGAAGGCGACGGGCGGGGCGAAGGCGACGGGCGGGGCGAAGGCGACGGGCTGAGGTCGCGAAGGCGACGAGCTGGGGAAGCGATGGCGAAAGAGATTGGAAGCGTGGGACCTAGGGAAAGGAGCGAGGGCGAGGAGAGGTTCACGCTTGGGCGAAGGGTCTCGCTACGATATTCGCCGCGAGTTTACGCATCAGTTGCACTCAAACCTGCATTTCGACACCAGCGGACACTATCTTTGCGCGTCATCGAAATCCGCGCCACACTCATTCGTAAGGCGCCTCTGATTCCCCGCTATGTCTACAGGTATGCTCTATGCCTAGTTATCTGCGTGCTATCTCAAACTGTGCACAGTTTGGGATGGACGCCCTTTTCTGGTCGTTGTGGGAAGGACCACCCATCACTCATATTCTTGTGCGCGAGAAACTTTTGTCGCAAATTGGTTTCGCGAGCGAAAGTGCTTCGCACCCCAACCGAACCTCCGTGTCCCTCCCTTCCGAACCTAATTTTTTCCGTTGACTTCCGTTGAGTAATTCAGGTCTTGGGCTTTAAGTGATTCTTGCTTTCGCTAGGCTTTCGTCAATTCGCACTTAGCAAAACGGGCCTATAAAAAGTTTTGTAACTCGCCGTTGACCTTTTGACTTCAGTCTCTTCGGTCAAACTTTGATTTCTGTGGTTCGTATTGGTTGAGGTGCTTGTACATGGGGTGCAACTGGCTGGCGCAAAATACACGTGTGCAGAGTTTCCGCCGCGTGCAGGGCAAATTCGCGCACAGGGGTTGGGCATCTTGTGTAGAACGATGGCTACGCCCGAACACTTTATTTTTGGCGACTTCTGGGGACACCTGCTTCGGAAATGCCCAAGTTTTGGCAATTCATGTTGCGTTGCTGCCCAGCGTCTGCCCGCCCTCTGGGGTGAATTCCAAGCGCAGCGAAACGACAGGCTGAACGTGCATCAAGAAATTTGTGCTGGACCAGACTGGAAATTTTGGAAGAATCACAACTTCCCCCCTCGCAAAACCTCGAGAGCGGAAGGGCGAACCTGGCGAGGTTCGACCTACCGCCAAATGCGGAGAGCAGATTCTGTGACAGAGCCAAGCCGCATTTAGTAAAATTTCCGGGCCGCATCTTGCGATCCGCCAAGGCCCACAATTGACGCCAGCTGCATTGACGAATTGCGCAAATTTGGAATCCGCTGGAGGGGGACAGAGAGACCGTTTTCTCCCATCAAGAATTGGCACCGATGTTGCCCTTCCCTTCCGTTCTCCCCCCATTGGCACACCCCTTCGCCATGCTGCTTTCCCAGACTCCAAACAGAGACGACATACACAAGCCACTCGAGACTCAAACCAAATCAACAACCACGTCTCTTCCGGAACTCACAAGCCAGTCTTTTTCGTCCCGTTGCAGCGCCCTCATCGTGTTGCAACGCAGCTTTCGATAGCTCCACTCCCACCTCTCATTTCACCATAACGATTATTTAGTCGACTTACCTCCAGCTACCATCCTTCTCTGTAGCGCAAAGCTAATCAGGCCAGAATCTACCTCCTCGTTGTTTGTTCTTTGTAGTAACGGTTTGAGAAATCAGTCACCTTAAATTTCCGCAAAAATAATTTCAGCTGCATGTCGAAACGGTGACTCGTCGAATGGACTGTCAACGCCTCAGTCCAGCGGTTTCGTGCGATAATAGTGAATCGGGTAACGAGGTCGCTTATAGCGACCCTTCGATCAGTCCCCCGACCTCCCAGTTTACTTCCTCCGCCTCCACAACGCCTCCGGAATCCCCTTTTGGTGCTGACGGCCCCAGATATAGCGGACCTAGAACCACATCGTTTGAGAGCAATGACGTCCCTAGCGAGCGTCCTGCGACCTTGTGCGACGAGCCGTGCGACCAGTCGCTCTCGCCTCCGTCGGCGGAGCGGCGACGTCGCAGGCTTCGCACGTCATTCGTCACGCAGGCGGACGCCCTGTTTCGCAAGAATGTCGCATACCAGCGTCGCAACTGGGGCACGAACGCGTGCATCGTCAGCCTCCCCGCCCTCCTATGCATCTTCCTACAAGCCCTCCAAATCCTGCTTGACAACGTTATGATGTCAACCTACAAATGCGGTTGCGGTTGCCCCACGGCATTCAGGTTACCTGATTCCACCTGCCCACCTGAAAAAATCACCTGCGGTCCGGAGTACTCCACCGCGTCGCAGATGCCCTTCTGCGCCGTCCCCGCGCCGCCGATGTGGCCGGCGTTTGCGCAGGTGCCGCCGAATGCGGCCAGAGCAGCCGCGCCGCCAGGGGTGGGCGCTTCGTTGGGGCTTCCGCCTGCCACGTGTCGGTCTGAGGGTGGCCAGAGCTGTCCGACGGTGATTCTTTACACAGGACAAAATCGAACCGCAGCTGAGGGTAACTTCCTCCGAGTACCCCCTGAGTTCGTCTCTTTTATGTTTTCTTAGCGCCTGAGTTTTTTTAGTCAGTAGTGTTCTTCACACTGCCATCTTCGCAATCCACGTCAGCAATGGCGTCACTTCTCGTACCTGACGTGCTCTACACGTCACTTAGGTCCGTCCGAAAACATCCAAGCACTTTCCTCTCCACGAATGATACCGTGGCTGCCGCCGCATCTCACGCTAACCCTCTTCCGCCTACCACCTCGGTCTCGGCCCCCCCCCTGTCTGTCCCCGTGGGTGGAACAAAGCCGCTGCTCCGCGGACAATCTGGAGGATTGGCGGAGACTCTCTCCGCGCCGGGGCTGGGGGAGGCGCAACCCAAGGGGGGAAGCGGGTCTGTTGCGGGGGTCGCGGAAGCCGTTGTGGGGAAGGGGCGGGGGAGCAGGGGGAGGGGAAGGGGAAGGAGGCAGGTGGCGAAGCACGACGTGCGAAAACGCCTGAACGAAATGGTTACAATAGCGGGAATGGAGAACGCAGTATCGCGGATGCAAACGAGGCAGAAAATAACAGTCGCACGAAATATGCAGCAGATCAGCAGCAGGTTTCGCGTTTCACACAAGGAGAAACAGAACCGCCAGGAACTGGGAGTTCGGAGACTAATTCGGGAGCGGAAAACACGCAGCCGCACTAATTCAGTTGAACAGAAACAGCAGCGCAACACGACTGCGGGGTACTGGGTCCCGTCGTACGTATACGACCTGTCCCAGGTAACACCTGGAACGGCAACCTACCCCGGATGGAGCCTGCTGCTGGAGGAGGCGGTGTCGCCCGTGGGGTGGCAGGCGAACTCGTCGCTGCTGCTGCTGCTGCCGCAGTGCCGCGGGAACATGCGGGGATTCACGGTCAACGCGACGGTCGCTGGTGCTATCACGCTCCCCGTCCGTAAGTGGCGCTTTGGGTGGGTTGGTAGGTTGGTAGACCACACGAGAGTCGGCTTGAGGTTATGCTTGTCGCCTCGCGTGTCTCACACGCGGGCACACGCGGCGGCAGACAGAGCATGAAGAGGCGGTGTCACCCGTGGGGTGGCAGGCCAACTCGTCGCTGCTGCTGTTGCTGCCGCAGTGCCGCGGGAACATGCGGGGATTCACCGTCAACGCGACAGTTGCGGATGCTATCACGCTCCCCGTCCGTAAGTGATACGTCGATGCTTGGGGCGTTGCTTTTGAGAATTCTCAAGAGTTTGTGAGCAGTGCCGCGGGAAACATGCGGGGATTCGCGGTCAATACGACGGTCACTGGTTCTATCACTCTCCCCGTCCGTAAGTGATGCGACGATGGGTGACGTTGAGTAGGCGCTTCATGAGTAGCGCTCTGTGAGCTAGCGGAAGTTTACAGTCAATGCTAGGGGGTAAGTGATGCCGCCCTCCCCGTCCTCCCCTCTCCTACACCCTCACTGAGGGGGAGGCACCCTCGCTTCACCCTCCCCTCCTCTCCCCTCCCTTTCCTTTCCGCCCCTCCCCTCCACTTCGCTCCTTTCCTTTGTTCCCCCTTCCCCCCTCCCCCAACGTAACAGGACAGGAGTGTGTGGATGTAGTCACAGTGTGGCAAGACACGCAAACAGTTATAGACTCCTCAGGCCTTCACCCACTCCTCCCAACTCCTCTCAACTCCTTCCATCCCCTCCATTCCTTTCTCCTCATCTCTGCTCATCGCAACAGGAGTGGAGTGTGTAGACGTAGACACGGTCTGGCGGGACACACAAACGGATATCGACAGCGAACTGTACTCGGGCTACTACCAGGCGAATCCCGAGCAAGCCACTAACGCGTACACAGCAGCCTTTGACTTCCAGGACACGGGCCCGACTCGTTATAACCCCGTGATTCAGTATAACTCGTCGTACAACAACGCAAGTATCGGCGGCACCCCCGCCACGCTCCTCCGCTTCGCCCGCCTCCTTAACCTCGCGTCCAACGCGTTTATCAAGACCTTCTATAGCGGGGATGAACCAAACAGCGCTGGTACTCCTGTCGCAGTCGCACCAGCAGCAGCAGTAGCAGCAGAGATTCCATTGCTATTTGTGAAAGACTTTCCAAAAGTGGAAACCACGTTGGGAGTGGACTTTGCATCGCTCCTCGGGCCCCTCTTCTACATGTGGCTGCTGCAGCTGCTGCTGCCAGTCATGACAGTGGCTCTGGTGTACGAGAAGGAGCAGCAGCTGAGGATAATGATGCGCATGCACGGGCTCAAGGACGGCCCGTACTGGCTCGTGTCGTACCTCTACTTCCTCCTGCTCTCCCTCGCCTATATCTTCTTCCTTGTCGCATTCGGCTCTCTCATCCGTACGTTCCCCCCCTCCCCCCTCGTACTCACCCCATGCACTGCATGCCAGCACTCTTCACTTCCTCCTGCTCTCCCTCGCCTATATCTTCTTCCTCGTCGCCTTCGGCTCTCTCATCCGTAAGTCATGGGAAGGTCTTTGTGGGTGGATTTTGAGTCGCCTCTGGTGTATGAGAAGGAACAGCTGCTGCTGCTGCTGCCGGTGATGGCAGTGGCTCTAGGGTATGAGAAGGAGCAGCAGCTTATTCGTAAGTCATTGGAAACGTTCCGGTGATCTGCTGTTGGTGCTGGTTTGTGTGTGGCTTTTGAGTCGACTCAAAAATCACCTCTGTGTGTGGTGTGGACTCAAAGCTCGATTCTGCTACTCCTGGTGGTGACAGTTGGAGGGGAGACGGGCAACACACCCAGACAGACTTTGCCTTGCACGTCCCCCTCCCTTCCCACCCTCTTCCTGTGCAGAGCTCAAGTCCTTCACCCTCAACCCGTATGGCCCGCAGCTTCTCCTCTACATCGTGAGCGCCAACACGCAGATCGCACTCGCCATGCTCGCATCAACAGCCTTCATTCCCTCGTCTCCCCTTCCTCGTCCCCTTCCTCCTTCCCTTCTTCCACTTACCCTCCCGCTTCCTATTCCCCTCCCTCTTCCTCTTCTTCTTTCACTTCAACCTTTCCCCTGCCCATACATGCAGAGCTGAAGTGCTTCACGCTCCACCCCTACGGCCTGCAGCTGCTGCTATACATCGTACAAGCCAACACGCAGATCGCACTCGCCATGCTCGCATCAACAGCCTTCGCCCACACGCGCCCCGCCACCGCCGCCACCTACCTCTACGTCTTCGTCTCCGCGCTGCTCGGCCAGTTCCTCTACCGCAACCTCCTCGAATCCAATTCTTTCTCGAGTGAGTGCAATGGCCTTCCTTGCTTCTCTTTGGGGTCTTGATAAACTCCTCTGTCACCGTCGCCACCAACCTCTACGTCTTCGTCTCCGCGCTGCTCGGCCAGTTTCTCTACCGCAACCTGCTTGAGTCCGGCTCCTCCTCAAGTGAGTATATAGTTTTGAGGCGCCTCAAAACTAGACTCCTACTCGAGTGAGTATCATGGAATTCCTTCCTTTTCTTTCACGCCTTGCCACACGTAGAGATTTCCTTTTTTTCTGTGTCTCAAAATTCCTTCGTTTTTGTTGGTGCAACCTTACGGTTTGCACTCGGCTTGTTGTCCGTGTGCGTGAATGTGTGTGTGTATGGAATGGTATGAGGGCATGGGATAATATATATTTCATGCTTATAATTGTGTGTGAATGTTGAGTCATGATGTCGAGTGTGTGTGTCGAGTCAATAGCGAGTTATCGCTAGACGCGTGTTACGCGGTCGTTTGTGTCTCGCGCGCGGTTTTTATTTTGTCGTGCGCGGTTTCTATTTTGTCCTGTGTCGAACGTTCGGCGTGTCGCAGGTGTGTGCAGCAGACCCATCAAGAACTCAAGGATGAGTTTGTGATGAAGAGCCCGAGCCTTGGTGTCAAGCCTCAAGTGATTTCGAAGCTTGCCAAAAGGGTACACCTCAAGATATTGAAGATAGTTACATTACTTTGTGTAGTGTAACATTTCACTTGGTGTAGGCCCTAGTGAAGGGTAGTTTCGAGACCCTTCGTGGTTGGGGACAGTGTGGCACTGTTCCACATCACTGTACCTCGGCTCTTGGGGTTTGTAGGAGCTGGGAGTCATTCCCAACTCGTAACTCTTCCTATCTTGTGTTCTAAGACTATAGTGGCTGCCATAGTACCGTTCGTTCAAACCGACGCTGTGTCGTCAATTCTTTATCAAATCGTGCAATCTAAATTGCTAATTGTAGACGACGTGAAGACGCTCCAGATCCAATTTTAATCAAGTCATTTGCAGCTGTGAGCAGAACGCTATCATCGTTTGAAGCCGCTGTGCAGAAATCCGTCTGTGCTCTCTATCTTTCGTTTTAGGCACATTCAAGCCTATTGTGACTATAACACTTTTCTTTGACGCCTTGCCACACTCGCCCCGCCACCGCCGCCACCGCCGCCACCTACCTCTACGTCTTCGTCTCCGCGCTGCTCGGCCAGTTCCTCTACCGCAACCTGCTCGAATCCAGCTCCTACTCCAGTGAGTTTCCGGATTAGAACTCAAGCACTCTGGCCTTCTTATCTCTTACCATGCCCCTCCCTTCACCCACCCACCTACCTACCTCACGTCTTCGCCTCTGCGCTCCTCGGCCAGTTCCTCTACCGCAAGTTGCTTGAGTCCGGCTTGTTTTCCTGTGAGTCTTGGGACTTGCTTTCTGCTGCCAGGCGGTCTGAGGCGTCTCGTGCGCTTTTATTCTCTCGGTCCTTTCTGGGACTGAGTGAATGACTAGTCTTTTCCTCGGTCTTTCACCGCAACCCACTTGTACCCTTATTCTCATCCCCCCTTTCCCCTTGCTCTCCTTCTCCTCCTCTCCCCACACCCCCCCCCTTTCTCCCAATCCCCTTCTCTCCCCCCACACCAGCCACATTTATGACAGCACTGCAACTCTTCCCAGCGCTCGCACTCTACCACGGGGTCTACGAGCTAACTCACTCATTCCACTCATTTCCCTTGGCTCTCTCCCTTCTCTCCCTCCCCACCACCACCCTTCCCACCCTCCAGCCACATTCATGACAGCACTGCAACTCTTCCCAGCGTTCGCGCTCTACCACGGAGTATACGAGTTAACCCAGTCGTCCCTAATAGGCTCCTACCAGGCCTCCCAGGGCACTCTCACCTGGACCCGCTCCTCCCCACCCTCCCCACCCGCCCCACCCCCAGCCGCATTTATGACTACGCTACAGCTCTTCCCAGCGTTCGCGCTCTACCACGGGGTATACGAGCTAACTCACTCACTCCACTCATTTCCCTTGGCTCTCTCCCTTCTCTCCCTCCCCACCACCACCCTTCCCACCCGCCAGCCGCATTCATGACAGCACTGCAACTCTTCCCAGCGTTCGCTCTCTATCACGGGGTATACGAGTTAACTCAGTCGTCCCTGATAGGCTCCTACCAGGCCTCCCAGGGCACACTCACCTGGGCCACCGCCGCCACCAATGGCTACCTGACAGCTGTCGCGATCCTGGCCGTCGAATGGCTGGTCTTCCTGCTGCTCGCGATCTACCTGGATCAGGTGGTTTCGGCGGGTAGTGGCGTGAGGAAGCATCCTCTCTTCTTCCTCCGCGGCTGCAAGAGCGGCTTCCGGAAGCTTCTTGGCTCGCTTGGAAAGTTTCTGCGAAGATGCAGGCTTGGGGGGGACGCCCAGGTTCATGCGGACTTCCAGGAAGGTTCCTGGAAAATGGAAAAAGGAAAGGAGTGGAAAGCAGGGGCGGCGGGGAGTGGGAAGGCGGAGTGGGGGGAGGGGGAGGTGGGAGGAGGTGTTGTGGGCACGGGGCAAGGGACAGACGAGGGGGGAGAAAAGGAGAAGGCGAAAGGGTGTTTGGACCGATTTGATGTGGACCTAGAGGTGAGTGGTGGGGTGAGGTGTGTGGGACGAGGGGAAGAGAGAAGCTTTTTGGAAATTCTTAAAAAATCAGGTGTACAGGTGAGAGATGGAATGAGGTGTGTGGGGGAAGCAGGGACAAAGGAATAACGACAGGGGAATGTGGGATTGACCATTCTCACCCATAAGTTTCCAAGCCCTCTCCTCTTCCTCCCACCCTCCATCTGCCCCTTCCACATCCCCCTCAGAAGCGCAAAGTGCAGCACCTCCTGCACACCAGCACCGCACCCAACCCCACCGCACCTGACCGCACCGCACACCACAGCATTCTCTGTGCGGGCCTCTCCAAGGTCTATCCCAGCAGGGACGGCGGGGCTCCCAAGGAAGCAGTCGCCGGCATGTGGCTGGGGGTCGCTCGCGGGGAGTGCTTGGGCATGCTGGGGCCCAACGGGGCGTGGGGAGTGCTTGGGACTCAACTCTCTCTCCCCTTCCTCCTCCCACCCTCCCTCTGCCCCATTCCACCTCCCCCACCACAGAAGCGCAAAGTGCAGCACCTCCTGCACAGCAGCACCACACCCAACCGCACCGCACACCACAGCATTCTCTGTGCGGGCCTCTCCAAGGTCTACCCCAGCAGGGACGGCGGGGCTCCCAAGGAGGCAGTTGCCGGCATGTGGCTGGGGGTCGCTCGGGGGGAGTGCTTGGGCGTGCTGGGGCCGATGATGGGGTTCCTGCAACCCAGTGGGGGGACGGCGATTATTGAGGGCATGGGGATTGCCGAGGAGATGGAGGGGATTTACTCCATCATGGGCGTTTGCCCTCAGCACGAGTGAGTGGACCCCGTTTGACTGGCGTGAGCGTGGTTCGGAGGGGTTGAGAGTGGTTTGAAGTTAGCCTGGGTGTGGTTGGATGTGCGTGTGTATGCAACCCAGTGGGGGGACGGCGGTCATAGAGGGCATGGGGACCGCCGAGGAGATGGACGGGATTTACTCGATTATGGGCGTGTGCCCTCAGCACGAGTGAGTTTAGTGCGGTTGAGCGCGGTTTGGAGGGGCTTTGGTGTGGTTTGAAGAGGGTGCTTGGGCACTCTGGGGCTGCACGGGGCGGGCAAGACGACAGCGCTGCGCATGATGATGGGGTTCTTGCAGCCCAGTGGGGGGACGGCTGTGATTGAAGGCATGGGGATTGCCGAGGAGATGGACGGGATTTACTCCATCATGGGCGTGTGCCCGCAGCACGAGTGAGTGGACCCCGTTTGACTGGCGTGAGCGTGGTTCGGAGGGGTTGAGAGTGGTTTGAAGTTAGCCTGGGTGTGGTTGGATGTGCGTGTGTGTGCAACCCAGTGGGGGCACGGCGGTCATAGAGGGCATGGGGATTGCCGAGGAGATGGAGGGGATTTACTCCATCATGGGCGTGTGCCCTCAGCACGAGTGAGTTTACTGCGGTTGAGCGCGGTTTGGAGGGGCTTTGGTGTGGTTTGAAGAGGGTGCTTGGGCACTCTGGGGCTGCACGGGGCGGGCAAGACGACAGCGCTGCGCATGATGATGGGGTTCTTGCAGCCCAGTGGGGGGACGGCTGTGATTGAAGGCATGGGGATTGCCGAGGAGATGGACGGGATTTACTCCATCATGGGCGTGTGCCCGCAGCACGAGTGAGTGGACCCCGTTTGACTGGCGTGAGCGTGGTTCGGAGGGGTTGAGAGTGGTTTGAAGTTAGCCTGGGTGTGGTTGGATGTGCGTGTGTGTGCAACCCAGTGGGGGCACGGCGGTCATAGAGGGCATGGGGATTGCCGAGGAGATGGAGGGGATTTACTCCATCATGGGTGTTTGCCCTCAGCACGAGTGAGTGGACCCCGTTTGACTGGCGTGAGCATGGTTCGGAGGGGTTGAGAGTGGTTTGAAGTTAGCCTGGGTGTGGTTGGATGTGCGTGTGTGTGCAACCCAGTGGGGGACGGCTGTGATAGAGGGAATGGGGATTGCCGAGGAGATGGATGCCATTTATTCCATCATGGGCGTGTGCCCGCAGCGGTTGAGCGTGGTTTGAAGGGGATTCGGTGTGGTTTGAAGGGAGTGCTTGGGCATGCTGGGTCGGAACGGGGCGGGCAAGACAGCAGCGCTGCGCATGATGAGTGTATGCCCTCAGCAAGACAGTGAAAGAACAGCTTGAATATGACTTCCTAGAAAGTGTACTCACTTGGAGTGTCAACGTGGAGTGGCATCTAGAAAGTGTACTCACTCCCTTGCCCCCCACCTCCCTCTCCTCCACCCCTCCCTCTCCTCTCCCCTCCTTCCTCTCCCCACTCTCTCGCCAGCCTGCTATGAGAGCAGCTGACAGGGAGGCAGCACCTGCTCTACCACGGGCGCCTGAAGAGCCTGCAAGGGCCGGCACTCCTTAGTCTCCTCCACGTTTCCATCTCCTCTCATCCCCCCCCCCCACCAGCCTCCTATGGGAGCAGCTGACAGGCAGGGAGCACCTCTATTTCTACGGCCGCTTGAAGAACCTGCACGGGCAGGCACTCCCTTGCCCCCACCTTACTCTCCTCCACGCTTCCCTCTCTTCGCATCCCCCCCCCGCCAGCCTGCTATGAGAGCAGCTGACAGGGAGGAAGCAGCTGCTCTACTACGGGCGGCTGAAGAGCCTCCGAGGGTCAGCAATGACACCAGCACTGGATGCATCCTTATCCGGAGTGCACCTCTCAAAGGAGGCAGACAAGCCAGTGCAGCAGTACAGTGGCAAAGGTGACTTTTGAGTTGACTCAAAAGTCACCAGCACTGGATGCATCCTTAGTCGGAGTGCACCTCTCAAAGGAGGCAGACCAGCCAGTGCAGCAGTACAGTGGCAGCTGCTGGCAGCCAGTTCATGCCACTGGCAGCACGAACTCATTCGCTCCCTTCGCTCCCTTCACTCATTCAAGCCAGTGCAGCAGTACAGTGGCAGCATTATCTCATCCGCTCCCTCCCCCTTCCTCTCTCTCCACCCCCCCCCACCCCCGCCAGCCTGCTATGGGAGCAGCTGACTGGTCGGGAGCACCTCATGTTCTACGGGCGGTTGAAGAACCTGCACGGGTCAGCACTAACATCAGCCGTAGAAGCCTCCTTATCCGGGGTGCACTTGCTGAAAGAAGCCGATAAGCCAGTGCAGCAGCAGTACAGTGGCGGCATGAAGCAACGCCTATTATAACATCTCTAAACAGAGACCCTCTTGGCCCTCCCTCCCTCCCTCCCCTCCCCACCAGCCTCCTGTGGGAGCAGCTGACAGGCAGGGAGCACCTACTCTTCTACGGGCGCCTCAAGAACCTGCACGGGTCATCCCTAGCAGCAGCAGTAGACGCCTCCCTCGCAGGGGTGCATCTACTGAAGGAGGCAGACAAGCCAGTGCAGCAGTACAGCGGCGGCATGAAGCGGCGCCTCTCGGTCGCTATATTGCTTATCGGAGACCCTCTTGTGGTGTATATGGACGAGCCCAGCACAGGGCTCGACCCATCATCCAGGATGCACCTGTGGAACGTGGTGAAGCGAGCAAAGAAGAATTGTGCGATCGTGCTCACGAGTGAGTGTGTGTGCTAGGAGTATTGAATGGGGGAGGGTGCATGAGATGGTAGTGGTGTACATGGACGAGCCCAGCACGGGGCTGGACCCCTCGTCCAGGATGCACCTGTGGAACGTGGTGAAGCGAGCGAAGAAGCACTGCGCTATTGTGCTCACAAGTGAGTGGCTGTCAATGGGAGGGCCTTGGGTGGGTCTGTGGATGGAAGGAGGTGCTGCCCTCTTGTGGTGTACATGGACGAGCCCAGCACGGGGCTGGACCCATCGTCGAGAATGCACCTGTGGAACGTGGTGAAGCGGGCTAAGAAGCACTGCGCGATTGTGCTCACGAGTGAGTGTGTGTGCTAGCTTTTCCCTTCACACCACTAAAGTGGACCATGAGGATGCTGCTGCTGCTGTCTCCCTGCCCTTCCCCTCGTCATTCTCTTTCACTTTCCCCTTTCCCCACGCCCCACTTCTCCTCTATCTGATCTCCCCCCCAACCCTCTCAGCTCACTCAATGGAAGAGGCAGACGCACTGTGTGACCGGATGGGCATATTCGTGGGGGGAAAGTTCGCCTGCATAGGCAGTGCTGGGGAGCTCACAGCACACTACGGCGACCGCTACACCTTCACCCTCACCACCCCTGTGGACCACTAGGCTGCTGCTGCCCAACTGACCTTCCCCTCTTTCCCTGCGCCCCACCTCTCCTCTTCCTGTTCGTCCTTCCACCCCCCTCAGCTCACAGCATGGAAGAGGCAGACGCACTGTGTGACCGGATGGGCATATTCGTGCGGGGAAAGTTCGCTTGTATAGGCAGCGCACAGGAGCTCACAGCACGGTACTGCGGCCGCTTCATCTTCACCCTCACCACTCCGGTGGACCACGAAGCTGCTGCTGCTGCTGCTGCTATTGCCCGGCTGACAGTCCCAACTCCTTCCCCTCCCCCACAACCCACAAACAGCTCACAGCATGGAAGAGGCAGACGCTCTGTGTGACCGGATGGGCATATTCGTGCGGGGAAAGTTCGCTTGTATAGGCAGCGCACAGGAGCTCACAGCACGGTACGGTGGCCGCTTCATCTTCACCCTCACCACTCCTGTGGACCACGAGGCTGCTGCTGCTGCCCGGCTGACCGTCCCCTCTCCCCTCCCTCCCCCCCCCCCCCCCCCCCAACCCACAAACAGCTCACAGCATGGAAGAGGCAGACGCTCTGTGTGACCGGATGGGCATATTCGTGCGGGGAAAGTTCGCCTGTATAGGGAGTGCACAGGAGCTCACAGCACGGTACGGCGGCCGCTTCATCTTCACCCTCACCACTCCCGTGGATTACGAGGCTGCAGCTGCCCGGCTGGCGCTGACCCTGTCCGTCAACGCTAGGAGAATCTACAACCTCTCGGGCACCCAAAAGTTTGAGCTGCCCGTGGAAGATGTGAGTGGGTTTGGCCAGGCCTGCTTGCTTCATATTCTATTTCTGCGTATGCAGTAGTATCGTGTCTTTGCCACCGTGCGTTTGGTTCCCTGCTTGTGTGTTCCTGGTGGTTCAATCCAGCCGGGAAAGCATTGCTTCGGTTATCCGTGAGTGACTTTCCCTTGCTAATGACTTTCCCTTTCCCTTGCTAGTGACTTTCCCTTGCTATTTCATTCTAGCCACCTGCTTGCCGTTCCATCCCGAGCCATCCCCCTGCTACGTATCTGTTCCACTCTTCCTGTATAACCTCCCCCTTTGCGCCCTTCCTGAACCCCGGACATGAATCATGTCCCTCCGCTGCAGGTGAGGATATCTGATGTATTCGCAGCAGTGCAAGCAGCCAAGGCATCCATGCCCATACAGGCATGGGGACTAACCCAACTCCACCCCCTTCCTCTCCCCCCTTCCCTGCCGGTATGATACGTTTCCCTCTGCTGCAGGTGAGGATATCTGATGTATTCGCAGCAGTGCAAGCAGCCAAGGCATCCATGCCCATACAGGCATGGGGACTAACGAATTCCACCCTAGAGGACGTGTTTATCAAAGTGGCAAAGCAAGCTCATGCTAATGTGGTATAGGTGTGTTTTGAGTCGACTCAAAACATGCCCACATAGGCATGGGATGGGGACTAACGAATTCCACCCTAGAGGATGTGTTTATCAAAGTTGCCAAGCACGCACATGCTAATGTGATATAGGTTGTGACTCCCTGCATGCACCTTGCATGTTTCTCCCACCGTTAATTGCATTCATTCTTCCAAGCCCCAAATTAGAGCCAATAGAGTTTTTGTCAGGATGTTCTCTCACTTATACATGCACTGTGTGGGCCAATGGCTAGTAAATCCGCCATAAGAATCATTCTAACCACAGCCATTCTAAGGGCTCAGTACACTATTCGTTGAAAAAAACGCGGTTTCTTTGCACCTCACAGGCTTAAAGCCACCTACCGTACATGCACATGCACATGCACATGCTGAGGTCAAAATCTCCCACTCCTCAGCAGCACGACATCTGAAACGGGAGTAAGTTGCAGACGTGCAACTTCCTTTCCTCCCACATGCACTCCTCTTCAGCTGTGCGCTGATCCTCGACAGAGCCTTCGCAGTTGCCCTGCCTTCTTGATAGTCCCTCTTCTCAGAGCACTACCTCTTCTCAGAGCACTACCTCTTCTCAGAGCACTACCTCTTCTCAGAGCACTACCTCTTCTCAGAGCACTACCTCTGATACGCCGCAGCGCACTACCTCTGAGACGTCCCAACACTCACTTTCCTCCTGCCAGCTCTCCTCTTCAGCCGTGCACTCGCAATCAGCTGCCTCATTTCATCATCCACCCCGCCTTCCTCCTCCTCTCCTCCTCCTTTCCCTTCTCCCATTTCCACCCCCTCCGTCCGCCTCCTCCCCCCCTCCTCTTTCCTCCGCCTCTTCTGCTGTTCAACGTACCAAAGCTGTTGCTGCTGGAGATCCGTTAACCCGGGCCCGTACCTGTCCCTGACCGAACCTGGCTTGCCGAAGCTGCTGCTCAGGTTCGGCGTCCGAGCCTCGAGGAGAGCCGTGGAGAGCTGCTTGGCCGCGTTCTGAGCCTTGTCTGTAGCGAGGGAAGCGTCCGGGAAGGCGCCTTTGGGAAACTGGTAGGATAGCCAGAGATAGAGCGATGCCACCTGGTGTAGAGGGGTTGAAGGGGGTTGGAAGTGGAGGGGTGGAAGGGGGCGGAATGGGGTGGAGGGGATGGGTGGGGGTGGAAGGGGGTGGAAGGGGGTGGAAGGGGGTGGAAGGGGGTGGAAGGGGGTGGAAATGGGAGGGAGATGGCAAGACAAAGGAGGCGAGCGGAGAGGATGCGTGACATGGGAAGCGCGAGGTTAGAAGCCTTGTACCCGTAGCAACAATCCTGCGAGCAGTCCTATGAAAATGGGATGCACACACCTGGTGCTTTGTCTCCAGAGCCATCAGATCCGAAGCAGCAGTTCTCTGCCACGTGCCGCGCACCCATTGGCCTGCCGCCTCCCCCCCTGGCCTCCCCTTGCTGCTCCCCTCCCATCTTCCACTCCTCTCCCCGTCCCCCAATCCCTCCTCCTCCCTGCCTGCTCCAACCACCACCAGCGGCACAGGCTTGCCCTCGGCATACTGGTGGGCGAATCGCAGAAGGGCGGCCATGACGGTGGGGTCTCTGGCGTTGGCTGGCGCCGAGCAGAAGGCAAAGCGGTCCCGGAGGGTCAGTCCTTTGATTTTATCCAGCATGGTTGCCACACGCTGGTGGGGAGGGGGAAGGGATGAAAGGGAGAAGTGGGGAACGGGGAGGACAAGAGGAGGCGAATCTCAGGAGGGCTGCCATGACGGTGGGGTCTCTTGCGTTGGCTGGCGCCGAGCAGAAGGCAAAGCGGTCTCGGAGGGTCAGACCTTTGATTTTATCCAGCATGGTTGCCACACGCTGGTGGGAAGAAGAGAAGGGAAGGGAGGGGGACAGGAGGAGAGGTGGGGAAAGGAGGAGAGGTGGGGAAAGGCGGAGAGGTGGGGAAAGGAGGAGAGGTGGGGAAAGGAGGAGAGGTGGGAAAAGGAGGAGAGGTGGGGAAAGGAGGAGAGGTGGGGAAAGGAGGAGAGGTGGGGAAAGGAGGAGAGGTGGGGAAAGGAGGAGAGGTGGAGAAAGGAGGAGAGGTGGGGAAAGGAGGAGAGGTGGGGAAAGGAGGAGAGGTGGGGAAAGGAGGAGAGGTGGAGAAAGGAGGAGAGGTGGGGAAAGGAGGAGAGGTGGGGAAAGGAGGAGAGGTGGGGAAAGGAGGAGAGGTGGGGAAAGGAGGAGAGGTGGGGAAAGGAGGAGAGGTGGGGAAAGGAGGAGAGGTGGGGAAAGGAGGAGAGGTGGGGAAAGGAGGAGAGGTGGGGAAAGGAGGAGAGGTGGGGAAAGGAGGAGAGGTGGGGAAAGGAGGAGAGGTGGGGAAAGGAGGAGAGGTGGGGAAAGGAGGAGAGGTGGGGAAAGGAGGAGAGGTGGGGAAAGGAGGAGAGGTGGGGAAAGGAGGAGAGGTGGGGAAAGGAGGAGAGGTGGGGAAAGGAGGAGAGGTGGGGAAAGGAGGAGAGGTGGGGAAAGGAGGAGAGGTGGGGAAAGGAGGAGAGGTGGGGAAAGGAGGAGAGGTGGGGAAAGGAGGAGAGGTGGGGAAAGGAGGAGAGGTGGGGAGAGGAGGAGAGGTGGGGAAAGGAGGAGAGGTGGGGAAAGGAGAGGTGGGGAAAGGAGGAGAGGTGGGGAAAGGAGGAGAGGTGGGGAAAGGAGGAGAGGTGGGGAAAGGAGGAGAGGTGGGGAAAGGAGGAGAGGTGGGGAAAGGAGGAGAGGTGGGGAAAGGAGGAGAGGTGGGGAAAGGAGGAGAGGTGGGGAAAGGAGGAGAGGTGGGGAAAGGAGGAGAGGTGGGGAAAGGAGGAGAGGTGGGGAAAGGAGGAGAGGTGGGGAAAGGAGGAGAGGTGGGGAAAGGAGGAGAGGTGGGGAAAGGAGGAGAGGTGGGGAAAGGAGGAGAGGTGGGGAAAGGAGGAGAGGTGGGGAAAGGAGGAGAGGTGGGGAAAGGAGGAGAGGTGGGGAAAGGAGGAGAGGTGGGGAAAGGAGGAGAGGTGGGGAAAGGAGGAGAGGTGGGGAAAGGAGGAGAGGTGGGGAAAGGAGGAGAGGTGGGGAAAGGAGGAGAGGTGGGGAAAGGAGGAGAGGTGGGGAAAGGAGGAGAGGTGGGGAAAGGAGGAGAGGTGGGGAGAGGAGGAGAGGTGGGGAAAGGAGGAGAGGTGGGGAAAGGAGGAGAGGTGGGGAAAGGAGGAGAGGTGGGGAAAGGAGGAGAGGTGGGGAAAGGAGGAGAGGTGGGGAAAGGAGGAGAGGTGGGGAAAGGAGGAGAGGTGGGGAAAGGAGGAGAAGGGGCTGCACATAGCGGTCCCGGAGGGTCAGGCCCTTGATGACAAGGGGCGAAAGGGAGAAGTGCGGAACGGGGAGGACAAGAGCAGTAGTCAAAGCGGTCCCGGAGGGTCAGGCCCTTGATCTTGTCCAGCATGGTTGCCACTCGCTGGGGGGGAGAAAGGGGCGAAAGGGAGAAGTGCGGAACGGGGAGGACAAGAGCAGTAGTCAAAGCGGTCCCGGAGGGTCAGGCCCTTGATCTTGTCCAGCATGGTTGCCACTCGCTGGGGGGGAGAAAGGGGCGAAAGGGAGAAGTGCGGAACGGGGAGGACAAGAGCAGTAGTCAAAGCGGTCCCGGAGGGTCAGGCCCTTGATCTTGTCCAGCATGGTTGCCACTCGCTGGGGGGGAGAAAGGGGCGAAAGGGAGAAGTGCGGAACGGGGAGGACAAGAGCAGTAGTCAAAGCGGTCCCGGAGGGTCAGACCCTTGATCTTGTCCAGCATGGTTGCCACTCGCTGGGGGGGAGAAAGGGGCGAAAGGGAGAAGTGCGGAACGGGGAGGACAAGAGCAGTAGTCAAAGCGGTCCCGGAGGGTCAGACCCTTGATCTTGTCCAGCATGGTTGCCACTCGCTGGGGGGGAGAAAGGGGCGAAAGGGAGAAGTGCGGAACGGGGAGGACAAGAGCAGTAGTCAAAGCGGTCCCGGAGGGTCAGACCCTTGATCTTGTCCAGCATGGTTGCCACTCCCTGGGGGGGAGAAAGGGGCGAAAGGGAGAAGTGCGGAACGGGGAGGACAAGAGCAGTAGTCAAAGCGGTCCCGGAGGGTCAGGCCCTTGATCTTGTCCAGCATGGTTGCCACTCGCTGGGGGGGAGAAAGGGGCGAAAGGGAGAAGTGCGGAACGGGGAGGACAAGAGCAGTAGTCAAAGCGGTCCCGGAGGGTCAGGCCCTTGATCTTGTCCAGCATGGTTGCCACTCGCTGGGGGGGAGAAAGGGGCGAAAGGGAGAAGTGCGGAACGGGGAGGACAAGAGCAGTAGTCAAAGCGGTCCCGGAGGGTCAGGCCCTTGATCTTGTCCAGCATGGTTGCCACTCGCTGGGGGGGAGAAAGGGGCGAAAGGGAGAAGTGCGGAACGGGGAGGACAAGAGCAGTAGTCAAAGCGGTCCCGGAGGGTCAGGCCCTTGATCTTGTCCAGCATGGTTGCCACTCGCTGGGGGGGAGAAAGGGGCGAAAGGGAGAAGTGCGGAACGGGGAGGACAAGAGCAGTAGTCAAAGCGGTCCCGGAGGGTCAGGCCCTTGATCTTGTCCAGCATGGTTGCCACTCGCTGGGGGGGAGAAAGGGGCGAAAGGGAGAAGTGCGGAACGGGGAGGACAAGAGCAGTAGTCAAAGCGGTCCCGGAGGGTCAGGCCCTTGATCTTGTCCAGCATGGTTGCCACTCGCTGGGGGGGAGAAAGGGGCGAAAGGGAGAAGTGCGGAACGGGGAGGACAAGAGCAGTAGTCAAAGCGGTCCCGGAGGGTCAGACCCTTGATCTTGTCCAGCATGGTTGCCACTCGCTGGGGGGGAGAAAGGGGCGAAAGGGAGAAGTGCGGAACGGGGAGGACAAGAGCAGTAGTCAAAGCGGTCCCGGAGGGTCAGACCCTTGATCTTGTCCAGCATGGTTGCCACTCGCTGGGGGGGAGAAAGGGGCGAAAGGGAGAAGTGCGGAACGGGGAGGACAAGAGCAGTAGTCAAAGCGGTCCCGGAGGGTCAGACCCTTGATCTTGTCCAGCATGGTTGCCACTCCCTGGGGGGGAGAAAGGGGCGAAAGGGAGAAGTGCGGAACGGGGAGGACAAGAGCAGTAGTCAAAGCGGTCCCGGAGGGTCAGGCCCTTGATCTTGTCCAGCATGGTTGCCACTCGCTGGGGGGGAGAAAGGGGCGAAAGGGAGAAGTGCGGAACGGGGAGGACAAGAGCAGTAGTCAAAGCGGTCCCGGAGGGTCAGGCCCTTGATCTTGTCCAGCATGGTTGCCACTCGCTGGGGGGGAGAAAGGGGCGAAAGGGAGAAGTGCGGAACGGGGAGGACAAGAGCAGTAGTCAAAGCGGTCCCGGAGGGTCAGGCCCTTGATCTTGTCCAGCATGGTTGCCACTCGCTGGGGGGGAGAAAGGGGCGAAAGGGAGAAGTGCGGAACGGGGAGGACAAGAGCAGTAGTCAAAGCGGTCCCGGAGGGTCAGGCCCTTGATCTTGTCCAGCATGGTTGCCACTCGCTGGGGGGGAGAAAGGGGCGAAAGGGAGAAGTGCGGAACGGGGAGGACAAGAGCAGTAGTCAAAGCGGTCCCGGAGGGTCAGGCCCTTGATCTTGTCCAGCATGGTTGCCACTCGCTGGGGGGGAGAAAGGGGCGAAAGGGAGAAGTGCGGAACGGGGAGGACAAGAGCAGTAGTCAAAGCGGTCCCGGAGGGTCAGGCCCTTGATCTTGTCCAGCATGGTTGCCACTCGCTGGGGGGGAGAAAGGGGCGAAAGGGAGAAGTGCGGAACGGGGAGGACAAGAGCAGTAGTCAAAGCGGTCCCGGAGGGTCAGGCCCTTGATCTTGTCCAGCATGGTTGCCACTCGCTGGGGGGGAGAAAGGGGCGAAAGGGAGAAGTGCGGAACGGGGAGGACAAGAGCAGTAGTCAAAGCGGTCCCGGAGGGTCAGGCCCTTGATCTTGTCCAGCATGGTTGCCACTCGCTGGGGGGGAGAAAGGGGCGAAAGGGAGAAGTGCGGAACGGGGAGGACAAGAGCAGTAGTCAAAGCGGTCCCGGAGGGTCAGGCCCTTGATCTTGTCCAGCATGGTTGCCACTCGCTGGGGGGGAGAAAGGGGCGAAAGGGAGAAGTGCGGAACGGGGAGGACAAGAGCAGTAGTCAAAGCGGTCCCGGAGGGTCAGGCCCTTGATCTTGTCCAGCATGGTTGCCACTCGCTGGGGGGGAGAAAGGGGCGAAAGGGAGAAGTGCGGAACGGGGAGGACAAGAGCAGTAGTCAAAGCGGTCCCGGAGGGTCAGGCCCTTGATCTTGTCCAGCATGGTTGCCACTCGCTGGGGGGGAGAAAGGGGCGAAAGGGAGAAGTGCGGAACGGGGAGGACAAGAGCAGTAGTCAAAGCGGTCCCGGAGGGTCAGGCCCTTGATCTTGTCCAGCATGGTTGCCACTCGCTGGGGGGGAGAAAGGGGCGAAAGGGAGAAGTGCGGAACGGGGAGGACAAGAGCAGTAGTCAAAGCGGTCCCGGAGGGTCAGGCCCTTGATCTTGTCCAGCATGGTTGCCACTCGCTGGGGGAGGAGAAGAAAGGGGAGAGAGGAAGGGGGGACAGGTGAGGATAGGATTGCCAGCATTGTACTCGTCAACACTGAACACTGGACGAATATACCTTCAGCGTAATGATCACGCAGATGCTGTCAGTGCCGCTTCTGAGACGACTTTTGAGGCGCCTCAGAACGACTTTTGAGGCGCCTCAAAAGTAATGATCATGCAGAGGCTGTCAGTGCCGCTTCTGAGACGCTAAAAGAAGTGATAGCGACTCTAAGAATGTGACGTTACCCGAATGTTGTCGGTGCGACAGAGAAAGTAGGTGCCGTCTAGCTTCGATGTCTCCACGAATCTGATACACGGCAGAGACACACCAGGCAGACACGCAGGCAAGACAACAGGCAGGCAAAGGGCGTCCATGCACAGAAAGTGAGAAGGAAAAAGGGAGAGTGTGTGTGTGTGTCTCGGGAGTTGTTGGGTGATGAGAGATTGCATCGCCAATGTGGAACATGGAGAGGAAGGGAACAGGCCTGATTTGCTAACCAGCAACCCAACTCTCACCTCAATCAATCCAACCGCTTTGCAAAGTCACAGCTCGATACAGTCACAGCTCGATACAGTCACAGCTCGATACAGTCACAGCTCGATACAGTCACAGCTCGATACAGTCACAGCTCGATACAGTCATAGCTCAATACAGTCACAGCTCGATACGTCATAGCTCAATACAGTCACAGCTCGATACAGTCATAGCTCAATACAGTCACAGCTCGATACAGTCATAGCTCAATACAGTCACAGCTCGATACAGTCATAGCTCAATACAGTCACAGCTCAATACAGCCACAGCTCAATACAGCCACAGCTCAATACAGCCACAGCTCAATACAGTCACAGCTCAATACAGCCACAGCTCAATACAGCCACAGCTCAATACAGCCACAGCTCAATACAGCCACAGCTCAATACAGCCAGGTGAGCTCATCACCCTGTCCACCCTCGTCACAGCTCAACGCAACTCTCACCTGTCCAGCAGTCTTGCAAAGGAGACGTCAGGCAGCTGACTGGCAAACACCTCCACCTGGAGTGATGTGACAGGGTGATGAGCGGTGTCAAGCGGTGAGAAAGGGGTGAGAATGGGTGATGAGGGATGATGGGATGTGGAGTGATGGGGTATGGGGTGAGGAGAAAACGAGGAGCGGTGAGAGTCCAAGCAGGTGACGACCACTCCACTCCACATGGTACATTAACATCTCATTTTGACCACCTTACGGCATACCGAACCATGTCGCATGACTGCCATACTTATGAGACGTCTCAAAAGCCATGGGGTGAGGAGGAAACGAGGAGCGGTGAGAGTCCAAGCAGGTGACGACCACTCTACATGGCACATTAACATCTCATTCGCTCTAGCTAAAACTGGTTTAGGTGCAAAGCACCACCTTACGGCACACCGAACCATGTCTCATGACTGCCATATCTTGTTGCAATGGAAAAGCACCATCACCATCTCGTGGTGTGTCAGCAGGGCCCAGGCGGGTCACCACTTCCAAACCACTCAACACCACTCCACACCTCTCCACACCGCACACGATTAACATTAGACCAACAGACACCTCAGCACGGAAACACCACACCTGTTCGAAGAGGGGGAAGAGGCCAGCAGCTGTGGTGGGCTCGACCGGCTCCTGCAGAGCAGCGATGAGCAACGGCATGTCGGTGGGGTCCAGGCACGTCACCACTCCACACCACTCCACACACCACAGCACACAAGACACAGCGAATTTACACCCAACCAGCACACACACAGCACACACCACACCACAGACAGCACCTGTTCGAAGAGGGGGAAGAGGCCAGCAGCCGTGGTGGGCTCGACGGGGTCTTGCAGAGCAGCGATGAGCAGCGGCATGTCTGTGGGGTCCAGACACGTCACCACCCCCTCCTCGTACCGGCTGCCCCTCCTGCCCGCCCTCCCCGCGATCTGCTTCACCTGCGATGGTGGGGAAACAGATGGAGGGGGGTGGAGAGAGATGGAGGGGTGAACGAGACAGTGAGGTGAGGTAAGTTATTGTCCAGGCATGTCACCACTCCCTCCTCGTACCGACTGCCCCTCCTGCCCGCCCTCCCTGCTATCTGCTTCACCTGTTGGTGGAGCGGAGGAAAAGAGAGAGAGTAGGGGAAAGTTTAGTGTACATTGGCTGGGTCCAGGCACGTCACCACCCCCTCCTCGTACCGACTGCCCCTCCTGCCCGCCCTTCCCGCGATCTGCTTCACCTGTTAGTTGGGGGCGAAGGGACGGGAGTGGTGGGGAAAGAGATGGGGGGAGAGACGGAGGGGAGAGAGACTGAGGGGAGGAGAGGGAGGTGGATGGATGAGAGGGACAGAGGGGAGAGGGGAAATATGGGGATATGGGCCAATAACCCATATTTTAGAAAATGCCCGAAACGTAACATGGGCGAGGGAATGATGATCTTCTCCTCTCCATTGCTTGTGCAGCGTTGAAAAAACAACCCTTCGAATCGACAGATTAAGCCCCATGCCGATGGCGTCTGACGCCACGAGCACACGGAAGTTACTCTCCTCCTCGTTGAACAGCCCCGCCTGCTGCCTAATGAGCACTGTGACCAACGACCCGTGTTTCTGTGCGTACCATGGGTGAAGGGATGATGATCTTCTCTCTCCATTGAACTTGTGCAGCGTTGAAAGCACGACTCTTCGAATGGACAAGTTGAGTCCCATTCCAATCGCGTCTGAAGCAACGAGCAACGAGCACGCGAAAGTCGCTCTCGTCCTCGTTGAACAGCCTCGCTGCTGCCTCAATCACTGTGAAAAACACCATGGGGCACTGCCTTCGTACGTCTTTTGAGGCGCCTCAAAAATGCCTTCGTACGTACCATGGGTGACGGGATGATGATCTTCTCCTCTCCGTTGAACTTGTGCAGGGTTGAGAAGACCACCCTGCGTATAGAGAGGTTGAGCCCCATGCCAATAGCGTCTGAAGCTACCAACACACGGAAGTCGCTCTCCTCCTCGTTGAACAGCCTCGCCTGCTGCCTCCTTGTCTCCGGCGGCAGTGCCCCGTACACCACACAGCACCGGTGCTTCGTTGTCATCTCCACCGCTCTCTGTGTGAGGGGAAGACATGTGTGAGGGAAGAAAGGCATTTGTGGGTGGGATACGGGAAGTCATATGAGCTTTAAGACGCGCCAAGACAGTGAGCTGAAACACCCGAAAGCTGATGCACAAAGAACCATCGTACACAAGGCACACGGTAGGGCAGACCACAGCAGAGCAGAGCAAGGCCCGGCATGGAACGCAACGCACGCACCAGAGCAGAGCACGGCATTTGAGGCGCCTCAAAAGGCTGCTCAGAGCAGGCCACATGGAACGCAACGCACCAGAGCAGAGCACGGCGCAGCCCAGCATGGAGGTGTATTTTGAAGCGCTTCGACATTCCCAGCATGGAACGCAACGCAACGCACCTTGATTTCGAATATCTCTCGCCGCGAGAACGCCACAATGCAGTCGCCAGGTGACACCCGCCCCAAATCACCCTGCAAGCTCGTCTGGTAAAGGGTGGGGAGGAGGGCGCGCAGCAGCAGCAGGCAGACAGGTCACAGAAGACGAAAAGGACGAATTGAAACACCCAGTGACCAACAGGTGCACCTATGATACGGGGATACCGGGAAACCGGGATACCGGAAAACCGGGAGAAACAGGGATACCGGGAAACCGGGATACCGGGAAACCGGGATACCGGGAAACCGGGATACCGGGATACCGGGATACCGGGATACCGGGATACCGGGATACCGGGAAACCGGGAAACCGGGATACCGGGAAACCGGGAAACCGGGAAACCGGGAAACCGGGAAACCGGGACACCGGGAAACCGGGAAACCGGGAAACCGGGAAACCGGGAAACCGGGAAACCGGGAAACCGGGAAACCGGGATACCGGGATACCGGGATACCGGGATACCGGGATACCGGGATACCGGGATACCGGGAAACCGGGAAACCGGGAAACCGGGAAACCGGGAAACCGGGAAACCGGGAAACCGGGAAACCGGGAAACCGGGAAACCGGGATACCGGGATACCGGGATACCGGGATACCGGGATACCGGGAAACCGGGAAACCGGGAAACCGGGAAACCGGGATACCGGGAAACCGGGAAACCGGGAAACCGGGAAACCGGGAAACCGGGAAACCGGGAAACCGGGAAACCGGGAAACCGGGAAACCGGGAAACCGGGATACCGGGATACCGGGATACCGGGATACCGGGAAACCGGGAAACCGGGAAACCGGGATACCGGGATACCGGGATACCGGGATACCGGGATACCGGGATACCGGGATACCGGGAAACCGGGATACCGGGAAACCGGGAAACCGGGATACCGGGAAACCGGGAAACCGGGAAACCGGGAAACCGGGAAACCGGGAAACCGGGAAACCGGGAAACCGGGAAACCGGGAAACCGGGAAACCGGGAAACCGGGAAACCGGGATACCGGGATACCGGGATACCGGGATACCGGGAAACCGGGAAACCGGGAAACCGGGATACCGGGATACCGGGAAACCGGGAAACCGGGAAACCGGGAAACCGGGAAACCGGGAAACCGGGAAACCGGGATACCGGGAAACCGGGAAACCGGGAAACCGGGAAACCGGGATACCGAGATACCGGGATACCGGGATACCGGGAAACCGGGATACGGGGATACCGGGAAACCGGGAAACCGGGATACCGGGATACCGGGATACCGGGAAACCGGGAAACCGGGAAACCGGGATACCGGGATACCGGGATACCGGATACCGGAAACCGGGAAACCGGGAAACCGGGATACCGGGATACCGGGAAACCGGGATACCGGGAAACCGGGAAACCGGGAAACCGGGATACCGGGATACCGGGATACCGGGATACCGGGATACCGGGATACCGGGATACCGGGATATTGGGATGCCGGGATATTGGGATACCGGGAAACCGGGAAACCGGGAAACCGGGAAACCGGGATACCGGGATACCGGGATACCGGGATACCGGGATACCGGGATACCGGGATACCGGGAAACCGGGAAACCGGGATACCGGGATACCGGGATACCGGGAAACCGGGAAACCGGGATACCGGGATACCGGATACCGGGAAACCGGGATTCCGGGAAACCGGGAAACCGGGAAACCGGGAAACCGGGACACCGGGACACCGGGACACCGGGACACCGGGACACCGGGACACCGGGACACCGGGACACCGGGACACCGGGACACCGGGACACCGGGACACCGGGACACCGGGACACCGGGACACCGGGACACCGGGACACCGGGACACCGGGACACCGGGACACCGGGACACCGGGACACCGGGACACCGGGACACCGGGACACCGGGACACCGGGACACCGGGACACCGGGACACCGGGACACCGGGACACCGGGAAACCGGGAAAACGGGAAAACCGGGATACCGGGATACCGGGATACCGGGATACCGGGATACCGGGATACCGGGATACCGGGATACCGGGAAACCGGGAAACCGGGATACCGGGATACCGGGATACCGGGATACCGGGATACCGGGATACCGGGATACCGGGATACCGGGATACCGGGAAACCGGGATACCGGGATACCGGGAAACCGGGAAACCGGGAAACCGGGAAACCGGGATACCGGGATACCGGGATACCGGGATACCGGGATACCGGGAAACCGGGATACCGGGAAACCGGGATACCGGGATACCGGGATACCGGGATACCGGGATACCGGGATACCGGGATACCGGGATACCGGGATACCGGGAAACCGGGATACCGGGATACCGGGAAACCGGGAAACCGGGATACCGGGATACCGGATACCGGGAAACCGGGATACCGGGATACCGGGATACCGGGAAACCGGGAAACCGGGATACCGGGAAACCGGGATACCGGGATACCGGGATACCGGGATACCGGGATACCGGTAAACCGGGACACCGGGACACCGGGAAACCGGGATACCGGGATACCGGGATACCGGGATACCGGGATACCGGGAAACCGGGAAACCGGGAAACCGGGAAACCGGGAAACCGGGAAACCGGGAAACCGCGATACCGGGATACCGGGATACCGGGATACCGGGATACCGGGATACCAGGATACCGGGATACCGGGATACTGGGATACCGGGATACCGGGAGACCGGGATACCGGGAAACCGGGATACCGGGAAACCGGGATACCGGGATACCGGGAAACCGGGAAACCGGGATACCGGGATACCGGGATACCGGGAAACCGGCATACCGGGAAACCGGGATACCGGGAAACCGGAAAACAAACCAGGAAACCGAGAAACAAACCGGGAAACCGGGAAACTGGGAAACCGGGAAAAAAACCGGGAAACCGGGAAACAAACCGGGAAACCGGGAAACAAACCGGGAAACCGGGAAACAAACCGGGAAACCGAGAAACAATCCGGGAAACCGGGAAGCCGGGAAACCGGGAAACTGAGAAACCAGGACCGGGAAACCGGGAAACCGGTAAACTGGGAAACCGGGAAACCGGGAAACGGGGAAACCGGGAAGCAAACCGGGAAACAAACCTACCCACCAGCCCACCCACCCACCCACAGGCCTTTATAAGCGCCTCAAAAGTCGCACCGCAGAACTCGTCTGGTGGGGGACAGCAAAAAAACTAGCAATCCGGTTCTGAGTTGACTCAGAAACTAGCATCAGCCCACCCACAGACATGACTGATCAGCTACACAGAAAGGAAGAAAGAGCTACCTGGTCAACCGTGAGCGGTGCAAAGCGGTGGTAATGGTGGCACTCGAAGGCGTCCCCAGTGGCGTCACAGATGGCTCGCAGGAGGGGCAGCACGGAGGGGTCTCCACACACGTGCACCTCCGCTGCTTGCCTGGCTGCTGCTCCCTTGCACCTTTCCCCCACCAGTCCCCGCAGCACCCCCACCCCCCACCCCCACCAGTCCCCGCAGCACCCCCACCCCCCACCAGCGCACCCACCAACGGCCATGCTTGATCAAACAGACAGGAGTCAACCTACCTGGTCCACTGTGAGCGGTGCAAAGCGGTGGTAATGATGGCATTCGAAGGCGTCCCCAGTGGCGTCACAGATGGCTCGCAGGAGGGGCAGCACGGAGGGGTCGCCACACACGTGCACCTCCGCTGCTTGCACTCCCAGGAGGGCTCTTGTCCACGCCCACCCGCGATAGTCATCGCTTATCATCTGAGAAGGGTTATTGTGGGAGTGAAGGAACAGGGGAACATGCATGAGGAAGCAGCGGCAGCACGGAGGGGTCGCCACACACGTGCACCTCCGCTGCCTGCACTCCCAGCAGCGCCCTCGTCCACGCACAGCCCCGACAGGCATAGCTGATCATCTGAAGCACACGGGGTGCGGGTGGGTGGGGGGAGGAGGGTCAAGGCAGCAAGGAGGGGTCGCCACGCACATGCACCCCTGCTGCCTGCACTCCCAGGAGCGCCCTTGTCCACGCACAGCCCCGACAGGCATAGCTGATCATCTGAAGCACACGGGGTGCGGGTGGGTGGGGGGAGGAGGGTCAAGGCAGCAAGGAGGGGTCGCCACGCACATGCACCCCTGCTGCCTGCACTCCCAGGAGCGCCCTCGTCCACGCACAGCCCCGACAGGCATAGCTGATCATCTGAAGCACACGGGGTGCGGGTGGGTGGGGGGAGGAGGGTCAAGGCAGCAAGGAGGGGTCGCCACGCACATGCACCCCTGCTGCCTGCACTCCCAGGAGCGCCCTCGTCCACGCACAGCCCCGACAGGCATAGCTGATCATCTGAAGCACACGGGGTGCGGGTGGGTGGGGGGAGGAGGGTCAAGGCAGCAAGGAGGGGTCGCCACGCACATGCACCCCTGCTGCCTGCACTCCCAGGAGCGCCCTCGTCCACGCACAGCCCCGACAGGCATAGCTGATCATCTGAGAGAGAGGGCAGGGTGACCATGAGGAAAGAGGGAGTGGAAGGACGTGCTGTGCTGTGCTGTGAGAGGGCTCAACATGCTCTCGTCTCGTCCCAACCAATCAACGTCCACAATATCACGAAATTTCACTAGTATGATCGTATCATTAGTGACGAAGTCCTAAACGCTAAGTACCTGGATCTCATCAATGACTGCCACGTCCACAGGCGTGGAGAGGTTGGCCATCTCGATGGTGCACGCCGTGTGGTGGGCGAACAGCGCACCTCTTGAGCACACCACACCACACCACACCACGCCACACCACACCACACCACACCACTCCACACCGCCTAGTCAATGAGAGTACCTGAATCTCGTCAATGATCGCCACGTCCACAGGCGTGCTCAGATTGGCCATTTCGATGGTGCACGCGGTGTGGTGGGCGAAGGGCATCTCCTTCCTCTCCTGCCCCGTCACCAGATTGCAATACACTCCATCCGCGTTCACCCGGTCAAACACCTGTGAATGGGGAGCGGGGAGTGGGACAGGTGGGGAGAAAAAGGGGTGGTTCAGGCGTGATGAGGATTGATGCATGCACCCGGTGAAAGTCCTTCCTCTCCTGCCCTGTCACCGGATTGCAGTACACCCCGTCCGCGTTCACGCGGTCAAACACCTGCCGGGAGTGGTGGGATGGATGGGGAATGGGGAGTGCGGTGGGAGCGGGTGGGAAAGGAAGGAGTGCGGTGGCTTAGGGCTGATAACTGACCTTTATGTCACCACACCCCGTCCGAGTTGACCCCCCACCCCTCCATCCGCCCCTCCATACCTCCATCCACTCCATCACACCTCCCTCCCTCCACCCCTCCGTACCTCCATGGCCAGCAGCCTGAGCGGCCCGCAGTAGGTGCCGGAGGAAGCTTCCTTGAACCTGACCAGCGCTCGGTGCGTCTTGCCACTGTTGGTGGGGCCCATGTGGTATACCACCTTGCGCGGCATGGCGCGCGCCTGGGGGTACCTGATAAGTGGTACGAGGGAGGGAGGGGCAGGGAGGCAGGGAAACAGTGCTGTTGGTGGGGCCCATGTGGTATACCACCTTGCGTGCGAGGGATGGCACATGCCTGAGGGTACCTGGCAGCACGCTGCACTGCACTACACCACACCACAGCACACCACACCCCACCACAACATACCACATGTGTGGCTTGGTCATATCAGCCGAGTTCACCAAATCTTTGTAGTTCCGAATCTCCTCGGGGAATTCCCCAAAGCAAAACTCCGCAAAGAGCAAACACGGAACAGCACTCCACACCACATTGCACCGCATTACACCACTTCACGTACCACACGTGCGGCTTGGTCATATCAGCCGAGTTCACCAAATCACGGCAGGTCCGAATCTCCTCGGGGAACTCCCCAAAGCAGAACTCCGCAAAGAGCAAACACGGAACACCACACACCACTCCATACCACGTTGCACCGCATTACATCACTTCACATACCACACGTGAGGCTTGGTCATATCAGCCGAGTTCACCAAATCTCGATAATTCCGAATCTCCTCCGGGAACTCCCCGAAGCAGAACTCTGCAAAGAGCGGGAACAGAAACTCGTCCGCGTCCCTCCCCGCGCCCATGTGCGCGAGCGCAGAGGCGAGCTCGGGGCGGCAGCAGCGCAGCACAAAGCGGCGGAACTTGGAGGCTGCGGTGGGGAAGAAGCGCGATGGGATGTAGATGGCGAGTGCCTGGTCCGCTGCCCACCTGCATGGAACATGGGGGGAAGGAGGAGAGGGGAGCGGGGGGAAGGAGATGAGGGGAAAGCAAGGGGCCAACGGGGGAAGAAGCGCGAAGGGATGTAGATGGCCAGTGCTTGGTCCGCTGCCCACCTGCATGGAAGTGGGAAGTGAGAAACAGGCAAGCACAAACGGGTGACGGGGGTGCGGGCGACAGCAGCGCAGCACAAAGCGGCGGAACTTGGAGGCTGCGGTGGGGAAGAAGCGCGATGGGATGTAGATGGCGAGTGCCTGGTCCGCTGCCCACCTGCAGGGAAATGAGAAAAGGAAACAGGGCAAACAAGAAGGGGAGGAACTTGGATGCTGCGGTGGGGAAGAAGCACGAAGGGATGTATATGGCGAGTGCTTGGTCCGCTGCCCACCTGCAGGGAAGTGAGAGGAGAAGCAGGGCAGACACCAAGGGGTGAGGGTGGGGCGGCAGCAGCGCAGCACGAAGCGGCGGAACTTGGATGCGGCGCAGGTGGGAGGTGGGAGGAGGGAGGTGGGAGGTGGGACGTGGGAGGTGGGAGGGGGGAGGTGGGAGGTGGGAGGTGGGAGGTGGGAGGTGGGAGGTGGGGAGGGAGAACAAAGAGAGAGGGCTGTTCAAGGGGTTTAAGGTGTAGGCTGGGCAGGAAAATGGGAGACGAGGGGGGTGAGGAGGTGGGTGGGAGGGGAAAGGGTGGAAATGAAGCATTTGCAAACCATACCCGTGCTGCCCGATAAGGATAAGAGAATACTACGTGCCACGTTCCACTAACGAATCTACATACCCGCGCGTGGCAAAGTGCTTCAGCGCATTGTTGACTCGCTCCCTGTCGCTCTTGCTCAGAGGGGGCGGCTTGGGCGCCGTCCCTTCATCCACAGCCCTCATTACAGTCACCTCCGCTTCCGCATCCATCTCCCACGAGTCCTCCTCGTCCTCGCCTTGCCACACCTGCTTCTCCCCCGCTATACTCACATCGCCGCTCAGCACCGGCTCTTCCAGGACCAGCTTCGCCCCCTCTATAGTCACATCGCTGCTCCCGTTTGTGTCACTATCCGTGGATACCGTTGCTTCGCTAACAGCGGCAGTGCTACCACCGCCACCGCCGTTGCCGCCGCCGCCACTGCTCCTGCTGCTGTTTCCGCTAGCGCGCTTCTTCCTGCCCCGCGTAATGCTACTGGTCTCACCGCTGCTTCTGCCGTTGGTGCCGCTGCCGCTGTCCGCATTGTCACCCCACCTTGCAGTGCCACTACTGATACTGTCACTACTGTTGCTTGCACTGCTGCTGCCATTGCTGCTAGCACTGCTGCTCGCATCGCTGCTGGCGCTGCTAGTCAGTCTCTTCCTCGGCCTCCCTCTTTTAGCCACTGGCACGCTATCCTCCGGGCTGGAACCCGACGAATCAGGCGAGGACACGTCAGCGGAGGGGAGATCCCCAGGTTTAGGGTTCGATCCATCGTGAATGGGTCCTGACGCATCGGATCGGTCGCTTGCTTCGCCAAACGAGCGTGACTGTAACGAGGTGAAGCTGGAGTAGGCACCTACGGGTGACGCAGAATCGGGGAAGACTCTAAACGGGAGAGGAGATTCCGTAGGCGATCGGAAAAGCGAGGAGCTGCCAGATCCTGTTTTCAGACCCACGCTGAAAGGCACGATCCTTGTAAAATGTTGATCAGGAAAACGGTGTCCTTGTGCCTGACGAGTGATCGGACCGTGACTGTACTCGGTGTGACTGTGTTCCGAGTGACTGTATGACGTAGACGGTTTGCCCGACTCAAGGAGAGACGAGCATCTCCTGAAGAAGCTCGGCTGCGGCTGCGGAGGTATAGTCGACGGAAGAGCAGATGAGTTCGCGGATACGTGGAGCCGATTAACGTTAAATGAGACGTCAGAATTGACGGTGACGTCAACTTGCTTCGGGGAAGCAGGACTAGTGCCTAGAGTGTACGAGATGCTATTGGTCGAACTCTTTTTGGCTAAGGCTCGACGAGACGAGGCGCGCCGTACGCCACTAACGACCAGCCTAACAGGATGAGGCGCCATGGGCGCGGGGTTCGACACGAGCACAAATTCGGACCTTGGAAACTCGTGCGCAGAAAAGCAATCAGTATACGCTATATGGACCTTTTCATTGCCAGTAAACAAGTCTAACTGATAACGTGAGTCAGAGGATGGATTTCATAGGTGTTTAGTGCTTCTGAAAGCTGTATTCTCCTTCCTTACTACGGGTAAGCTTGTGAAGAACACGATTTCCTGGTTTCCCGCGCACCTTCCACAAACAACTCGCTATCAGCGATCCACCGACTAAAAGCCGCTGCAGCAAGCAACCCTCGAGGAGACCACACGTCGAACATGCGCTGGTCACAGCTGGGCAGCTCGATTGTGCAACCAGCGCCACGCAAAACCAATCGCTTCTGCCACGTACGCAGCTTTTTCCCTTGGCAGGAAAACGTAACCAGGTACTTGTTGATGTGACTTGGCAGTAATTTTGCTTCTGCCAAATAGTGGTTGGACACGTAGCCGATACCCGAAGTCTGCACGCTATCAAAGCGGTTTAGCAGCTCCGGGACAGGCTCGGCATTCCGCGCCTGCACGTGGTCTATGCGTGCTTCGCGTGCTGTTGTCAGAGCTGTTCTCTGTCAGCCTTCCACCTCCACCCTATTTCACCACCACCCACAAACCGATTACCATTTCACTTCATTTATCCAGCTATTTTCTTCGGCTCCCCCTCACAGCAATTCTCCTCTCGCCGCGCCTGTTGCTACGTCACCTCGTCCTTCGGCCTCGCGCTTGACGCTCTCCACAATATCTAACCTTTTGCATCTCCGCGAAGGCTCTCTTATCTGACAACATGCCGGGCGAAAATCACTCTGCTAACGCCACAGAAGTCAGCAATCAACCTCCCAGCAGTCAGAGCGGCGCCAGTCCTCCCAGAGAGAATGCTCTTTTGACGAACGAGGCTGTCTCTGTGCGCGTTTCCGAGTCTTCCCCCGACCATCAGTGCGGTCACATGCACCTCTCGCACCGCGCGCCCTGGCTTCGCGCCGCGCTTCTCGGCGCCAACGACGGGCTAGTGTCGGTCGCGTCGCTCATGGTCGGCGTCGGCGCCGTCGACAGCAGCCAGATCGTCATCTCTGGATTGGCCGGGCTTGTCGGCGGCGCGTGCAGCATGGCTATTGGCGAGTACATCTCCGTTTATGGCCAACGCGATGTAGAAGAAGCGGACGTGCAGAAGGAAAGAGAGGAATTTCTTAAAGGCCCAGAAGCAGTCGAGCGGGAGATGGAGGAATTAGCGCAGATTTACGTCTCGCGCGGATTGTCGCACAGACTCGCACGCGAAGTCGCAGAGGAGCTTTCGCGAGTCGACCCTGTTCGCGCACACGCACGCGACGAGTTGGGTATCGATATGGACGACCTCTCGAACCCGTTACAAGCTGCTATGGCATCCGCCGCGGCGTTCATCGTCGGAGCAATCATCCCGTTATTATCCGCCGCGTTTATAAAAGACCACGTCGTGCAACTCGTGGTTCTTCTAGTAGTGACAACACTGACGTTTATCGGCTTTGGCATGCTTGGCGCATGGCTTGGCGGAGCGAACAAGTTACGAGCCGCGGCGCGAACTACAGCAGGAGGATGGCTCGCGATGGGAATCACGTATGGCATTCTGCGCCTCTTCGGTACCTCTGGGATGGCTTGAGCCGAGCGAGTAATGGGAGGGGAAGGTGATGACGACACAACATTACAAACGAGTGCTGCGTTATAAAGCGGAATGTTCTCCGCTGTTTAATTATACAAGAGTGCAAGTTATTGCCTTGTACAGCACAGATATCTAATATACAACACATTTCCTTGTCCATAAAGACATGATCACTCTGCTGAAAGAGCGCTCTGTACAAGCACACTGTGCAGCCACACCACCCCTCAGTACAGAGTGTCGGTATGCCAGCGCCTTTTCTTTGGGCCTTGCCCCTCCCTCTGCTTCTTCAGCTCCATGTGCTCGATTCCATGCCCTCTGTTTGCAAACAGTCTTCGTAGATTAATCACTGACAGCTCTGCATAGCTAGACACTGCCAGATCCGCCTGCTTCAACTCATAGCTGATCGTAACGTGAAACAGGGTAGGTGGGGGGTGGGGGGGGGCGCGGGAGGATTTGGAGAAGGTGTGAGGAGAAACGAGAAAGAAGGGGGAAGGTGAGAGAGAGGAGAATGTTGATTGGTAATGGCAGTCACATGGGAGGTCCCGCGTGGGAACACCTCCTTTCACATTATAAAGATCACGTCGGTGTGTGGCCATGAGGTCAGCAGCATGCTCACACAGGGTGTGTGCGGCTGAGGGGAAGAGAAGAGTAAGCTTGTGGAAGGACAGCAGCAGCACCAACAGCAGCAGCATCAACAGCAGCAGCATCAACAGCAGCAGCATCAACAGTAGCAGCATCAACAGTAGCAGCATCAACAGTAGCAGCATCAACAGCAGCAACAACATCAGCAGCAGCAGCAGCATGCTCACACAGGGTGTGTGTGGATGAGGGGAAGAGGAGAGTAAGCTTGTGGAAGGACAGACAGCAGCATCAACAGCAGCAGCATCAACAGCAGCAACAACATCAGCAGCAGCAGCAGCATGCTCACACAGGGTGTGTGTGGATGAGGGGAAGAGGAGAATAAGCTTGTGAAAGGACAGCAGCAGGATCAACAGCAGCGGTAGAGGCACGGCAGCATGCTCACGCGGGGTGTGTGCCGATGAGCGCCACGGCCTTCATGCTGCAGTTGTGCGCTGCTGTGATTCCCCTCGGGTCATCCTCAAACACCACACACTTGGCTGGCGCTCGGTCCAGCTGGTTGATTTAAGGATGCCAACAGCATGCGAAAGGGGAGAGGGAAGGAAGAATGGAACATAATCTGAGAGCCACAGCCTTCGTGCTGCTGTGATTCCCCTCGGGTCATCCTCAAACACCACACACTTGGCTGGTGCTCGGTCCAGCTGGTTGGAGGATGGAAAAGACACGCGGAAGGGCGGAGGGCAAGGAACATGGACTAGAAATGGAGTGAGACCTAGGAAAGGGGAAGAATGGAACGTGGATTGAGCGAGAAGGCATGCCACGGACGACCAAAACAGGAACTCGAGAAGAAAAGCAGGCTGCATTAGACATCCTACAGATGGAGTGGATGGATGCACAAGAGCAAGAGGAAGAAGGAGAACGGGGAGTAATGAGGAAGAGAAGGGTGGCTGACCTTGACAGCGGCAGAGAGGAACCGATGAGCCATTGACTCCATGTCATCCTCTGCTGTCACAAACGCCTGGTGGTGGGAGCAAGAGAGGAGAGGGCGTTTTTCCAAAAAGTTACGTTATGTGAAATTGGAATGGAAGACAATGAGGTCGGCCATCGACTCCCATGTCATCCTCTCCTGTCACAAACGCGCCTGGTAGTGGGAACGGGAGAGGCGAGGGCGACTTTCCAAAAAGTACCAATCCCAAGAAAAAGTGGGATTGGGATGGAAGCAATGTGGTGGACTGTCACGAATGCCTGGTGGTGGGAGCAAGAGAGGCATGATGCAGCAGCTTCATACATATAGCCAAGTGCACAACTTTAAAGCGGTGCAAAAAACGTTTGGGTACCTGGAAGTGGTGCAGCAGCTTCATGCGGTCGAGGGCAGAGAGCAGAGTGAGGCGGTCTATGGACGTGGCCACGGCACATGGCACTCCCGCCTTCTGCAACGCATCCAACCACTCCTGCACGCCGTCTAATGGCGCTCGCACCTGGTGAAAGTAAAATTAGAGTAACGAGGAAAAGTCAGGGTTAACATAAAATACCTTCTGCAACGCATCCAGCCACTCCTGCACTCCATCTAGTGGCGCTCGCACATGGCGTGAGAGGAGGGTGGAGAGGATGATAGGGTCGAGGGTTCAAATCGAGAATGGCCTTCTGCAGGGCCTCCAGCCACTCCTGCACGGCGTCCAGTGGTGCTCGCACCTGGTGAAAGTAAAATTAGAGTAACGAGGAAAATTCAGGTTAAACATAAAGTACCTTCTGCAGTGCTTCCAGCCACTCCTGCACGCCTTCCAGTGGCGCTCGCACCTGACATAGGAGGAGCGGGTAGAGAAGATTATGTGGTTGAAGCAAGAGTTGCCTTCTGCAGGGCATCCAGCCACTCCTGCACGCCATCTAGTGGCGCTCGCACCTGGCGTGAGAGGAGGGTAGAGAGGATGATAGGGTCGAGGGTTCACATCAAGAATGGCCTTCTGCAGGGCATCCAGCCACTCCTGCACGCCTTCTAGTGGCGCTCGCACCTGCTTGGAGAGGATTTAGGGCAAAGCGGAGCATGTGGTGGGGAAAAACGTTGCATCTCTGGGAATGCATGCAGCCACGCCAAACATCCCTTGGTCCATTGGTCTCGCTTCAATGCCGCTTCCAGTGGTGCTCACACCTGCCCGTGCAGGCACTGGAGTGGAAAATCCTCAACACGGGGTTGGCTCCACTGAAAAAAAATCCTTGTGCGGCGCATTCAGTCAAGAGGGACTTTCACGCTGGGAGTGGCATCGAGATTGAGAAAACCGGGGTGAGCCCATGTGCTTGTTGTGTTTGTTGTAAGAGCATGTGGGCGTGAGAGGCGGAAGGCGAGTGAGGGCGGGAGTGAACCTTGGAGAGCTGGCGGCAGTAGGGCTCACAGAGTCTGTACATGAACAACAGAACAGTGGGCGCGTCTTGCGAGGTCTAAAACGGAATCTACTTTCAGCGGGAAGGAGGAGGGGAGCAGAACTTACCTTGGAGAGCTGGCGACAGTAGAGCTCAGACAATCTATCTTTGAGCGACGCAATGGTGGGCTCGTCCGATGCCCAGAAGAGGACCTGCAAGGAGAGGACGTGGGAGGAGGATGGGCTCAGAGAGTCTGTCTTGCAATGGTGGGCTCGTCTGATGCCCAGAAAAGCACCTGTGCGGAGAGGACGTGGGGAAGAGGATGGGACGCGCAGGCACAGAAATAAAGGGTTGAAACAGGAGGAGAAAGGGACGCAGAGATATGAGGTTGGAGAAGTGCGGGAAGATGAGTGGGAGAGAATGAAGAGGAGGTGTTGGACAAGTGAGGCAATGAACGAGTCTTGATTGGTTAAGAAAAGTGGGAGGGGTTGAAGGAGTGAGAAGAAGAGAAAGAGTAGGTGGGAGGGGGTGGCAGAGTTGGAAGGAAGGGCGCACTGATTTGATGCAGTGGGCAGGTGACGCGGTTGAGAGCTGGCGGAGTGAGGAAGGAGAGTCGGGCAGAGGCTTCCCTGTGAGTGAATGGGGAGAGAGCGAGGGGGAGATGGAGCGAGAGATGAGAGTGCAACAAGTGAACGATCCGTGCAAGAAGGAGAATGTCCGAATTATACATCATAGACACAACAGATTGGTAGCATTGAAAAGGAGTGCATGAAAGGCAGTGGGAACGGCTTGTGGGAAAGACAGTTGGGAAGGTAGTGGGAAAGGCAGTGGTGCAGTGATGCCTCCGTGTCTTGATCTTAACCCGTTGGCTCACCTACTTCCTCTGCCAGCTGCTTCCAAGCCTCAAATCTCAGATCACGGGTGTTAGCATGACCACATGTAGAAAAATACATGGATAGAAATTGAGGGAAATTATCAAGATAGGAGACCGTAAAAATCATGTACAATTGCATCATGGACCCAGGCATGAATGGTTCGCAGCCGGAAATCTCAATGCACCAACAGATCCACATGCAATGACATTGTCCCAGGGAGTACGCATGTCCCAAACCTGAGACGATTTTTGAAGCGCTTAATAAAAAACACATTCAATCACAATCCCAAATGGCAGCACGAGTTTGAAGGCCAACGCTTAAGTCAACTTAGAAACATACAATGACATTGTCCCAGGAGTACAAGAGTCCAAACGTTAATGTTTGAGTCGATTTAAATACATACAATGACGTTGTCCCAGGAGTACACGAGTCCAAATGCCTCGTCTGGTCGCATGGCAAGGCGTATCCTGTCCACCCCTCTCTTCCTCATGCGATCATTCAGGAAATCCTGAAAGAGCCGGCAGAAGAGACAGAGGCTTCGTTGGAGAGTCAGGTGGTATGGTAACCTGGATGGAGCCGAACCGAACTGAGAGGCAGTGAGTTAGAGCTGGGAGGAAAAAAAAACAAGTCATGCTCCAATCACAGCTCACCACGTCAACTTGCAGAGCTCCTTTGGGTCGGAAAGTGGCAAATCCCTCCCCTCTCTCTGCTCCGATCTCCTGAGAGGCAGCGACAGGATGAGTCAAAGGCGAGAAGGGGACCGAGGGGTGGATTAGCACACTATGGCTAACAAAAGGAGGCCAGATAACGATTAAAAGGAGCAAACCGACTGTGCCTACGCCATTATTGAACCTTTCAGGGATCGCACCTCTTCACCGGGAAAGTGTCCTGGTTTGGCTCGTCTGGCCTGAATCAGCGGATTTGATAGAGGTGAAACAGCCTCTACTTCCGCTGTACTCTCGCTGCCGCTGCTGGTGCTTCTGCTTCCGCCGTTGTCGCGACTCGGGACGCTGCAGCATCTCCAGCTCGGGGATGATTCTAGTGATGTTGTAGATTCGCGATATAAGGTGGTTGACGAACGAGAACGGTGTAAGGCGAGATGCTGACTTCGGAAAGATGGAAAGCATTCTGTCGTCGCGAGTTTTTTTCGTACCTTCGCGATCGAATCTGTTATAAAGCAACTACCGTGGTTTCGAGGGCACAATTACGACGACGCTCTGATGTGACTGGGAGTTGCATACGGAACAGAACTACATGCGTGAGAGGTATGTGAGAAAGGCTGCACAGTAGCTATAGGCGTGCAGTAGGAGGCCATAGAATCAGCCCGTCCTGTTTCGTAACGACATGAGAGTGATAAGAGTGGCTTGACGATGCGACCTGTCAAGTTCTAGTGTCCTGTCCCGGTGATTGCGAGCCTCGATAACATGCCAGAGAAAAATGGAAGAAAGAACATATTGCTCTTAAGTCTGTTCCAATTTCTGAATACTAACGAGTAACGAATCCATTGTGTCCTGCGTTTATCGAGTGGTTTGCGAAAGTAGGAGCAGGTTTCTGTGGCTGTCTGACATTTGTCGACACGTGTCTACCTTGTTTGGATTTCGTCTAGTTGGCCGAACCGTTGCGCGTTGGCCCTCGACCTGCCCGAATTGAGTTGTCGAGCCAAAAAGGTCCCTCACAATTTGGGTTCGGACGGCAGGTACGTCGGCTTTCGGAGCCGAACCTTCACCCTGCCTGCGCGGGAAACCTTCCACCGCCGCGTATGGGCACCGTGGCCTCGACAGGCAGTTTCTGTCCTCACTTTGCACGGCCCTCCAAACCACGGGCTTGCCGCTGATGGTCATCCAGCACCTCACCCACCCAACTTTCCGTTGAGAGGAAAAGGCATCCAAGGAACAACATCAATCCCCCGATTTGCCTGGACGGCGTAGATTCTTTTAAACGTTGCGCGGCGAAACGTAGCGAAAAGGTGGGTCAAGCCTAGGGCGGGCGACGAGGGGGAAATCCCAATAATCGCACTGGGCTTGGATTGGATGCTTTTCCTCCTCAGCTCAGTGGTGGTCAGCAGGGGGACGAGACGAGGATGATGGCAAAAACTTCATGGCTTCCTTGCAGCACAGGAATTCGTAGAATAGCAGATGAAGCAGTGAGGGAGGTTCATAACGTTCAGTGTGAGCGTCTTAGCAACTACGATATGGTTATTTTCGTCTAAACGTTGCTTCTGGAGGTGATCGTTCCTTTGAGTTTTAGTAGCTTGTTGGTTCGGCGAATTCTGAAAACTTATGCTGTGGGATTTTAGGTTATATGATAGATTTGCCCAACTTACTGGACGACTAGCCGCGTCGGTTCGTTCTCGTGAATCACTTGCTAAGCTTAACGACTAATCGAATCACACTCAGAAAATGGACGAGCGGGAGTTTTTTACGGAGTACGGAGAAGCTAGCAAGTACCGTCTGTTAGAAGTGATAGGCCGAGGCAGCTATGGTATCGTTTGTTCAGCGATAGATACGCATACAGGGGAGAAGGTCGCGATTAAGAAGATTAATGACATATTCGAGCACGTCTCAGATGCCACGAGGATTCTTCGCGAAATCAAGCTCCTTAGGTTGCTCCGTCACCCTGATATAGTGGAGATCAAGCACATCATGCTTCCTCCGTCACGGCGAGATTTCAAGGACATCTATGTCGTTTTTGAGCTGATGGAATCTGACCTTCATCAAGTAATTAAGGCGAACGATGACCTTACACCTGAGCACTTCCAGTTCTTCCTCTATCAGCTGCTGAGAGCTCTGAAGTACATCCACACAGGTACTGCACATTATGTCTCGAGATTCGTTCATAAGTGTTTCTACAGTAAGTTCGAATTCTAATTTCTCGCCGTCCGTCCTTTTCAGCCAACGTGTTCCACCGAGACTTGAAGCCGAAGAACATCCTGGCGAACGCTGACTGTAAACTAAAGATATGCGACTTTGGCTTGGCTAGGGTTGCTTTCAGCGATGCGCCAACGGCCATTTTCTGGACGGTACGACACTTGCTGTGTCCCTCATTCTTTAGTTTCCTTGTCGATGTGCTCTGTATAGGGTTCCCGTGGGAAGTCCAGCAGCTCGTTTCCAACATCGGCCTTTTACTTCAGACTTGGCTAATTCGTCCATTTGTCGGTCCACCTTCCATTTGTTCAGGATTACGTGGCCACGAGATGGTACAGAGCGCCTGAACTGTGTGGCTCCTTCTTCTCCAAGGTATCCGTCTTTCCGCTGGTTCATTCCTATTTCGTATCCTAGTTTTCATCCGCTCACGGTGTTTTCGCGTCTGATAACAGTACACTCCCGCCATTGACATCTGGAGCATAGGGTGCATCTTCGCCGAGCTTCTGACTGGGAAACCGTTGTTTCCCGGGAAGAATGTGGTCCACCAACTCGAGCTCATGACCGACCTTCTGGGAACGCCTTCACCAGAGTCGATCGCCAAGGTGACAGCCAAATCTGGTTTTTGGAATCATTCTCCTGCGCGTTTCGTAGCAGTGTCTAAGTACCTCGCATATTTCTCTGCCAGGTTCGAAATGAGAAGGCACGGAGATACCTTGGGAGCATGCGGAAGAAGCAACCAATGCCATTGTCGGCGAAGTGCCCGAACGCAGACCCGCTTGCTGTGAAGCTGATGGAGAAGATGCTCGCATTTGACCCAACACACAGGCCGACTGCAGAGGAGGTACATAACTGTTGGCCGTTAAGGTATATTTTGTGGCATTTGTAGTCATGGGGATTCGACTAAACGAGGACTTACCTTTTGCAGGCTCTTGCTGACCCTTATTTCAAGGGCCTGGCCAAGGTTGAAAGAGAACCAGCGGCTCAACCCATCACCAAGGTGGAATTCGAGTTCGAGAGGCGAAGACTGAACATGGACGATGTCAGAGAGCTCATCTACCGCGAGGTAAAGCTTGGAAGTTGTTTCTCACCAATCCAGCTTTCTGTGTTGACCGTGACGCAGGGCTTCACTTAATTGCCCCTTATTACCTGATTGCAGATTCTGGAGTATCATCCTCAGATGCTGAAGGACTTCCTCAACGGGACGGACCCCGGAAACTTTCTGTATCCAAGGTATGGCGGTTATGGTGTGTTGCATGGGGAAGGACTAGTGTGGCGTTACGTTTCCCTGGGATAATTTGATCATCTTCAGTACACGCTGGGAACTCGAACAAGACGATTTTATTTGCATGAAAAGAACGTTAACCATATGGACGAAGGACTGACCCACTTAAGTGGCCCATGGTGTATCTCCTGGAGAGTGTGCACTCAAATGCTGGTCTGTTATGCACTGAAATGCTCGACTGCTATGTTGTGTGGGGCGTTGCAGTGCTGTGGACCAGTTCCGCCGTCAGTTCCACACCCTAGAAGAGCATTATGGCAAGGCGGGTGATGCACCATCGCTGGAGCGCCAGCATGCCTCCCTCCCAAGGTACGCATGTCATCATGAATAGCTCACATTGCTCAAGCCCATGCCCTTTGCTGCCTCGCTGGGTTTCAAGGGTTTTCTTTCAGAGCTGACTTCTGGAACTTGTTGATTGCGTTATCAGGGAACGTGTTGCTGGTGAGAGGAATGAACCACGGGATGAGGCTCAGTTGGAAGAGGAGAGAAGACGAAGAGCAGCAAGGCAGCAAAGGGCATGGGCACAATCAGGATACAAGGGTACGCAACAATCACTCCTCGAGCGAATCTGAAGGACTTGAGCATGTAATTTTGCTCATACCTGTCAATGACCTAGTTCCACCCATTCAACGGACCCATCTCCACCCACATTTCCCCAAGCTCGTCCACTTCCTGATGTCCGAATCTCCCGCACCTCCCCATTTCCCAGGTTCCTTCCTCCCTTCTTGTTTCCATTTTTTCTATACGTCAGTCCTTTTAAAATCACTTCCCCACCTCCGCCCTTCATCCATTCCCCCTCTCCACTCTTCAGTGTCTCCCCTCTCATCTTTGCTAATCCCCCTCTCAATTTTCAGTGTCATTTTCCCTCCCCACTCTTCATCCGTTCCCCCTCCCCACTCTTCAGTGTCATTCCCTCTCCCCTCTCTTCATTGCCATTCCCCGTAACCACTTTTTAGTGTTGACATTTTGATTTCTTTCACCATTTCGCTCTTCAGTCTCTTCTACCGTCCACACACACATTCAGCCCTCATTTCCTCTACCCTCTCCGTTTTCCATTCACCGCCCACACACACACACACACACACACACACACACACACACACACACACACCAACGTGCAGCTGGAGCGGGCCAGCCCGCAGCGCGTCCCGGCAGGGTAGTGGGGTCCAGCGGAGGAGTGAACGGTGCACAGAGAGACGATGTGCGGCGGTACGCTCGCACAGCAGCACTGAGCGCACAGTCCCCGTTTCACATCGGCAGCCAACTAGAAGACTCCACCAGGAAACCAGCAAGGCAGGAGGCAGGAGCTAGATAAATGGCGTGTCACTTCCCCTATCAATCAACCATTTATGCAATTTCTTGTTTTTTAACAAGCGATCCTGCAGTGCCTCCCACAAGGTGCACTCCATATGGCTCAGCTTTAGCCACACCTTTCATGAAGTGCTATGCTAGCCTTCCCCACCTCGTAGCTGTCAACGGCCTGTTATAGCTCATCATCACTCAAGTATAATTCAAGATGATAATCGCAATGCAGGACGAGTGCACTGAACTAAGTGTTGTGCTAACCTCCCCCACCCTTTAGCTGGTTATGGCCTGCAATACTCATCATTCAAGTATAATTCAAGATTATCATCCCAATGCGGGACAAGTGCACAACAAAGCAATTGAGTTGAGAAACTAAGACAAGCAATGTGCAGTACAGATATGTTCAAGAAACAGGCCCTGCCCTTGGCAAACCCCAACGAGGCCTCTTGTTCATTCATTCCCTTCCTCAGCATTCTCTCCTCTTTTCCCACCCCCTCCTCTATGAGAGCTCGCCCCTCCCTCGCCTTCGAAATACTCCCCACTTCCTGTGGCACTGTTCAGGCCACCACCAGCAGCGGCACCACCACCACCCTTGACTGCCTCCCCTCCTCCCCCACCTCCGCCACCGCCCCATGATCCTCCTCCCCCTCCTCCCATTCCTCCTCCCCCTTCCCACCCTCCCACGTTACCATCTGCACTGCCCATTCCCCCTCCGCCTCCTCCCATTTGCCCTCCTCCCCCTCCCCCTCCTCTCCCAAAGAAGGCTGGGTTGATGTGGGGAGCAACACCAGGCAGACCACCGCCCATGCTTGGAACCCCCCCCCCCATACCTCCCCCCATGCCTCCCCCCATGTTTCCCCCCATCCCTCCCCCCGGGCCCATTTGGTTGAACCCAGGGGCCCCCCTGGCGAAGCCGCCCCCTCCCCCAGGCGGACCAGCAAAACCCCTTCCCCCTCCTCCCCCTCCCCCTGCCACAGTCCCCCCTCCTGCCCCCATTCCCCCTGGGCCGATTGACGGGTCGAACCCCCCACCTCCCCCCATAGGGGGTCCTCCGGGGAAAGGCATTCCCCCTGTACCAGCTCCCCTTCCCCCTCCCCCCCTTCCCATACCCCCTCCTCCCCCCATCCCTCCACCCCAGTCCCCGCCTGCTCCTCTTCCCCCCCTTCCCCCATCGACCCCCCCTCTTCCCCCCATCCCCATGCCCCGCCCTGGCATCATTCCCCCCCGCCCAAAGCCTCTCCCTGGCCCAGAACCTCCCCCCATAGGGCCCGCTCCGCCCATGCCTCCCCCCATGCCTCCTGCCATGCCTCCTCCCATTCCTCCCCCCATTGGCCCTCCCCCACCCATTGGGCCCCCTCCTACCCCCATCCCCCCTCCCATGCCCATACCACCCATAGGACCCACCATACCTCCCCCCATCCCTCCACCCATCCCCCCTCCCATCCCCCCTCCCATCCCTCCTCCCATACCTCCCCCCATTCCTCCTCCCATCCCTCCCCCCATCCCTCCCCCCATTCCCCCCATACCTGGCCCCATTCCCCCCATTCCCATCGGGCCCCCCATCGGCCCCCCACCCCTTCCAGGAAAGTTCCCCATGCCCCCACCCCCACCCCTCCCTCCACCCATAGGCCCCATTCCCCCCATCCCCCCCGGCCCACCCATCCCTCCCATGCCTCCGCCCATGCCTCCCCCCATGCCGCCCATTCCTCCCCCCATGCCCCCCGGACCTCCCCCCATGGGCCCCATGTGGGGCCCAGGTTGGGCGGAAGCCATAGCAAGGTGCCTTAGGGTTTGGGGGGTGGCAGGTGTGACTATACAGGGGCGGCCATTGAAGAGCCGCCCTGCCATGTTCTCCTTACAAGCACGCGCTGCTGCTGCATCGGCGAAATCAACCTGTGAGGGAGGAGCGACAAGCAGGGTTCGGCGCAAGAAGACCAGAATCGAAACACACAGAAGGAACCAGAACGGAAGAGGCCAGGGATGAGACAAGAGAGAACAAAAACCAGTAACTGAATGGGAATACAATCTACGCTACACTATGTAAAGGATCGCATGGCTTTAATCTCCACTATCCATGCCACTCACCTGACAGTATCCTTTAGACCGCCCAGTGGCCTTCTCTTCAAAGAACTTCACCCCCACCACTTTCCCAAACTCTGACGCGCCCGCTTCTATGTCCGCGTCTGTCGTCCACCAGTGCAGGTCCCCCACAAACACCGCCAACCCCTCAAATCCCCCTCCGCCTCCCCCTCCGCCTCCCCCTCCGCCTCCGCCCATGCCTCCCCCGCCGCCGCCTCCGCCGCCCCCTCCCCCGCCAGGACCCATTCCCATTCCTCCCTGACCCATACCGCCTCCCCCTTGTCCCATTTGGCCTCCGCCCTGCCCCATTCCGCCTCCCCCCATTCCGCCTGGACCCATAGTGCCTTGTCCGGCTCCCCTCCCACCCATTCCTCCGCCCATTGCCCCCATCCCCCCTCCGCCAGGCCCCATTCCGCCCTGCCCCATCCCACCTTGCCCCATCCCGCCTTGCCCCATTCCCCCCATCCCCCCCATTCCGCCTTGACCCTGAAACCCTCCACTCCCCTGCCCTTCCCCTTGCGCCATCTGCCCAGCATTTCCGCCCATTCCCCCCCCCTGCTGCTGCTGCGCGCCGGAATTTCCGCCTCCGCTTGCCGCTTGCCCCGCCATGCCCTGCGCGGGACGATGCGCCTGGGCGGAACTTCCGCCTCCTTGCGGATGGCCGTCCGCGCCTGAAGTCCCGCCTCCGCCTCCCCCTTGCCCCGCGGGCTCTTGCCCGTTACCTCCTGGTTGCGCATTGTGCGCGATCGCCCCCTCTCCTTCCCCCGGACCTCCTCGCTCTCCGCCATCACCGCCTCCGCTTCCGCCTCCGCTGCCGCCGCCACTAACGTTCTCGCGGTCGCCGTTGCCGCCGCTGCCGGCTGCTCCGCCGCCAACACTACCTTTCCGCTCTTCGTCCTCGTTATGAGCATCGCCTTCTCCTACTTTTAACGCGTCTCCGTCATCTTCGACTTCGTATGTTAATTCCAACTCCTCGTCCTCGGGGTGATCCGTCATATCGATGCGACTACAAACGGGAGCAGATCAACAATAATCAGTGGTTCCGATTAGCTCGCGACGGAGGTTACGCGGATCGGCAGGCCAACAGAAGGGACGCGGAGCAGCAATAAAATGGCGGGAAGTGGGGTGCTATCGACGGTGGGACTGGATCAGCCTGGGAGGGCAATTTCTAGGGCGAGTTTAGAAATGCTGAGCTTTGGAACAGTGATTACAAAGGTGGTCATTTTAAAACATCGCTACCGATGTATTATTGCTCAGGGCGTGTCCCACGAGTTCGTTTTGGGAGAAAAGCTTTTTTTTAAACGTAACTTCGAGTCAGCAAAAGAGTGTACACTCTGACGAAAATAACACGCAGCGCGTCAGCACTGCGCTAAACGAATTTGGACCACGCGGACCCCAGCCCCGCCCTCACAAAACTCGTTTTCCGAATCACATTTGACACGGGTCGCGAGCTGTAACCCGGGCCAGTTGCGAATCTACTGTGCCAAAAATGACGGAGCTCGCACAACCAGAAACATACAAACCAGACTGTCGACTCGCTTGCGACGCTCGTTTTTTTCGCGCGAGTGAGGGTTGGGCGAATTACGCGGACCTGTTCGAGGTGATGGTTCGTAACTGGAAGCTGTTTTTGAACGTGTACATTACGAACCTTTTGACGTTTACAGCACGTCAGTGTCGCGCGTCATTGACGACGCATGTCTACAGTGGTCAAATTTGAAGGGTTACAAAGAGAAAATAGGGTTACAACGCTGAACATGAACTGTAAACGAACGCGTGGGACACGCCCTCAGCACCACTCAACCATTATAGATTATAGAGAAACCGTTTTAAAAACATTATCACACACCCTGGAAGTTCTCAAGCTTCTTTGCTAAATTATTTTCCTGTTGTGTAGCTTTGCACTTATTTCAGTGCATTTTACGGATCTTGGTCCCGTTTGTCTTAGACGAAGCGTTGATAACGCGTATTTTTCTGATCCTTCGACAGAAGTTCTAGTCTAAGATACGCAGTCTAGTTTTGTCAACCTCTGTAAGGTTAGTCTTACCTTAAGTAGGCTTTGCATGCACACATCTGGGACCTGGGAAACATGGAGACCAATTCAGAACCCGTTGCAAGCGACCCTCAACCCTGTATCGCGGATGAAGATTGTTCCGTGAAGTCTAGAGAAACGTCAGGGTCGTTCGAGGTCTCGTCGTCAGACGAGCGTAGAAGCGGGTCTTCCGCTTCGCCTAGCGGTTTGCCAGAGTGTTACGTGATCGTGCATAACGTGGCGAAGAGACATAACATCGGGATGCTCCTTCGAAGGCACGTGAAATACGATTATGTCGTGCTCTTTCCCTTACCTTCTCTCGGTTTCTTGAGTTCGCAAGCGGTGTTGTCATCATGGAGACTGTAGTTGTGCTGGTAAGGGTGGGTTCGATCGCATCAAGCCACTCTAGCAGTATATCTTCCAGCACTTAAAGCGCAGATTCGTCTCGGATGCTTCCCTTGTTCCTTCTTCCTAAGCTCACGTTTCTCCCCCCTCTCCAAACCCCCGTCCCTCTCCTTTCATCTCTCCTCTCATCTTCCTCCAACATCGCCTTCCCTGCACCTCTCGTCTCTTATATTCACATCCCATAGTGCCACGGCGTTCAGTGTGCATCAGATTCTGGTGGTGGGTCGGAGGGATTTCAGTGCGTTCGGTAGCCATGGAGCCGCGGATCACGTCTCGCTGAAGCATTTCAACACACTCACAGACGCCAAGGCTTACCTCCAGGTTGGTTTTACCACTGTCCATTCTTGTGTTTGTACAGTGGTTGTGATTTGAGAACCTTAAAAGAGCGTTTACTCTCTCTTATGTTGGTATCCATTCTTGTCATTGCACAGTTCTTGTCTGTGACATGCCTACCATTCATGCCATTGTCATATAAGTGTCATGCCATTGTCATAGCAGTGCCATGTCATTGTCGTATCACTGGCATGTCATTCTCTTTGAATAGTCATGCTGCTGGCATGCCCATGACATGGCAAATTTATGCGCATACCATGCTGATTTCGACTTCTTGAGGATTCAACCTTTGGCTCACCATGTTTACGCATACCATTCCATGTCATGCCATGCACTCCATGCCGTGGCTATCCATCCCATCTCATTCCATGCCATGTTCTGTCTTCCCATGTCTGCGCATCCCATGCCATGCCATGCCCATGTCTACCCATCACATTCCATGCCATCCCATGTCATACCATGTGATGCCATGTGATGCCATGTGGACTGTGTGTGGGCAGTAGGAGAGGGAGTGCAGCATATGCGGAGTGGAGATAGTGGACAATGCACGCCCCATACAGTCACATCCGTTCACAGGCAACACCGCTTTTCTCCTAGGCAACGAGGTATCAATCACATTCCCTCACACTCCATACTCCTCCTTCTGCTCGTCCAACTCCTCTTTTCGTTTTCATTCATCTCCCTTCACCTGCCGTCATCTCCCATCATTTCGCTTCACCTTGCTCTCCTCCCCGCACCCCTCCCACCAGGGCACGGGGCTTTCCCCCACGGAGCTAGCAGTGTGTGACTCGTTTGTCTACATCCCGCAGCATGGCCCCGGGACTGCGTCGCTCAACGTCATAGTCGCTGCCTCCATCGTCCTGCACCACTTTGCTGGTGAGCGTTCTGCATCTTTGAGTGTAGGAACGACCTTGACTCCTGCATCTAGACTCAGAACCCATTGTGCTGCAGCCCTCTGCACGTGTTTGTGGCTAGAGCACTGTCATCATAAACGCAGCCTATGAGGTTGTTTCTCCGGGTTTTAGTGATCACGAGTTAATGATGTCGTCAGTTTTTCTCCGGGTTATCATTCTAGCAACGCACTTCATTACCAACCATATGTAGCCAACTGCCATTGGGCTTACTTCATTCTGCATTTGCAACCAATCATTCCGCTTGTTTTTTCGCACCCTCCTTTCCTTGATGTGTTCAGTCTGGGCCCAATACCCTGAGCGGGAGCGGGAAGGTGCGAAATTTTCAGTGGCTGCCCGGCCACTGAGAAGGGGCCCTCGCAATCGCTGCCCGGAAGATCCTGCTGAGCTGACAGCTCGGCGGCAAGGCAGGCAGGAAGCAGCTGATAGTGACACGTGGCAGGATTTCGAGGATGGGTCACTGGGATTGCTGGAAGGGGAGGAGGGGGATGGCGAGTCATGACTCATGAACCTTGCAGCTCATCTGTACCAGCAGCATCTACGTCATGCATCGGCTGTCCTTCAGCTTGATTTTGGTCTGGTTGAAAGAGAAAGCTCGTACGGAGATGATGATGCTCAAGTCAAGGAGGTACCGATCTAGTCGAACTTCCAATCAGAAATTTACCTCAGGTCACTACCACATTGCCTGCAGATTGTGCCATGGAGAATTTGTTGGGCTGAGAAAAAGCCCTTAGGATCTTTGCAGGGGTGAAGTCTGAGTAGGATTGATGTAATAGCGGAAGCGTTAATTTAAGTGTTGTGAACCACCTTGCGCTAGTATGTGAGGGCAAAGTAGATTGATTAAAACAAGGAGATACATGATTATATATGAGTACAAGGAATACGAAGAGATGCAGTTATAACTACTTTACTGTTGCTGTTGCGGTTCGATACAGTGACGACTCGGGCAACTGCTCTGTAGCGAGTCAGTTGTGTGTCCTTGCTGTCGCGCTGTACTTGTCAGGTCAAGGGTCGCTGACCTTTGACTTTCCCGTAACCTCCAGCAACTTCTCAACCTCCGAGGGTTGACTCGCGAGTGCCTCGATATGATTTACTTCGCTTCTGATGCGGTGTTTCGACACGACAGAGGCGCTTACGATTTGTTGTTTCCAACACTCCCCTTCGCTTCTGGAGTGTCGTTGCTGATGACGCGGCTCTGTCCAGTCAGCAGCATGCAATACTCGAATTTCTGCTTTCCGAGTTTCTTGGTCAGGTAGTCAGCTGCCATCTCGGATGTGGGGCAGTATGACAGCTCGAGTTTCCCCTTCTCGATTTCGTCCTTCACGAAGAAGTAGCGTAGGGCAATGTGTTTCGTCCTATTCGCGAAGCCGTTCTTGTTGGCGATGCGAATTGCCGACTGGTTGTCGCAGAACAGGGTGAAGTTGGGTAACTCAGCTAACTTCGCTTCTTCCAGCAGCTCGCGAAGGTAAAGTCCTTCCTTGGTGGCTGAGCAGAGTGCAATATATTCTGCTTCAGCTGACGAGAGAGCGATTAATTCCTGCTTGCTCGACTGCCAAGAGATAGGTCCGATAGGTTCGAGGCGGTAGACGTAGCCGGTGCGCGAACGCCTGTTGTCGGAGTCGCCAGCGTGATCGGCGTCGACGTAGCCGATTAACTTAGTCGGTGTGGTTGCGTTCTTGTGGTAGGTTAGGCCGATCGTTGGGGTGCTAACGAGGTAGTGAAGAGCGCGGTCGAGTTCCGCTAGGTGTTCCGCTTCGGGCCTCTTGAGGTAGGTTGCGAGTTGGCTTGCAGAGTACGATAGGTCTGGACGGCAGGTAACAGCTGCGAAGAGAAGGCAGCCCAGCTTTCTCTGGTAGTCGCGTATGCCGGCGGGCTTGAGTAGAACGGGGCCTTCCTTGTTGTTGCCTGACGTGTAGCGGTACGGTGTAGAGATGGCGGTTGGTGTAAGTGCGAAGCGCTTGGCGATGGTGTCGGCGTATTTCGCGGCGCTGAGGTAGATCGCATCTTCCTCTTCCCGGATGTTGAGCCCGAGGTACTGAGTGACGGTAGATGAGACTGTGAGCGTGAGATCTTGCTGCAGCTCCCCTTCGAACCAGGTAGTGATGCCGTCAGTTGAGCCGATGTAAAGGAGATCGTCTACGTAGACGATTAGTAGGATGTAGTCTGCGCCTTTCGTGAGTCGGTACATCCCCTGATCGTGAGGTAATTGCTTGAAGCCGATGCGGATGAGGCGGGCGTGCAGATACTGCTGCCATAGCCGCGGAGCTTGCTTAATCCCGTAGAGCGACTTCAGCAGTTGACAGACCTGGTTCGGCTCCCCGTTGGTACCGTGCGGTAGTTCCACGAAAATTTCTGCGTCAACGGGTGCGTAGAGGAAGGCGTTTGCGACATCGATTTGCCGTAGCTTCTTTTTCTTCATGGCGGCGATCGCGAGAAGGATTCGGAGCGAAGTGTGTCGACTGACCGGAGCGAAGGTTTCGGTGAAGTCTCGTCCGTGTTCTTGGTCGAAGCCACGTACGACCCATCGTGCCTTGAATTTGTCAATTGTGCCGTCAGCCTTCGTCTTCACGCGAAAAACCCATTTTCCGGTGAGAATGGTTTTGTTCCGTACTACGCCGATGGGAACTACTTTCCACGTGTTGCGTTCCTCCAGTGCCTTCAGTTCCTTGTCCATGGCTTCGCGCCATTTTTCCTTATGCTCCCCCCCCAGAGCCTGCTGAACTGTCGCAGGCTCTTTAGGAATGGCTGCGCCGTGAACTGCGGTGACGAGACCAAGGATTTGGAGCCCACTCTGTGTGTAGCGAGGGAGTGAAGTATCCTCTGGATAAACTGTTTCGTCTCCCGCTTCTGGATCAGGTGCGAAATTAGGTCCTACGCGTTCTGCTTCGTCGGTGTTGACTTGTGCAGGTGTAACGTAACCGTTGTCGGCGAAGTGGTAAAAGATTTCGGCGTTGTTACTTTCGCGTGGATTTTCGTCATCCATTGGGACATCGACGGAGCAGTACGGAAGGGGTCCGGCTTCTTCCGAGGCTCCTTCCACGTTCTGCTCGTCCCAGTCAGCTTCGTCTTCTGCCGAAGCGAAGGCACGGGTGCCATTGAATCCGCCCGAGGGATCGGGTCTGTTTGCTGCCACGTACGCAAGGTGAACGTCGAGGGTGAGGTTCTCGTAGAAGATGACATCACGTGCTGCGACTGTTTCCTTGCTGTTGATGTCGAAGATTTTCCATGCATTGTAGTGTTTTTCGATGCCCAGGTGTAGTCCCCACTGTGCTCGCTGGGAGAATCGACTGGCGCGTGCAGATGGGGGTCGGTACTGTACCATGCAGCCGAAGACTCTCAACATTTTTGTGCTGCCCAATTTTCCTGTCCACAGCAGGTGCGGTGATGCGTTGTTCGGGAGCGATGATGACGAAAGCAAGTTGTGGTCATTTTTGTGATGATGACGGCGTGGTCCATTGCTTCGGGCCATTGGTGGTTGGGCAGGTGCATGCCACGTAGCAGCTTGCGCATGGTGGCTTGGAGTGTCCTGTTCATCCTTTCTGCTACGCCTTGTTGTTGATGAGCGTAGGGAAGGGAAATGAGCCGCTTGATCCCCCTTTCTGCCAAGTAGTCCTTGAACCTCTGTGAGGTGTATTCTCCTCCCCCGTCTGACTGGAAACTCTTTAGTTTTACGCCCGATTCTCTTTCTGCTGCAGGAAGCCAGGCGACAAAGGCTTCGAAGGCCATGTCGCGGCTTGGGAGATTGAGGTGCCAGACGTATCTTGTGGCAGCGTCGATGAAGGTGATCGTGTAGTTGTACGCGTTTTGTCCGGGTTCGCGGTTGTACAGTATGTCGTTGTACACCTTTTCGAGTGGCGCGTAGGCTGGTGCGCTTGGATTGTGGTGAGACACAAACGGTTGATGTGATAAATCTGCTTCGGGACAGGTGAAGCATGTTCCTCGAGCTCGCTGAAGTTCTCTGCCGTCGATCATTAGAAGTGAGTCCTTGTCGAGCACTCCTGCTCTTATTGTGTTGTTTAACACCGTGTGGCTTGGATGTCCCATCCTTGCGTGCCAGGTTCCTTCGGTGGCGCGGTGTCCGGGCGAGCGTCGGTACATGTCGGAGTTGGAGTAGAAGCCGGCGGTGACGTTCGCGCTTCGGTGGACTTCTCGTCGTGTCGGGTTGAGCTGTTGCGCGGGTGTCGGTGGTGTGTCGTCGAGGAGTGGTGCCGTTGAAAGACCAGCGACTGGTGTTGAAGTTCCTGCTGTTGCCGTTGATGTTCCTGCTGCTGCCGATGTTGTCTCTGTTGCTGCCGACGTTGTCTCTGCTGCTGCCGACGTTGTCTCTGCTGCTGCCGACGTTGTCTCTGCTGCTGCCGACGTTGTCTCTGCTGCTGCCAACGTTGTCTCTGCTGCTACCGACGTTGTCTCTGCTGCATGTTGAATTGTCGCTAACGCTCTTGTCCTTTCTGTCTCAGGGATGGTGTGCGAGTACCAGAAACCGCCAGGACTGAAATCTGGATCAAGGTCTGGAGGGTGTGTCCAGTTGGTGAAGTTAACGATGGCGTCGCTGTCGGCGGTGCCAAGATCAGGAACGAAGTCAAGAACGAAGACGTTGTTCTTGAGGATCGCCTTGCCGATGTAAAGTCCTCCTCTCCCGTGATACAACTTGAATTCTTGGGTGGTGCTGTCTGCTTCGAGGTGAATCCCCTTCGCCATTAGCTGACTGACGCTTAGTAAGTTGTAGCCGAGGCCTTCTGCAATTAGGACCTTGGACATCTGTAGGACGACGTTTGTTTCTCGTGACTGTAGTTGAACAACTCCTTGTCGTCGTGTGCGCAGGTTCTGATTGTTGGCGACGGTGATGACTACTTCGCGTTGAAGTTGGTATTCTCGTTGCACGAAGCGTCCTGAAGAACACATGTGCTGTCCGCAGCAACTGTCCAAGAACCACGTGTCCTTCCCGGATGGTTCGCTCTGGGCGATAGCTGCGTATGTCGGATTCGGCTCCAGTGTCCACGCCGTGGAGTTCTTTCATTAAGTTGTTCTTCTGGTGAGTAGTATGGTGGTGATCCCGTGATGCAAGAGTCGCTTAGTCTTGCCATGCAACTGACGATGTTCCTTGCTCCTTGTGCAGGTTGTCCCGTTGGAGTCGTTGAGGCTTTAATCTGGGTCGTAGGATTCGCTTGTGTTGAAGCGACTTGATTACTTGAGGGTTGAAGTTGCCGATGTGAAGGCGTTGACTGTTGTCGATTCGGACAATGCGTACGTGGGTGTCCTGAAGTTTTGCAGATGTGGCAGAACGGAGGTACGAGCTTCGGCTGTTGCTGCCTGTTGTTGTTGTTGTTGTTGTAGCGTCGTTGAGTGTGGAACGCGAATTCCGGTGCTGATGTCTTCCTTTTATGTCGTTCTTCTTGCAGGTCCATGTCTTGCTGTTCGGCGTGGATTTCGGCGCAGAGCGCTGCTTCGGAGATTCTTCCGTGGGCTCGAAGTATGGCCTTTGTGGCGCGCCATTGAGGACCGAGGCCGCCGATGATAACTGTCACGAAGGCGTCTTCAGAAATCGATCCTCCGCATCGAAGAAGCTTGTCGCGCAACTCGCGACATCGGCTGATATACGCCAATCCTTTCTCGCCTGGTTTCATTTCGACCGTTGTCAGTTGCGCCATTAACCGACTTTGGTTTACGCTGTCTGTTGCTTGATACAGGCTCTTCAAGTGGTTATATGCGAGCTCCGCGGAGTTGCCGTAACCCCGGTAAGATCGTATGTTCTGCTGTTGAGTCGGGGTGATGTTCCTCAGTAGAATCGTGTATGCCATCATTGACTGATAGGTGTACTGCTGCTTCTCGTACTGTGTGCCGTTTGTTGGGTATGGCAAGGACCCGTCGAAGAAGCCAAGTATCTGCGCGCCTTCCATCATCAGCTCGAATTCAAACGACCAGGTAAAAAAGTCCTTTCCATCGAAGGGTCTTGACGTCTGCATCTTCATAACGTGTGCGAACTGCGACTGAACTTGTAATGCATCCAGTGACTTTTCTTGTCCAGGTGAGGGCTGCGGGTGAGGCATGAAGCTGATGGACCCGCGCTCGTACGGAGCAAAAGTAGGCTGCTGCTGTTGATTTCCTCGTGCATATGATGAGCCGTCTAGACTCATGGGTGTTGCTCCGTTGTTGTTGCTGTTGTGTGACTGCGCAGGTGCCGATTGCTGGTGTTGCTCGTAGAAGGACATGAAGGAGAAGAACTTCTCCATCATGCTCTGGTCGAAGTCTGCGGGCTGATTCGCGGGAGTCTCGGTAGATGTTGCTCTGGGTCTTGTTGCCGTGCCCTCCTCTGTCTGTAGGCCAGAGGCAGGAGGTGGAGTAGGAGTAGTGCCCTGGGAGCCATTGGAGTTGCTCCTTTCCTTTTGTGTAGCCATGCTTGTTGATGTTGTCGGTATAGAAGTTGAATTCCCCCTGATAGCTCTCATACCATGTTGGGCTGAGAAAAAGCCCTTAGGATCTTTGCAGGGGTGAAGTCTGAGTAGGATTGATGTAATAGTGGAAGCGTTAATTTAAGTGTTGTGAACCACCTTGCGCTAGTATGTGAGGGCAAAGTAGATTGATTAAAACAAGGAGATACATGATTATATATGAGTACAAGGAATACGAAGAGATGCAGTTATAACTACTTTACTGTTGCTGTTGCGGTTCGATACAGTGACGACTCGGGCAACTGCTCTGTAGCGAGTCAGTTGTGTGTCCTTGCTGTCGCGCTGTACTTGTCAGGTCAAGGGTCGCTGACCTTTGACTTTCGCGTAACCTCCAGCAACTTCTCAACCTCCGAGGGTTGACTCGCGAGTGCCTCGATATGATTTACTTCGCTTCTGATGCGGTGTTTCGACACGACAGAGGCGCTTACGATTTGTTGTTTCCAACAGAATTTACAGGCCCCATTTAATACGCCGTCTCATAGTACATTCACTCCTTACAACCAGCATCCATGTCGGTGGCGGTTGGACATGCAAAATTTGTACTATCTATGCAGCTCCTCACCATCAGTTCCGCCCCATCAGATGTACTCCATCCATTAGTATTACCCGACCAGCCCCTCCCCATCAGTACTGCCCTGTGTTCCACATCCATCCAAGCGTCACTTCTGCTTCTTTAGGCTGACTAAAAGCCTCATGAGCCCCTGCCCACCCACCATCAGTACTGCCCAGTGTTCCATAGGTACTGCCTCAGCACCTCCCCATCAGTACTGCCCTGTGTTCCACATCCATCCCAGCGTCACTTCTGCTTCCTTGCACCCCAAGCCACGCGCCATCTTGAACCTGACACACAGTGAACCCGAGCATGCGAGAAGGTTGCAGGAGGATACAAGTGATTCAGTTGGCAAGTTGGTCAGGATCCAGAACACAGGCATGCGGCAGATATGCAGCCTTACGGCACCACACCAGATGGATGGTGTTCGCCAATGCTGATGCATGCGGGAACACAGAAATGAGTTGCAAGGGGGAACATATGCATGCCACTGCATCCATCCACCATCCGCCATACACCCATGCCACTGCACGCATCCATACACACGGCCATACAACATCATCCATGCCACTACATCCATACATGCATGCACCCATGCTGCTGTGCCGACCCATGCCACTGCAAGCATACCATCGGATGGCCTCTTCAATGCTCGGCTTCCCCGTGCCCTCCCCATCCAGGTACATGTATCCCAGCAGCAGCTGCCATGGGGGCAAACAGAGGAGTACAAAACGGTTCTAATATGAAATACACACAGCAGATGAGTGACATCCCCATCCAGGTACATGTACCCCAGCAGCAGCTGCCAAGAGGAGCAAACCGAGCAACGCATCAGCCTTCTCATTCAGAGTTCGTCCCAGAAGCTCACAGCAGCAGCACAGAGCAGGGTATGTCTCATCAACACATTATCAGCACCGCATCAGCCTGGGCAATCAGGGTATGTCTCAGAAACCCACAGCAGCAGCAGCAGCAGCACTGAGCAGAGCAGATCTGAGCGGCTCAGGTCAGCAGCACTGCATCCGCTTGTTCATTCAAGACACATTCAGAAACTCACAGCAGCACCAGCACCGAGCACGGGATCCGCCTGGGCGTTCCGAGCAGCACGCAGCAGCCACGCTATTTGGGAATCATTATTAAGAATTCTCAAAAGTAACTCACAGAAGCAGCAGCACCGAGTTTGGGATCCGCCTGGGCGTTCCGAGCAGCACGCAGCAGCCACGCCAGAGCCTCCTCCTCGTCCCTCGGCCAGTCCCCATCCCCTCTATAGTACGCCTCGCCCATTCGATACTGGCTCCCCTGGTGCCCCATTCTCGCCGCCTTCCTGTACCACTCCAGCGCCCTCTGCTGCTCCCCCCTCGCTTCCATCACCCTCGCCATAATCACACACGCGTCCAGGTTCCCTGCTTCTGCTGCCCGAACGACTAGTAACGGGGGCAGGGGGCAGGGAGGGACGGAGACTCGAATAGAGACTCCAGAGAGGTGACTGTAACGAGGGGTGGCTGTGGGAGAGGAGAGTGGTGAGCGGCGAGGGGAGAGGGTGACCGGTTCTTGGTGGTGGGACAGGCGAGACGGCAGAGAGGGTAAGCGCACATGGGAGCGTATGGGCTGGTTCCTGCGGCGCCTTGAAACGGGCACATGGGATGGTATGGGCTGGGATAGCTGGTCATCTGATCCATGCTGGTCTGTCTGGTCGCTCTGGTCTTCCTGAACGGACCGAGTCCGCGCAGTTGTGGCTTGCAGGCTTATGGCTGCTGATGGTGTTGGTGGCACTGGTGACTGTGCTGCAGCTGCTGCTGCTGCTGCTCCTGCTGCTGCTGATGCTGCTGCCGTTGCTACTACTGCTGGCGTTGACGGTATTGCCGAAGGGTCGTTTGTTACTGTTCTGCCGGCCGACGAACAGGGAGTAGAGAAGGTGACGCTGGGTCTCGTTATAGTCACATTCAGGAGGATGTGCTGCAAGGCACAGCAGGTAACAGAGATTCGTTATTAGAGGCAGGCCTATGATCAGCATGAACAGGATCTAGCGATGAATGATGAAAACAGGCTCAGAAAAAGGTTATGCCGCACTTACCTGGTTGCTGCTGACGTGGCAGCGCCACGACTTGCAGACAGCGGCGCAGCTCATGAGGTCAGCGAAGGAAAGAGCGAGGAAGATTCGCTCGGTGACGTCGTAGGGGAGGAGGGAGGCCAGGCATAGAGACGGCGCGGGCGGAGGGTGGATTGTAGATGGCTTTAAAGACGTCTCAAGCGATGGGGACGACGGGAGGTTAGGCATAGATAGCTCCTGACGCGCCTCGATAGAGGGGGGCGAGAGGGGGTCGAAGAGAGCGTGACGCGGGGGAGTGTGCTCCGAGTGTGCGGCATTGTAGTGGGGAAGCGGCGGAACGGCGGGCGGAAGCGGATGCGCTAGAGAGGGGAGGGATGCGGAACGACGACAGGAGGAGGAGGAGGGGAGAAGAGTCTGAGGGGAATGGGGGAGAGGAAGGGAAGAGGAAGAGGCAGGAGGATATGGAGGGGAGGGCGTTGCCCTGGTGGAAGCAGAGGCGGTGGCGGCGGCGGGGGAGGCGGCGGCAATGTGCTTGCATTGAGCGGTCTCGCTATTGTCACATTCGTTAAGGGCGCTGTCGTTTGAGTCACACTCCACAACCAGAGCGTCTCCGTAAATGTGGGAGATCCGCGCAAGCCGCCCCGCGCGCTCGTTGATCTCCGCGCTGCTTGGCGCAATCGCCCAGAACACCAGCAGGCGCGGGCAGATCCGCGCGGAAAACACCTGCGCGGATGCGATTGCGCCGATTGCCGAGAGCAGCTCGAGTTGCCACGTGGCGGGATCTTGTTGGTGCGCGGGGAGCAGCAGCTCGTGCGGAGGCTCGGAGTAGTTCGCGGGGAGAAACGTCGCGCGGAGATGGCGCGCTGAATTGGCGGAAGAGTGGCGCACGGAGGGGGAAGCAGAGCAGATTCCAGAAAGCGCTTCAAAGCACCTCCAGGGTGCCGTATTGGAGATCTTAGAAGCCGCATACTCCTCGCTACGTGGAATGGATTCTAAGAAGCTCTCTGGTGCGGCGCGTCGACGAAGAGTGAGTGCCATCTCGACCGTTTTGTGTCGTGACGACCTACAGCAGTCAAATCACCCTCTCAGTAGAAGCGAGTATGCCCACACTTTGCTATGAGGGATTATGAGACACCACATGCAAACGATACGACTTGTTTCAATCAGTCCTGCAATGTTTCCCAGCCTAGATCGAATGACTAGCTCCGAGCAAATTTTAGTAATCTAAAACTTCTTCCAGTCTTAGCAACCACCAAGGAGAACCACAAATGTCGGCAATACGGTATAGTACGACTCCAATCGGTAATGCGTGTTAAATTACGATTCTCCACAGATTCCAATGAATCGGTCGACTGCATTATTCTGGTCCACGTGGACCCAGATTCGCGAACAGAACAGTCGAAGAAATGGGGTAGCGCAGTCGCGGGATTAGTGGTTACCCGCCACATGTAACTGTAGTCCACCCCTTCAGGGATTTTTGGGATTCCGTCGGTTCAGATCTGCATCTGCTCTGAAGTGCTGCTCGCGAAATGCTGGAGTTGGTCGGTCGGTGTCAGCGACCCGCGCAGCGAATTAAATTCCCGCCTGAGCAGTTCAACGAAACGGTTTTTCGCATACAGTTTGTAACCAATCTGATCTCTCGCCTGGAACATGTAGGTGAACTCGTTTTCCGACGTGCCATTCTCTCAGCCACAATCCTATATGAGCCCCGTGGAGCCACCAAAGCCCCAGAGAAAATTGACTAGGTCGTGACGTCAAATATCACCCACGTGGCACGATACTGGTCCTATTTCAGCTCCTTCCTTTCACGAACCAGACCAGGAGAGATTTCTTCCACCACCTAGCAAACCGGATTCTAAAATGCCAAAATTCAGAAAGAGCATACAACCAAGTCATTTCTATCACCATTGTATACGTCTCCGCGTCTGCATTCTTCCCTAGCGCTAGTTAGTTCAGACTGTGGCTGCAACTCAGACTGTGGCTGCGACTCATTCAAGCCTCTGCGCTGTTTTTGCGATTTTGCCTTCTCCTTGTGTTCTCCTGAAGTTGCTTCGTTCGGTACTCACAATTCGTAGACGCTACGGCCATGGCCACTCCAGCTCTCGTTCTCTCCAAATCTAGTCCCTTGACTTTCCAATCGTCAGGACTTGTCACTTTCAGCTCTAAACTCCAACAGAATGCCGTGTTTTCTCAATCCAGACAACTGAAAACCGCCACCGCTGGCCTCATACGTGCCGAGCTCTTCGCTCATCAACCTAAAGCTGTCAATCCCGTGACTCTCCAGTCTAGTAGGAAGTATCGCCGAAGCATCACTCGCGCTGCGGGGAGTACAACAGGGACCGAATCTAGCAAGACTGACGTGGCAGAGGTAGCGGAAGGCGCGGTGCCGCCATTGGTGATCGCGGACCTTATCGCGTTTCTTCAAGAGGAGCTGCCGAAGCTGTTCGTGGAAGGGGTGAGTGACATTTCTACCACCATGAATACCCCTGGATCACGGGTTGCTGACGTTGCACTGTCTTTACCAGCGTAGGTTGCTGTTGCTGTGTTGCCGTTGCACTGTTCATACCGGCGTAGGTTGCGTAGAATAATTCATTCCCATGACTTGCTTTGATTGTGTGAATTCTCCCCCTGATTATCCAGGGCATGAGCTCGGCGCGCTTTGCGGACAAGGTGGAGTTCGAGGACCCTATTACGCGCTACGACACTTTGGCGGGATACCTCTTTAATATCCAGATGCTGCGGTACCTGTTTCACCCCGTCTTCATTCTCCAGGACACATACCAGGTACGCACCATATCTCTAAACGCCAAGCTGGTTCTAATTGACACTTGACATAACCATTTTTATCAGACTACCCGATAGTAACCACTTCACACGAGGGTGCGCGCATGACATCATCTTGTGAGGTTACACATTGTACGCACTCGTAGCATACACGTTAAGTGAACAATTCAAACGAATTCAGCCAATGGATGGGCCGGGAAAGGAGCCCTTGTGATAGATGGCGTGGAAACCTGGTTCCCTCCCCTTCTCGTGCCAATTCCTTGCTTCCCACAATCGCTTCACTTTCATCAGTGCCGTACACTGGAGCGCATCACATGATGGACGGTGTAGATGTTTTTCTAGCTGTTCTCAGAGTGGGCCCTCATCCCACCTGGCCCACTCTCCCTCTTGCCGTGGCATGTGCTCACGCTGTTCTCCCTCCTCTCCCGTTTTCCACATCCTCACACGTTCCTCCGGTCCGTCCCAGTGGGGATCACAACGCGATGGACGATGAAGACGTACTTCTGGCTGCTGCTGTGGCGACCCCTCTCTCCTCTTCTAATCCTTTTACCCTTTTCAACATCTGCTCACTTCCTTGCCCTTGGCAGTCCGGCCCGACAGAGATCACAACTCGTTGGACGATGAAGATGTACTTCTGGCTGCTGCCATGGCGCCCAGAGGTCGTCTTCACAGGCCTTTCCATCTACGGCATCGACCCGCGCTCGCAGCAATTCATCAGTCACAGAGACGTGTGGGACTCCATCCAAGACAACGGCTCTTCTCCCAGGAGGGCCTTCGCGACCTGGTGAAGCAGATGATGACGCTCTACTCTCCGCCCGCCCAGCTCAACTCCCCAGAGTTTGGCGTTCTGCTGCGGAGGGCAAGCTATGAGGTGGGTGGATGTGTCCGCGTGATGAGTAAAAAAGCGGGGTTACAGTAAAAAAGCGGGGTTAAAAAAGTGGGAGAGGATGACTTCTTCTCTCATGAGGGGTTCATGAGGATGACTTCTTCTACTATGGTGGGGAAAAGAAAAAGTAGAAGAAAGGGCAACGACAATGCTGATGCTGACAGTATACTCGCTGCCATGTTGGCTGATTTTCCCTGAATTTCATGTGTTATGAGGGCAAGCTATTCACGAGGTGGGTGTGTCTCCCCACCTCCCTCTCCCCCTGGCACAAGAATCTATATGTCCGTGTCTCTTCTCCCATCACATCTATCAGCAACTATTAACTCCCGTCCTCGTCTCATATTCTTTCTCCATTCTCCTCCTCTCGGTGTGTCTTTTGTTCCGCTCTTGGTGTGTCTCTCATTCCCCTCCCCCCCTCCTTCCTCCAGGTGCGGGATTACCCTGCCTACCAAGTCGTTCAGGTCAACTCGCCCGTCCAATCAGCGGCGGACATCTGGCCCTCTGCTCCTGGCACTCCTCCCAGTCCACAAGTGGAAAAGCTAAAGAGGTATGTCGCTGGTTTTGTGTTATTTTGTAGTTGAATGCAAACATGTAAAGGTCTGAGGCATGTCACTGTACTCAGTGCAATGATAAACGTTTAGAGGCAATCACTCTCTGCTTTGCCGCTATCAGATTCAGGGTAATTACAAGCCGTACTTTCTCTCTAAATCTTGTGATTCTTCCCATTCCAGGTACTTCCAGGGAGCCAATAGCCAGAGGAAAACTATTCCCGAGGGCCCCCTCATGCTCAGCAGCCCTCCAGAGTCCGCCGCGCAGGATAGAATATTAGCGATTGCTGTGCCTCTCGATGCTGATGCTCCCACTCCAACCGATCCTGATCTCACTGTTGTCACAATGCCACGTGGCACATGGGCTGCAGTATCATTCGGAGGGCTGCCATTGGTGGAGACATTCTCGTCAGCAGCTGCTGCTCTGCGGGCTGATGCCACCTCTGATGGCCTGCTGCTGGCCTCAAGAGGAGCCGGCTCAGACAGGTCTACAGATTCCGCTGACAGCACTGCTACAGATGCTGTGAAGGGAGGCACGGGGTTGGGTGCTGCAGCTTCTGCTCTGGTGTCCTACCCAAGTGGGTCTCCCATTCCGTTTCTCAAGGTACAGTGTTTGTGGTGCATTTCACAATTCGTCTTGTACCACCTATGCACGTATTGATGTGTGTTGTTTGGAGTGGTTTTGCAGAGAAACGAGGTGCTTTACAGACTGGAAGACTTTTCTCTGGAGACTGTTGAGAAGGTAATAACTAGTGGCTAGATAATGTAATGGAAATCACTATATGAGTAATAATGAAATGCATATTTGGTGTTACGTAGTCTGTAAAGCAGTCCCCTCTTTCGTGGTACAAACGAGGATGAATTCCTAGCGTGTGTGCTGGCTGGCATGACATGCATGTGAACGAATGGCTTCATTGGCTTAGTATATTGTACGGATTTTTCAGCATAATCTGATTGGCTAAAATGGACGACACTCGAGCAGGATATTGAATTCTTGTGGGATTCTCTTTGACCCAGGTGCGTAGCTGATGTGGCCGATGCAGTAGTTCAATAGACTAATCTAAACTTGACACATCGGAAGTGATTCATACCTCGTCATTAATCGAATACTCTAGTGCTACCCCTAGCTGTCAGGAATTTCGAACGCGGTCTGCCAGGGTGGCATTTCGTCCGCCGCTCTTAAACAGTCCTGCTTGACTACTTCAGGTGCTTCTGTCGTCCACGCGTAGCGCCGCCGCCCTCCCACACGACACGACACGATTCACTCGCTCTCCCGACCAACCAAACATCGCGTCGCATCCCATAAGCGCGGTGCCGGAGCGTCTCCCATTCCGCATCACCCCCAAAGCACCCAACCCCCAACCCACCCCCCTCCCCCCCCCCCCCCACAACCCCTCTCCGACCCCTCCTCCCAACCTTTCCTTTCAACAACCACCCTACGATCCCATAGTCCAGAAGTCTTGGCGCAAAGTCGCTTCCCCCCACTCTGGTTGGCAATTTTGTTCGCCTGTTTGGTACGGAAGGGCTTCTTCAGTCCGCCGTAGCATCGTATTTCCCCCATAGCACGCGCCAGCACTTTCCGAATCCCGATCATTCATTGGTTCGCTTCGCTACTGAGAGATCAGTTTTGCATATTGTCATGCTTGGTCATGTTTTGCCTTCGCATACGAGTCTCAGGTCATGTACTGAAATTTATTTCCCACGATGCTGTGAAACAAGCTGGCCCTAGACGAATTCCCTACCACCACCCAACACACACCCCTAACCACAAACAACCACTAAAGCATGATCGCGCCCATTCGAACTAATGCTGCGCTAACTACGAGCACTAGCGTAAACTCGCGAGCAATGAAACACCCAGGTCCTTCAAGAGTGAGTTTCTGAAACGTAGGCTAGTCTTGGAAATTAAGACGTGGCCTTGAACACCTTCAGCACGAGCTGGTGTTTCTTGCTGGTCTTCACAGTGCCGTCCAGACCGTAAATGAACGCCGTACCCGAGTACCCGATATAAGCGCCCGTGGCTCCCGTTACGGCAACCCTTCCAACGTTCTCCGTCCACTTGAAGGCCCCTGAAAATCACGAGGGACAAAAAACACGCTACAAATTCAGTCAGCATTTTAGAAGTCTTCGGGCTTTACAAAAGTCTGTTCTCTAAATTCGCCCTCGGCGCCCCCTAGCACTCTGAGATATGATAAATTGCAACATTGCATGGATGAGGTGACTTTTGAGTCGACTCAAAATTCACTCTGAGATCTGATGAAACGCAGCATCACATGGATGCGAGGATAACAGCACAATGCGAGTATCTTAAATGATTAGCCCACCTGAGACGGTAACAATTCCATTGGGGAAGTTGAGGCTGCAGGAGAGCATGACCATGTCATTCCACAAGGCTACCGCCGTGAGGTAGTGCTGCCCAACCTGAAAGAAAGAAAGAAAGAAAAAAAAAAAAAAAAAAAAAAAAAAAAAAAAAAAAAAAAAACCAGGGGAAGAAAATAAAGAACTCTTGCCGACGTCCCCAAAACTTGATGTTCGCCGGAGAACATAGAACTATACAGAGACACGCTCGTTGAAGCTCCCACGATCTCGAGGCATGTTCCTTATAAGTTGAAAGCTAGTTCCAGACAGACAGCCAATGGATCATTCAATACCTTGCCCGTAAGGTCCTTTGTCTTGTACAGGGGCGTGCTGTACATAAGCGTCGACCCCGTGCCGCCAGTTCCGCCCTGCTCGCATCACGATGAGATTTCAGGAAAAGAGAGAGAAAGAACATCTTAACGAGACTCAGAAAAAAATATGACGACGGGACATGGCGGTAGTAGTACCCGATAGTAGGCGACAGAAAACGCATCGGATGCGGCGAGACGTAGTGCAGCCGCTTCAAAGAGCACCGGCGGAACTCACGGCTGTAATGTTGGTGTTGACGGTGATATCTTCGTACAGCGAGACAATCAAGCGCTTGTACTTGGGGTTGCTGATGCTTCCGTCGTCCTTGCTTCCGTCCTTGCTGCCGTCCTTGCTTCCATCCTTGCTTCCATCCTTGCTACCATCCTTGCTACCATCCTTGCTTCCATCCTTGCTTCCATCCTTCTTGCTGCCATCGTCCTTCGAAGCTGGAATTGGCGCTGAAGGAAAAAAAAGCGAGCGAAACAACGGTCAGAGAGGAATCACTGACCGAAAATTGAAATGTTCGAGCGATCAGGGTTTGAGAGGACGCTGAGGATGGAAGATGAGTATACTCATACATATAGGGAATAACCGACAAGGAAGCATTCACGAAACGCATTCGAATGCACATTTCACGCACCCGTCTTAAGAGCAGCGACGTGTTGCCCGACGAGGATGAGCGACAGGAGCGCGACGAGAAGAACACGAGTTCCGCGAGCCATGGCCAGGGAGTGAGTTAACGAGGGGACGGGGATATTAGGTGCTCGAGGGAAGGGGGCCGAGCTGAGAAAAGCGCGTTGGAAATGGAGAATGGGAATGAGCAGGGGCCTAAAATACCTGAGCAGTGGATACCTGAGCATTTTTTTACCTGGACATTCGAGGGGCAGAAGCTGAGCCGCACGGAGCACGGCGAGGGCAGGGGGGTCAAGGATTCCCCTGAGTGGCGGAAGGCAGTAGCGGGAGAAAGCAGAGGGGCTTGGACCAAAATGGCGGCCACTGGAATCTTGCGAAGACGACGGTGACACGAATATGGTAACCATCAGATTAGGCGCACAAGACTGCTTCCAATTGGTGGACGATAGCGCCGCATACCTCTTTTGGCAGAAATTGGGGAGGAGTGGAAGGTGGTGGTTGTGACACTGAAATCTCGTCGGAAGGATCGCAACATGGGAATACTCCACTCCGCTCACACCCGGAACCACCTTACAAAGAATCCTGATATACGAAACGTAACGACTGAATTCAGAGATGTAGGAAGCTGAAGTAATGCGTTAGACTGAGTTAGAGGGAAAGTGTTATAAGCACAGCTGGTTAGTGGTGAGAAACTGACTGGATTGGACCTCCCTGTATGAGGCTTCAAATTGTGGAAATTGTTTTTTGCCAAGCTCTCAACATTAGTCAAATTGTATTGGCTTATGAAAAAGAAGGCTATCAATAAGGACTAATTCAGAGATTTAACACCTGAGTTGCCTTTTATATACCATGCAAGACTCAAGCTCACTGGTTTCAGAGGCAACGCGTATGGAACAAAAGGTTCCTTCTTTCCCCGCACCACCAAGGCTGCTGCCTCTCCTCCACCCCGTCCCATCTGCCGTGTCTTCCCCATATAAGCTCCATTTACCAACAAATCCTTGTAAGAAAATATTTTGGACTTAGAGTCACTCCAATCTGCTACTGTAGCTTGAACGCCGACCCCAGGGAGGAAGATGTTGGATTGTGAGCGGATGACTGTCAGTCCATAACCTCTCCCTTTTCTCCAGCCAGTCGCTGCTGCATCCACGGTTGTAACCTCTTCTGCAGCTGTAGCCACAGTTGAAGCACCTTCTGTATTTGTATACGCAGCTTCATAATCACCTTCGGTATAGTCACTTCCCATGTAACCAGTGCTCGAGTAGCTGCTGTTACCACCTACAGTTGCTTCTTCAATCCATCCAGGAGCAGGGCCCCTGGCAGCCAGGCACCCGAACAGCCAACCAGCAAAGAGATTATTCGCCACATGGCACATCGCACCTGCGCATAAAACATCCGGGCTGCCCGGCCCGTCAAAAAAGTTCCGGAAAATGGTGACATGGACAGGACGGCGGAGGGTAGGAGGGGGAAGGGGAGGCGGGAGGAGGGGTGTGATGGCAACCATAGCGTCGCCGCCGTTACGGAGGTGATTATTGGAGATGGTGATATTAGTGGAGAAGCGGGAGAGGGAGATGAGGGCACGCGGCGAGGATTGCAGTGTGCAATGGTTGATCCAGATGTCGTGAGACGCTCGGATGGAGATCAGATTCTGAGGTGCTGACAGCGACCGAGGAACGTCAGCAACTGATGATTTTGGGCAACAGGTGAGGAGGGGAGGGCGGGAAAGGGAGAGAGGGGGGTAGAAGGAGGGGAGGGGGGAGTGGGGAAAGAGGTATAAATAGGGGAAAAGAGGGGGAAAGAGAGAGGTGGGGGGGGAGGGGGAGTGAGGGGCGTGCGCAGAAAGGCGAAAGGGATATTGTGGGGAGCCAAGGCAGCTGGATGTATAGTGCAAGTGGGGGAGTGTGCAAGGCGAGTAATGGAAAGCAGCTTAGCACTGTTCAGCTTCACTTGACAGCAGAGGAAAAGGCCACAAAAGAGAAGCTTTAAAAAGATTCGGCGATTGGCGGATGCAGCCCAAACGGGGGAAGAGATAGTTGAAGAGAATAGGAGCAGCAGCAACTCACGTTGCAAGTTGTGGATGATAATACTCCTGGACCCTCGAATAACCACCGCGCCGCCAGTGACTCGCACTCTCGCGCCGCGCCCATCCAATGTCACGTGCGACCCCAACCGCAGCGGCCCCCTCAACCTGATCTCCATGTTCCGGCTAAACCGCACGTATACTCCAACGGCTCGGTACCGCACTAAACCCCACCGCAGCGTACCCTGCGTCAGGCTGTCGTCGTCGGACGAGACAACGTACTCTGCCCGGCCGTACCCGCCCCGGACGGCCTGGCTGTAGCCGAGCGCGCATTGGTGGAGCGGTATGGGGAGCGCGAAGGCGCACTCGTCGGGAAGATGCGCGGAGCGGGGGACGAGGCGGTTCAACGGATTGTAGTACCGCGGCTTGTGCTGGTCGTTGCGCTGACTGCTGCTGCTGTTGCTCGGGTAATCGTAACTGCCAGTAACACTGCTGCTGCTGCTGCTGCCGCTACTGCCGCTGCTGACGCTACCGTCATCGGCTCCGCTGTTGACGTTGACGCCACTGTTATTGCTGCTACTGTCGCCGTTGCTGGCGAAGGCGATGCTATTCGAAACCGTCTGACGATCTTTAGTCAGCGCCCGCGTCGCGACTGACGCAGGCGGCGGAACCGGCTTTCGCGATAGTCGCGCGTCCTGAGACGGTTCTAGCGCGCCGGTGGGAGTTGCTCGAGGGATCAGATACGGGCGCGCGCAAATCCGATCTCGAACATGTGGTGGCAGAGTAGCAGAACAGCACGCGACGAGCAGCAGCGCGGACGGTGCGAACAAATACCAAGTATAGATCCGGGATATATTAAGGCGAAAAAAATTCGGCGTCCGAGCTCTTAACGATCTGGACGTACTACGGCACGCGCTTGGGTAGCAAGGGAACAAAGGAAGTTCTACCAGAGGCGCTACGAGAAGCTGACGCGGCATGGGTCAAAACATCCGTGCGTCTCGGCTTCCTCCGCTATGGCCACGCAGTCGAAAATCATCCAGCTCCTGTAGGCAGAAAGAATGCTGAAAATGTTCTCGCCCCCTGTACGAGAAAGGCTTTTCTTTTTACCAATCATGCAGCACTGAGGGATTGTGCTGAAGAGAAGCACATGAACGAGGTGACGGGTGACAGACAGTGATGGTGGGTGAAGTGAGGAGATGTTTTGGAGGGTGGGTCGGTTGGTGCGGTTAAGGCATTGGAGGTTGGATGGACCTAGCGAAATGCAACAGAGTGGAATTTCTTTAGCCCATTTCGAGGCGCGCGATTGTTCAAACGAATTCGCAAACTGCCGCAACTGGCGCCGTGCAAGGTGTTAGCGTGAGATTTCCGTGCTTGATTTGGCGTGCACCAATCGCATTTGGCTTCACGAAACAATCCAAGACTCGGGCAAAACACGTTACTAAAGGAATTTAGCCCATTGAGGATTACACCATTCGTAGAAGGAACATTATACTTCAATACATTTATATAAACACATTGGTTGCTAACTTGCTAAACAGGTGGAGCTAGCTACTGATATCAGCACTCACAACGTTATGACGTAGGTAACATAGAACCTGCAACACGCACTTGGTAAGACGCCGATGCGCCCGGCGCAGCTTCACCCACTTGGGTCAACTGAACAGCGGCAGACGGCGGAGGGGGAATGGTGATATAAGCCAAGCGGCTAGGACCCTCAGGAGGCAGAAGGGGCATTGCTGAACCGGATGGTGTCATACCCACAGGCTCCGACAAAACACCGCCCTGGCCATTACTTACCACACTTCCATGCAACCCCTGTTGCTCTGGAATGTCGCTGAGATTGCCTTGGTTGTTCCCCGGCAGGCGGGTCGGAATGAGGGAGGTTCGGCAGAGAGGACAGGAGGAGTTGGTTTTGAGCCATGCGTCAATGCAGTCCTGAGGACAGGCGACAGGGGAGGGAAGGCGGGGGGACGGGGAGGAGGGAGGGGAGGGAGAGGAGCAGGTGAGTGAAGTTCAGGGGAGAAGTATGGTGTTGCAGAGTGATGGAGAAGACGTGGGGAGGGGACAGCCTTATGGCTGGGGATGGGGGCGGGTGGAGGGCAATTCTGTATCGCATGCCTTACTGCATCCCTGCTATCACAAGACCCTGAAGAGAAGAGAAAAGCAATTATTCACCCCTCTCCCACTCTCTCTCCTCTCGATTCTATTTCCCTCCCCCTGTGTCTCCCTCTCCCCCCAAACTCCCCATCCCCTCACTTCCTTCCTTTCCCTCTCTCTTCCCCCATCTCTCACACAATCTTTCCTCTCTCGCCCCATCTGTGTCGCACTATCTTTCCTCTCTCGCACCCTCTCTCCTCTCTCCTCTCTTCTCTCCCCTTCTCTTGCACACACACCTGGTGAAACTGGTGACTGCACGCGTGCAACTGTCTGATGACGTCACCAGTCTTGTACTCCCCCAGACAGACAATGCACTCCCGCTCATCGTCCCCCTCCTCCCGCCCCGCTCTCCCCCCCGCGCCGTTCCCCTCACTCTCTCCGCCCGTCGCTTCCGCCGCAGCCGACCTTCTGCTGCTGCTTCTGCCGCTCGCCCCTAGAGCTCCGCCTTCCGCCACTCCGCCTCCCCCCACCCCGCCTTCCCCCGCTCCCCCTCCCCCATCTCCGCCAAGGGCGCTGGTCCCGCCAGCTTCAAGGTCATCCCCCGGCTCGACGTATGCAAAAGACTTCCCGAGCGTCTTAATTATGTGGTCGGGCACGCCGGAGCGCATATTCCGGTCGTCCATAAGCAACCCGCGGTTCCCCACTGGCTGCAGGGCCTGCGGGTCGGGATCCTGCGTGGCGGCCCTCTGGTGCTGCCACGTGGCACGCGCCTTTACAAAAGAGAGGATTAAAACGAGGATGACGAGCAGGATGAGCACGGCGACGACTGCGATGTTGAGCTGTCGCAGGGAGATGACGGATTCGTATGCGATGGTCGAGGGCGACGTCGCATTGTCGGGGGAAGGCGGGGAAGGCGGGGGAGGTGGAAACTGCGGAGGGGGAGCGGGGCTGCTGGTGATATTACTCGCGCTCGTGACATTCGCCGCGACGATTACCATGTTTGACGGTTGACGTGCCGCAATAAATGCGGGTTAGAGGAAGAAACGAACGAGGGTATATGGAGCCTTAGCGGGATCAACTCCAGAGTAACTAGACCCCAGACTGCGTTACGAAAAATACGGAGAATCGTGACTACGGAAACTGGTGACTGCACTTCATGCTAAGTCTACTTTCGTGTCAGCTTGCCGGCCTGGTTAAATGGCTCGCTATAAGGAGACCATAGAAGTGTGCCTGTGGGGAGCCGCCAAAGCATCTGCCTCCGCTGCGCTCGAACGGAATAAGAGGCTGCTACAGAGCGCAAATTGCGGATTCAGAATTGGGGCCGAATAGATTCTACCAACAGTCGAGGTTGGCAGGAAGAGGGCGGGGGAGAAGGGGGAGGGTGTTTGGTTTCCGCGCCTATCCGGTGGCGGGGGAAGCTGGGGGGCAAGCGCGTGACAGATTCTTCTTTCGTTCGGTCCAGGCTTGGCGTGAGCTGGGCGGTGGTCAATCGGCGGTGCGCCCCATATCGAATCGTAGAAAATGGTTCGGCATTCGTTTGGGTTTTGGGTGCCCCCCCATGACAGCTCGGGTGCTCGAGCGAGCTGTCGCTGGCCGTGAAAAAAGGGGAACGAAACACACCAGACAGTCAAAGGGCCTAGCTTAGGTAAATTACATTGAATTTCATGGGCTGTTCGATAGAATTTAAAGATTCCTCCTCGAGTTCTGTAGCACCTGTGGAATATCTCACCAGCGTCAATGTCGCCAGTGGGCATTGGCGTACAGGACACGGGACCGAACCGAACCCAAACAAGGCCACACTAAACCTGAGGTAGGTCAGGAAAGAAAACAATTTCGATTCGAACCCCCAGCTGATTCGTGGGCTAAATTCCCCAAACACCTGATTAGGTCCGTGAAGGGCCTACAAACTCGGCAAGGAATTTGATTAGATGTTACGTCAGCCTCGGAAAACTGGTCTGGCTTGGACTTTCCATCTGCAACTCGGTTGTAGATAGTACACTTCAATGTGGGAACCATGTATGTTTCTTTCATGCATTCAAATAATGTACATGCAGAAATCCTCCACCAGCCCCATTGTCCCTAATCTCTAGCTGCTTTCCCCCGCGCACTGCTGCCATTCCTTAGCCTTCGGTAGCGAAACAGAAAATTGAGGGGAAATGGGAGGCAAGTCGAAAGGGAAGAGCAAGAAGGCCACTGAATCCCCCTCGCCAGCGCAATCCCCGCAACCCTCCCGCCATGCCGCCAGCTCGCCTTCCGCGTCCCGCGCGGAATCCTCGTCGAATGCGCAAATGCCCGCGTGCTTCGACGACTTGTTCGGCGGAAAGAGACTGGACGTGAAAATCTCTGCAATAGATGACGTGGCGGCGCGAGACACGTCAGCAGCCGCCCAGATATGGCTCCATCATGCAGCGATGACGGCTGATGACGTGGCCGCGGGCGACATGGTCGCGGTAAGGCCCTCTAAGAACATCTTGTCGCTATCGGTAGATTCGTTGAATTCGACCGCATTAGTTCCGGTCATCTCAACAGCAAAAGGGCTAGGTGGTCTCAGGTTCAGGGTCCAGGGTTTCGGGCTTATGCGCGGCTTTGGGAATGTTCGCCTAAGTCTTCCACCCGGACCTGTTCTTCGCGTTCCCTCCCTCCCCTCTTTTCCCAAACAACCCTCCCCCCCTCTCCCCCCTTCACCTCCTTCCCCCTCCCTCCACTCCCCTCCCCCTCACCCTTCCCCCCTCCCTGTCTCCCCTCTCTCTGTTCCTCTTCCCCCCGTTGTCCCTTACCCACGAATCAGGTGGTGTGCAGCGATCCCCAATCCGCGCAGCCAATCCCGCCGCTACAGCTGGCACAGGAGGCTCTACAGCTGGCAACGCCTGATTGGACGCAGCATCCTGACTGGCCGGCGATTGCCTCCCGATTACCCGGGCTGTACTGCGCGCTGGCCACCGTGTGGCCGGCGCAAAAGATTCCCAAATCCTGCTGCCGCCTCTCTTGGCAGCTAGCGGACAGCCTAGGCCGCCCGGAGGAAAGCACCCGCGTTTATGTCTTCACTCTCAAGGCCGGGCGGCAACAGAATCTGAGCCTAAGTTCGCCACAAGCGCATGGTGAACAGGCGGTCGTGCAGCCAATCCCATGCAAACAGCTGGCGCTGACGTGGCTGGAGCCACTGGATTGCAGTGCTAGTGCCGATGTGGACAGGTCAGCAGCAGAACGAGGAGAGGGAGAAGGAACGGAATCAGGAACAGGAAGATTATCGCAGAAAACTCCAATAAGAGGAATAACAGGAGCAGCAACTCAGGCAGCACCAGGATCAGCAGCAGGATCAGCAGCAGTATCAGCAGCAGGAGCAGCAGCAACCTCTCTCACCTCTCCTGTACCCTGTACCCCCCTTCGCACCTCCCAACGTCCCCTCTCCGCCTCTTCTTCCTCCCTCTTCCCAACCTCCTCCCCCTCCCCCTCCCCTTCCCCTTCCCCTTCTCCCAACACCCCCTCCAATGTTGCACGGCGCCTTGAGCCTAGAACACCGGGCAGTGTGAAAAAAGTGTCGACTCCAGGTAGTGCTGTGACTCCGGGCAGTGCAAATAAAACTCCTTTCATCAGTGAAGAGGAGATGGAGAGAGCTTGTTGGGCAGCTGTGAAAACACTACTTGGGCAGACCGAAGAAAATGTGGGGACCAGTAGCAGCAGCAGTAGGAGCAATAAAGGCCTTCAGGGCATTCGGCTTGTGGAAGTTTTTGCTGCCCGGTGGCTGCTGGGCCGCACGCTTCTGCCCGGAAACATTGTGGTGGTGCCTGTGTGCGGGCAGGATTGCTGTTTTATCGTTTCCCATGGCACTGTAGCGACAGCAGAAACAGCATCAGCAATGGAAACAGCAGCAAGAACAGCTGGAGAATCAGCAAAGCAAGCAGCAAGGGCAGAAGCATTAGCAGCAGAGCCAGCAAGACCTCTGCAAGTAGGTCCCCTGACCACTGTCATCGTATCCTCTCCCCCTTTAGTCTCGCAACCGGACAGGGGCGCAGGCACAGCAGCAAGTGCAGCAACGGATGCGGCAGCAGCAGCAGCAAACATCCCTCTACCGCCGTTCCTCCTCACTCCTACGACCACCCTTATTGCAGCGAGGGAGAGGGAAGGAGAGAGTGGTAGCTGCAGTGGAGAAGAGACGGTGGGAAAGGAAGGGGAGGCGAAGGAAAACGGGGAGGAGGGGGACGGGAGGGCGGGAGGGGCAGCGGCGGTGGCAAGGCGTGTGGCGGGGGACTTGAGGGGAATTACACTGGGGTCGGTGGGGGGACTGGAGGAGCAGAAGAGGGCTCTCAAGGAGGCAGTGCTGCTGCCCCTCCGACACCCGGACCTCTTCCACAGGTACGGTATAAGCTTAGTACCGAATGTATATACAGGTATGGCAGGGCTTTCTCCAAACAGAGTCACTACGCTGCCCAGGAAAGGTATTGTTTGCTTTGCTTTACCCCGAAGCTCAGGAGATATTAATCCCTCGTGCCGAAGCTCCTAACTCCTGAGCCTTCTTCCACACCACACCACCAGGTACGGCATCAAGCCTCCTCGTGGGATATTGCACGGGCCGCCCGGCACGGGCAATATTTTGCTGGCTCTTACAAGCACATTAGCCCCTCTGCCCCCCCTCTTCCTCCCTTCTCCATTCCCCTCCCGGCATTACCAGGTAGGTACGGCATCAAGCCCCCGCGAGGGATATTATTGCACGGGCAAGACATCGCTGACTTGGCTCGTACGATCACCTTTCCCCCCCGGCCCCCCTCCCCCGCCCCCCTTTCTCTCCCCCACTCTGTTACCACCCTCCTGGCACCATCAGGTACGGCATCAAGCCCCCGCGTGGGATATTATTGCACGGGCCGCCCGGCACGGGGAAGACATCGTTGGCTCGGGCGGTGGCGGCGGAGGCGGGGGCGGCGTTGTTTGTCATTAATGGGCCCGAGCTCGTGAGCGAGTTCTTTGGGGAGAGCGAGGAGGCTCTCAACGAGGTGTTCTTTGCTGCCCAGGAAGCCGCGCCTTCCATTGTGAGTGGTGCGGTGCCATGTGGTGCCATGTGGTGCCATGTGGTGCCATGTGGTGCTGTGTGGTTGGTGAGCTCGTGAGAGAGTTCTTTGGGGAGAGCGAGGAGGCTCTTAACGAGGTGTTCTCCGCCGCTCAGGAAGTCGCGCCTTCCATTGTGAGTGGTGCGGTGCCGTGTGGTGCTGTGTAGTGCCGTGTGGTGCTGTGTGGTGCTGTGTGGTGCTGTGTGGTGCTGTGTGGTGCCGTGTGGTGCTGTGTGGTGCTGTGTGGTGCTGTGTGGTGCCGTGTGGTGCTGTGTGGTGCTGTGTGGTGCTGTGTGGTGCTATGTGGTGCTGTGTGGTGCTGTGTGGTGCTGTGTGGTGCCGTGTGGTGCTGTGTGGTGCTATGTGGTGCTGTGTGGTGCTGTGTCGTGAGCGAGTTCTTTGGGGAGAGCGAGGAGGCTCTCAACGAGGTGTTCTCCGCCGCCCAGGAGGCTGCGCCGTCCATTGTGAGTGGTGCGGTACGGTGCTGTGCGGCATGGGGTGATGCGGTGTGGTATGGGGTAGCCAGGATGCATGGTGGCGGCCCTTCTCACCATCCTGGATGCCGCCTCCTCTCCCGTACTCCTCCACACCCCTCCTCACCCTTCCTCACCGCACTGCACCCAGGTGTTCATACACGAGTTGGACGCCATAGCCCCTGCCAGGACCCGGGACGCGGAGGACCTCTCTCACCGCATGGTGGCCGCCCTTCTCACCATCCTGGACGGTGCCTCCTCTCCCATGCTCCCCTCCACATCCCTTCTCACCCTTCCTCGCCCCTCCTGGCCCCTCCTCAACCCTCTTCACCGCACTGTATCGTGATCAGGTGTTCATAGACGAGTTGGACGCCATAGCCCCCGCCAGGACCCGGGATGCGGAGGACCTATCTCACCGCATGGTGGCCGCCCTTCTCACCATCCTCGACGGCACCTCCTCTCCAATGCTCCGTTTCTAACCCCCCTTCACCGCATGTCACCCGTCCTCATCCTTCCTCACCGCACTGCAACCAGGTGTTCATAGACGAGTTAGACGCCATAGCCCCTGCCAGGACCCGCGATGCGGAGGACCTCTCTCACCGCATGGTGGCTGCTCTTCTCACCATCCTTGATGGCACCTCATCAAGTGCAGGAGAGAAGGGGGGAGGACAAGGGGAAGGAAGAGGAGGAGGGGAAGGAGGGGCGGGAGGGAAGGGAAGGAGGGTGGTGGCGTTGGGGAGGGGGGTGGTGGTGATCGGGGCGACCAACCGAGTGAATGCGATTGATCCCGCTCTCAGGCGACCGGGGAGGTTCGATCGAGAGGTGGAGATAGGTGAGTGGTGAAGTGAGAGCACGGGATTTCTAAGGGATGGGATTGTGGGGGATGAAGCGTTGGGGAGGGGGGTGGTGGTGATAGGTGCCACCAACCGGGTGAATGCGATTGATCCCGCTCTCAGGCGACCGGGGAGGTTCGATCGAGAGGTGGAGATAGGTGAGTGGTGAGAGGAAGGTGTATTGTGCGGTCGAAAGCGGTCAAGCAGATTGAATTCAACATGGCCCGTAGTCTTCCGCAACCGAAGTAGCTTGAATTTCCTGCTTTTTGTTTCGAGTTTTCCCGCTCGTTTGGGCGAACATGCTCTTGAGGCGCGTCAAAAGTCAACCCCTACCATGATCTCTGTAATTCCACCCGACTCGTTCTTTTTGTTCCTTCCTCTCAGGCATCCCTACTCCTGCGGACCGGCTCGCAATCCTCACCACCCATCTGTCCCGCATGGCGCACGCGCTGCCCCCCGAGGCCGTCCACGTCATCGCCAGCTCAGCAACGCACGGATTCGTGGGTGCTGACATCAGCGCGCTGTGCTCCGAAGCTGCTGTGGCAGCGCTCAGGCGAATCGTGGGGGCAAAGGAGAGGCAGGGAGGGGCAAGACGAGGGGATGACAAGGAGGAGCGTAGGGAGGACGGTACGGAGGAGGGGAGGGAGAGGGAAAGGGAGCAGGGCTGTTGTGCGGATAGTGCGGTTACAGGCGGTGCTGAAGGCTCGTGTGCGGTGCAGCTGGCAGTGTGCGAGGAGGACTTTGAAGTGGCCCGGCGGCGCATCCGACCCAGCGCTCTCAGAGAGGTGCGCGTGGCAGGGGAGGGAGGAGAGGTGGCCATAGTGGCCGTATGAGGCAGTGGAGGCAGTGGAGTGGCCGTATATGCGGGCACACGGGATGAGAGCCACTGGTTGCTGTTACACCGTTTGTTCCCATGTGTGGGCCTCCTCCTCCCCACCTTCCCCCCTCCGCCTCCCCCCACCCATCAGGTGGCAGTGGAGGTGCCAACAGTGCGGTGGACTGACATAGGAGGGTTGGAAGGGATTAAACAAAGGTTGAAGGAGGCGGTGGAGTGGCCTTACACGCGCGCACATGAGATGAGAGCCATTGGCGCCACCCCTCCTCGTGGCCTGCTGCTCTATGGACCCCCGGGCTGCAGCAAGACGCTCTTAGCTAAGTATGTTACTTAAGTTGATAGATGGCGGAGTTTCTTGTTATAACGACTTTTAAAATCTCGACTGGAGCTCCTATCTGCACCGTTGGTGTTCACCCTCGCTTTGAATGCTGTGGCATGTGGCATGTGGTATGAATGCAGGGCTGTAGCAACAGAAGCAAGGCTCAACTTCCTTGCAGTCAAGGTGAGTCAACGAAAGTCAACGTGGGTGTACGTGTGTACAATAATAACGCACCTGTTTCTATATCTCCCCTGTTACCATAACGCACCTGTGACCATAACGCATCTGTTACCATAACGCACCTGTTACCATAACGCACCTGTTACCATAACGCACCTGTGACCATAACGCACCTGTTACCATAACAAACCTGCTACCATAACGCACCTGTTACCATAACGCACCTGTTACCATAACGCGCATGTTATCATTACGCACCTGTTACCATAACGCACCTGTGACCATAACGCACCTGTTACCATAACGCACCTGTTACCATAACGCGCATGTTACCATATCTCCCCTGTTACCATAACGCACCTGTGACCATAACGCACCAGTTACCATAACGCACATTTTACCATAACGCACCTGTTACCATAACGCACCTGTTACCATAACGCACCTGTTACCATAACGCACCTGTTACCATAACGCACCTGTTACCATAACGCGCATGTTACCATATCTCCCCTGTTACCATAACGCACCTGTGACCATAACGCACCAGTTACCATAACGCACATTTTACCATAACGCACCTGTTACCATAACGCACCTGTTACCATAACGCACCTGTTACCATAATGCACCTGTTACCATAACGCACCTGTTACCATAACGCCTGTTACCATAACGCACCTGTTACCATAACGCACCTGTTACCGTAACGCACCTGTTACCGTAACGCACCTGTTACCATAACGCACCTGTTACCATAACGCACCTGTTACCATAACGCACATGTTATCATAACGCCTGTTACCATAACGCACCTGTTACCACAACGCACATGCTACCATAACGCACATGTTGCCATAACGCACCTGTTACCATAACGCAGTTGTTCTCCTAGCACAAGCCGCCACATGTCGGTTTCCTCTTTCCACCTCCTCCTCCCTCTCTTTTCTTCTTCTCCCCATCGCAGCCACCATCCCTCTCCTCATTGCACAGCCAGAGGAAACGTGTGTGAGGCTCCTCATAAATAAGTCCTCCCCCCCTCTCTCTTATTTTCTGCAGGGTCCTGAGCTGCTCTCCAAGTGGGTGGGCGAGTCCGAACGAGCAGTCCGAACCTTGTTCTCCCGAGCCAAGGCGGCAGCTCCGGCGATCGTGTTCTTTGACGAGATAGATGGGCTGGCAGTGGCGCGGAGCAAGGGAGGAGGAGGAGCGTCGGGAGGCGTGGGCGACAGAGTGATGACCCAACTGCTGCTGGAAATGGACGGTGAGTGCCTGTGTGTTGATATACTGGGATTTTCCAATAGGGATTCCAATACAGCTCGTTAGAATCAGCAGCAGCAAGGGAGGAGGAGGGGCATTGGGAGGCGTGGGCGACAGAGTGATGACCCAACTGCTGCTGGAAATGGACGGTGAGTGGGTGGTTGTGTTGATATACTGGGATTTTTCAATAGGGATTCCAATACAGCTCGTTAGAGTCAGCAGCAGCAAAGCAGGAGGAGGAGCATCGGGGGGCGTCGGGGACCGCGTGATGTTCCAGCTGCTGCTAGAGAAGTCTTAGATCCAACTTCAATGGAGTGATGGACGGTGAGAGCCTGTGTGTTGGGTTCGAGAAGTCTTAGATGCAACTTCACGCAGGTAATGGTGATCGTAGCAAGCAACCGACCAGACCAATTAGACCGAGCCCTCCTGATGCACTTCCATTCATCCCCCTCTTCTACCTCACTTTCTTTGCCCCTCCACATCCCATCCCCTCCCTGCCAGCCCTCACCCCATCCACTCAATTCACGGTGATTGCAGCAACCAACCGGCCAGACCTGTTAGATCGAGCCCTCCTGAGGCCCGGCCGCTTCGACACACCTCAAGTGCACAACTCCATTCATCCCACTCTTCTGCCCTCTGTTTCCCCTCCCCTCCATACCCACCTCCCAGCCCTAACACCCTCCACGCAGGTGACAGTCATTGCAGCAACCAACCGGCCAGACTTGTTAGACCGAGCCCTCCTGAGGCCCGGCCGTTTCGACACACCTCAAGTGCACAACTCCATTCATCCCACTCTTCTGCCCTCTGTTTCCCCTCCCCTCCATACCCACCTCCCAGCCCTAACACCCTCCACGCAAGTAACAGTCATTGCAGCAACCAACCGGCCAGACCTTTTAGATCGAGCCCTCCTGAGGCCCGGCCGATTCGACCGCCTCCTTTTCGTCCCGCCGCCCGACCTCGCCGCCCGGGAGAAGATCTTTGCGCTCTGCCTGCGCGGCACGCCGCTGCATGCTGACGTGGATGCCCGCCAGCTCAGCTGCCAGCTGGCGGCACGGAGCGAGGGGTACACGGGCGCTGACATCACCGCGATCTGCCGAGAGGCCAAGCTGGCAGCGCTGGAGGTGAGCTGGCATTGGGTGGGGATGAGCTGGCAGTGGGTGGGGATGAGCTGGCAGTGGGTGGGGATGAGCTGGCAGCGCTGGAGGTGAGCTGGCAGTGGATGGGGATGAGCTGGCAGTGGGTGGGGATGAGCTGGCAGTAGATGGGGATGAGCTGGCAGTGGATGGGGATGAGCTGGCAAGGGCTGGGGATGCTTACTTATATGTTCTGTGCTTTTGTGCTCAGTGCTAGAATGTTACAGTGCTTACATTTACTGTACATGTGTTCAATGTTCATTCGGTATACACACTCTGCCTCATCCCAATTCTTGCCCTGTTTTCAGGAGGTTTCCGCAGCGTGTGTGAGCATGCGGCATTTCGATAAAGCGCTTGGTACAGTGAAGAAGAGTGTATCACCCCTAGAAGCTGCATTCTATGCCAATTTCCAAAGAGGGTGATGCAATCAAGAGTGAGCGAGCACACATGTCATTTTTATACGAACGAATCTGAGTACCGTCATCACCCGGATATAAGACAGTGTTGAATAGAAGACAGGGGGTGTCTATTATCCGGGTGTCTCTTATAAACGGGGTAGCCTCATTATAAGACACCTGTTTCTATGTACGAGTTAAGGCAGTGTAGGGGTTAGGGGCAATTGTATAACGAGGGGGTATCTTCTAAACGGTTCTTTGTCCATTTATAAGACATATTAGACACCCTAAACCGTTCCAAATACAAGACAACCCAAGCATTTTTGCCCGTGTACGAGATAAGACATATATGTCTTATATCCGGGCGATGACGGTATCATTGTACCATGCATCCCATCTTGGCTCGGAAAGCACGACTTTATATTATTATATTCTATGTAGACCAGTATCTGATATGTGATACAGTGGTGTAGAAGAAATTCATGAAAATAACCATGACACTACAACATAGCTTTATAAGCACATCGACACAAACTAGCAAAGCACCGCTACAGCCACAGCAATAAGCAATAAGCTACGCATATATATCATACTACCGTAGTACCAATTGCGGGTGCTGTCATGATAATCATGCCCCAAACAAGCCACAGTGATGATCACTACACCGTGAAAACACAAGGGCAAGGAAGGAGCAGAGCAGAGTCACGACCATCACTGCACTGCCACAGTGGACTGATGCCGCCTGTGCTGCCTTGCCTTAGCAGCCAACAGCGTCAGAGGTGAACAGGTGTATACTTAGAGCACCAGGGCAAGGACGGCACAGAGCAGAGCCATAACCATCACTGCACTGGCACTGCCACTGTGAACTGATGCTGCCTGTGCTGCTGCCTTGCCACTGCTGTTGCTGGGGGGTGATGCAGCAGCTGCAGCGGTGGGAGGAGGGAGGGCAGCAGCGGGTGCAGGTGGTGCGTTGGCGGAGAGTGGTGCTGAGATGGAGTCAGAGGGGATGGCCGTCAGTGATGCCTGGGACCTGCCGTGGGATGAAGGAAACGGGTGGTGGGTGGGGGGAGAGGACAAGCTTTGAGACGTCTCAAGACTGAGTAGCAGGTGCAGGTGGTGCGTCGGAGGAGAGTGGTGCAGAGATGGTGTTAGAGGGGGTGGCTGCCAGTGATGCTTGGGACCTGCCGTGGGATGAAGGAAACGGGTGGTGGGCGGGGGAGGGGAGGTAGGGGGAAGGAAGATGGGACAAATGAGGGGCAGGTGTGTGATGAAATGGTGCAGTGCAGTGATAGTTGTGACCAGGTGACTTTCTGAGTCGAGGCGACTCAAAATGAGGTGGGTGAGAGGGGATGCTTTTGAGTGACGCCTGAGTCCTGCCATAGGATAAGGAGAGGAGGGGAGGGAAGGATGGGGAGGGAAGGAGGAGGGAAGAGGGGGAGGGGTGGGAGTCTACTTTTGAGGCGCCTCAAAAGTATGAGGTGGGTGAGAGGGGATGCCTTTCAGTGACGCCTGAGTCCTGCCGTAGGATAAGGGGAGGAGGGGAGGAAAGGAGGGGGAGGGAAGGAGGAGGGAATAGGGGGAGGGGTGGGAGTATAGTTTTGAGGCGCCTTAAAAGTATGAGGCGGGTGAGAGGGGATGCCTTTGAGTGACGCCTGAGTCCTGCCATAGGATAAGGGGAGGAGGGTTGAGAGCGGAGGGAAGGAGGGGGAGGGAAGAGGGGGAGGGAAGAGGGGGAGGGAAGAGGGGGAGAGAAGAGGGGGAGGGAAGAGGGGGAGGGAAGGAGGGGGAGGGAAGAGGGGGAGGGAAGGAGGGGGAGGGAAGGAGGGGGAGGGAAGGAGGGGGAGGGAAGGAGGGGGAGGGAAGGAGGGGGAGGGAAGGAGGGGGAGGGAAGAGGGGGAGGGAAGGAGGGGGAGGGAAGGAGGGGGAGGGAAGGAGGGGGAGGGAAGGAGGGGGAGGGAAGAGGGGGAGGGAAGGAGGGGGAGGGAAGGAGGGGGAGGGAAGAAGGGGGAGGGAAGGAGGGGGAGGGAAGGAGGGGGAGGGAAGGAGGGGGAGGGAAGGAGGGGGAGGGAAGGAGGGGGAGGGGGGGGGTGGGAGAGGGACGAGGAGGTGGCAGGGCGTATCGCATGGTTTCAGTGCCGTAGTGTCTTGCGGTGGAAAGTGGTGTGGTGTGGTGTGATGTGGTGTGGTGTGGTGTGGTGGGGAGTGGTGCAGTGCGGTCCAGTCTAAACTTACTCTGCCGGGCACCGGTTGACAACTTTCTTGGGCGTGTTGGAACCAAAGGTGACCTTCAGGGCTGGTAGGAGGGGGCGAGGTGTGCATGTCAGGGGCAGGGGTGTGGTGTGGCTCGGTGCAGTGCGGTCCAGTCTGCACTTACTCAGCAGGGCAGCCGTTGACGACTTTCTTAGGCGTGTTGGAGCCGAAGGTGATCTTGCAGGGCTGGTAGGTGGGGATGAAGTTGGGCCCACACACGTAGAACTTGGAGAGCGTGGGGCTGTTGGGGTTCAATCCGAGTGTTTCATTGTCGTACGACGCACAGAAGTCGTAGCATGCATCCATCTCTGGTTGGAGTGAGATGGGGGAGGGGAAAGGGGGGTGTGTGAGCAGCAGGGCCGGTACGAGGGGATGAAGTTGGGCCCACACACGTAGAACTTGGAGAGCGTGGGGCTGTTGGGGTTCAACCCGAGTGTTTCATTGTCGTATGACGCACAGAAGTCATAGCACGCGTCCATCTCTGGTGGGAGTAATGTGAAAGAAGGGGAAGGAGGTGGGGGCGGGGGGCGAGGGGAGTGTAAGCAGAAGGGCTGGTGGGGTCCATGCCGAGTGTTTCATTGTCGTACGACGCACAGAAGTCGTAGCATGCATCCATCTCTGTGGGACACGGATTGGGAAGGGGGGACAGGGACACGGGGAGGGGATAGAGGGGGTAAGGTGCTGAGTGTGGGGCTGTTAGGGTCATGCCGAGAGAGTCGTTCTCGTATGATGCACACAAGTCGTAGCATGCATCCATCTCTGTGGCGAGCAGCAATGGGCGTGTGGGTGAGTGGGAGGGGAAAGGGGTGTTGGTAAGGACAGCATGGGGCTGGTAAGGTCATGCAAGAAGAAGGAAACCATGCAAGATACCATGCAAGATACCATGCAAGATACCATGCAAGATACCATGCAAGATACCATGCAAGATACCATGCAAGATACCATGCAAGATACCATGCAAGATACCATGCAAGATACCATGCAAGATACCATGCAAGATACCATGCAAGATACCATGCAAGATACCATGCAAGATACCATGCAAGATACCATGCAAGATACCATGCAAGATACCATGCAAGATACCATGCAAGATACCATGCAAGATACCATGCAAGATACCATGCAAGATACCATGCAAGATACCATGCAAGATACCATGCAAGATACCATGCAAGATACCATGCAAGATACCATGCAAGATACCATGCAAGATACCATGCAAGATACCATGCAAGATACCATGCAAGATACCATGCAAGATACCATGCAAGATACCATGCAAGATACCATGCAAGATACCATGCAAGATACCATGCAAGATACCATGCAAGATACCATGCAAGAGGTCAAATAAAGTAAACCACAAGGAGGAGCTACCTTGGCCGTGCCGTGCAGGGTAGTACAAGAGGCAGTCAACACACATCTCCTCCCCAGTGGATACATTTAGGGAGAGAAGATGGGGTCTTTTACTGAAGTGCATGGGAGGAAGAAGCATTACCTTGGCCCTGGCGTGCGGGGTAGTAGATGAGATAGTCAATACACATCTCCTCCTCTGTCGATGGCCCTCCCATTGAAAAAACAAGCGCACCCCACTGACATGCATTATTCATTGGGACGCAACGTTACCTTGGCCCTGGCGTGCGGGGTAGTAGATGAGATAGTCAATACACATCTCCTCCTCTGTCGATGGCCCTCCCACCGTCACCTGCATTCACCGAGGGGTGGAGAGGGGTGGAGAGGGATCGAGAGGGGCCGAGAGGGTAGTGACGGGCAGAGAGAGGTACTGACGAGAAGAGAGGGGCAGCGAGGGGTGGGAATGGGTGGAGAGGTGCAGGGAGGGGTAGAGATGGGCAGAGTGGGGTAGAGAGGGGCAGAGAGGGGTAGAGAGGGGCAGAGAGGGGTAGAGAGGGACGTAACGTACGTTGGTGCGTTCAGTGGAGTCCCACACACAGGAGGTGCGCAGCTCGTCCCCTGGCAGCAGCTCAAACTCTGGCGTGAAGGGAACTGTCTGCTGCGACGCAAAGTCACTGCGATGGTTTGGGTTGTGGAGGGGAGGTGGGGGGGTTCGGGTGTGGCAGGGCGGGGAGCAGGAAGGGAGGGGAGGGCCTAGTGAGCTCGTCTGCTGGCAGCAAGTCGAACTATGGTTTGAAAAGAATGGGGTGGAGGGGAACAGGGAGGGAAGGAAAAACGAGGGTAAATAGGGGTCAAGGGGGGTAAAAGGGGGTAAATGGGGCGGTGGTTGGGTGAAGAAGAGCGGTAGTTGGGTGAAGAAGAACGGTTGTCGGGTGAACAAGAGCTGTGGCTGGGCGAGGGAGGGAGCTCACTAGTAGTCCTGGCGGCTGATGGTGTTTTTGAGACGTCTCAGCAACTCTCTCTTTAACACGTCGGTGTGGGGGCATGGCAACAAGGGGGCATGGCAACAAGGGGGCATGGCAACAAGGGGGCATGGCAACAAGGGGGCATGGCAACAAGGGGGCATGGCAACAAGGGGGCATGGCAACAAGGGGGCATGGCAACAAGGGGGCATGGGCAACAAGGGGGCATGGCAACAAGGGGGCATGGCAACAAGGGGGCATGGCAACAAGGGGGCATGGGCAACAAGGGGGCATGGCAACAAGGGGGCATGGCAACAAGGGGGCATGGCAACAAGGGGGCATGGGCAACAAGGGGGCATGGCAACAAGGGGGCATGGGCAACAAGGGGGCATGGCAACAAGGGGGCATGGCAACAAGGGGGCATGGGCAACAAGGGGGCATGGCAACAAGGGGGCATGGCAACAAGGGGGCATGGCAACAAGGGGGCATGGCAACAAGGGGGCATGGGCAACAAGGGGGCATGGCAACAAGGGGGCATGGCAACAAGGGGGCATGGGCAACAAGGGGGCATGGCAACAAGGGGGCATGGCAACAAGGGGGCATGGCAACAAGGGGGCATGGGCAACAAGGGGGCATGGCAACAAGGGGGCATGGGCAACAAGGGGGCATGGCAACAAGGGGGCATGGCAACAAGGGGGCATGGCAACAAGGGGGCATGGGCAACAAGGGGGCATGGCAACAAGGGGGCATGGGCAACAAGGGGGCATGGCAACAAGGGGGCATGGCAACAAGGGGGCATGGCAACAAGGGGGCATGGCAACAAGGGGGCATGGCAACAAGGGGGCATGGCAACAAGGGGGCATGGCAACAAGGGGGCATGGCAACAAGGGGGCATGGGCAACAAGGGGGCATGGCAACAAGGGGGCATGGCAACAAGGGGGCATGGCAACAAGGGGGCATGGCAACAAGGGGGCATGGCAACAAGGGGGCATGGCAACAAGGGGGCATGGCAACAAGGGGGCATGGCAACAAGGGGGCATGGCAACAAGGGGGCATGGCAACAAGGGGGCATGGGCAACAAGGGGGCATGGCAACAAGGGGGCATGGGCAACAAGGGGGCATGGCAACAATGGGGCATGGCAACAAGGGGGCATGGCAACAAGGGGGCATGGCAACAAGGGGGCATGGCAACAAGGGGGCATGGCAACAAGGGGGCATGGCAACAAGGGGGCATGGCAACAAGGGGGCATGGCAACAAGGGGGCATGGGCAACAAGGGGGCATGGCAACAAGGGGGCATGGGCAACAAGGGGGCATGGCAACAAGGGGGCATGGCAACAAGGGGGCATGGCAACAAGGGGGCATGGCAACAAGGGGGCATGGCAACAAGGGGGCATGGCAACAAGGGGGCATGGCAACAAGGGGGCATGGCAACAAGGGGGCATGGGCAACAAGGGGGCATGGCAACAAGGGGGCATGGCAACAAGGGGGCATGGCAACAAGGGGGCATGGCAACAAGGGGGCATGGCAACAAGGGGGCATGGCAACAAGGGGGCATGGCAACAAGGGGGCATGGCAACAAGGGGGCATGGGCAACAAGGGGGCATGGCAACAAGGGGGCATGGGCAACAAGGGGGCATGGCAACAAGGGGGCATGGCAACAAGGGGGCATGGGCAACAAGGGGGCATGGCAACAAGGGGGCATGGGCAACAAGGGGGCATGGGCAACAAGGGGGCATGGGCAACAAGGGGGCATGGCAACAAGGGGGCATGGCAACAAGGGGGCATGGCAACAAGGGGGCATGGCAACAAGGGGGCATGGCAACAAGGGGGCATGGCAACAAGGGGGCATGGCAACAAGGGGGCATGGCAACAAGGGGGCATGGCAACAAGGGGGCATGGCAACAAGGGGGCATGGCAACAAGGGGGCATGGCAACAAGGGGGCATGGGCAACAAGGGGGCATGGGCAACAAGGGGGCATGGGCAACAAGGGGGCATGGGCAACAAGGGGGCATGGGCAACAAGGGGGCATGGCAACAAGGGGGCATGGCAACAAGGGGGCATGGCAACAAGGGGGCATGGCAACAAGGGGGCATGGCAACAAGGGGGCATGGGCAACAAGGGGGCATGGCAACAAGGGGGCATGGGCAACAAGGGGGCATGGGCAACAAGGGGGCATGGGCAACAAGGGGGCATGGCAACAAGGGGGCATGGCAACAAGGGGGCATGGCAACAAGGGGGCATGGCAACAAGGGGGCATGGCAACAAGGGGGCATGGGCAACAAGGGGGCATGGCAACAAGGGGGCATGGGCAACAAGGGGGCATGGCAACAAGGGGGCATGGCAACAAGGGGGCATGGCAACAAGGGGGCATGGGCAACAAGGGGGCATGGCAACAAGGGGGCATGGGCAACAAGGGGGCATGGGCAACAAGGGGGCATGGGCAACAAGGGGGCATGGCAACAAGGGGGCATGGCAACAAGGGGGCATGGCAACAAGGGGGCATGGCAACAAGGGGGCATGGCAACAAGGGGGCATGGCAACAAGGGGGCATGGGCAACAAGGGGGCATGGGCAACAAGGGGGCATGGCAACAAGGGGGCATGGGCAACAAGGGGGCATGGGCAACAAGGGGGCATGGGCAACAAGGGGGCATGGGCAACAAGGGGGCATGGGCAACAAGGGGGCATGGGCAACAAGGGGGCATGGGCAACAAGGGGGCATGGCAACAAGGGGGCATGGGCAACAAGGGGGCATGGGCAACAAGGGGGCATGGGCAACAAGGGGGCATGGCAACAAGGGGGCATGGCAACAAGGGGGCATGGCAACAAGGGGGCATGGCAACAAGGGGGCATGGCAACAAGGGGGCATGGCAACAAGGGGGCATGGCAACAAGGGGGTATGGCAACAAGGGGGCATGGCAACAAGGGGGCATGGCAACAAGGGGGCATGGCAACAAGGGGGCATGGGCAACAAGGGGGCATGGCAACAAGGGGGCATGGGCAACAAGTGGGCATGGGCAACAAGGGGGCATGGGCAACAAGGGGGCATGGGCAACAAGGGGGCATGGCAACAAGGGGGCATGGCAACAAGGGGGCATGGCAACAAGGGGGCATGGCAACAAGGGGGCATGGCAACAAGGGGGCATGGGCAACAAGGGGGCATGGCAACAAGGGGGCATGGGCAACAAGGGGGCATGGGCAACAAGGGGGCATGGGCAACAAGGGGGCATGGCAACAAGGGGGCATGGCAACAAGGGGGCATGGCAACAAGGGGGCATGGCAACAAGGGGGCATGGCAACAAGGGGGCATGGGCAACAAGGGGGCATGGCAACAAGGGGGCATGGGCAACAAGGGGGCATGGCAACAAGGGGGCATGGCAACAAGGGGGCATGGCAACAAGGGGGCATGGGCAACAAGGGGGCATGGCAACAAGGGGGCATGGGCAACAAGGGGGCATGGGCAACAAGGGGGCATGGCAACAAGGGGGCATGGCAACAAGGGGGCATGGCAACAAGGGGGCATGGGCAACAAGGGGGCATGGCAACAAGGGGGCATGGGCAACAAGGGGGCATGGCAACAAGGGGGCATGGCAACAAGGGGGCATGGGCAACAAGGGGGCATGGCAACAAGGGGGCATGGCAACAAGGGGGCATGGCAACAAGGGGGCATGGCAACAAGGGGGCATGGCAACAAGGGGGCATGGCAACAAGGGGGCATGGCAACAAGGGGGCATGGCAACAAGGGGGCATGGCAACAAGGGGGCATGGCAACAAGGGGGCATGGCAACAAGGGGGCATGGCAACAAGGGGGCATGGCAACAAGGGGGCATGGCAACAAGGGGGCATGGCAACAAGGGGGTATGGCAACAAGGGGGCATGGCAACAAGGGGGCATGGCAACAAGGGGGCATGGCAACAAGGGGGCATGGGCAACAAGGGGGCATGGCAACAAGGGGGCATGGGCAACAAGTGGGCATGGGCAACAAGGGGGCATGGGCAACAAGGGGGCATGGGCAACAAGGGGGCATGGCAACAAGGGGGCATGGCAACAAGGGGGCATGGCAACAAGGGGGCATGGCAACAAGGGGGCATGGCAACAAGGGGGCATGGGCAACAAGGGGGCATGGCAACAAGGGGGCATGGGCAACAAGGGGGCATGGGCAACAAGGGGGCATGGGCAACAAGGGGGCATGGCAACAAGGGGGCATGGCAACAAGGGGGCATGGCAACAAGGGGGCATGGCAACAAGGGGGCATGGCAACAAGGGGGCATGGGCAACAAGGGGGCATGGCAACAAGGGGGCATGGGCAACAAGGGGGCATGGCAACAAGGGGGCATGGCAACAAGGGGGCATGGCAACAAGGGGGCATGGGCAACAAGGGGGCATGGCAACAAGGGGGCATGGGCAACAAGGGGGCATGGGCAACAAGGGGGCATGGCAACAAGGGGGCATGGCAACAAGGGGGCATGGCAACAAGGGGGCATGGGCAACAAGGGGGCATGGCAACAAGGGGGCATGGGCAACAAGGGGGCATGGCAACAAGGGGGCATGGCAACAAGGGGGCATGGGCAACAAGGGGGCATGGCAACAAGGGGGCATGGCAACAAGGGGGCATGGCAACAAGGGGGCATGGCAACAAGGGGGCATGGCAACAAGGGGGCATGGCAACAAGGGGGCATGGGCAACAAGGGGGCATGGCAACAAGGGGGCATGGGCAACAAGGGGGCATGGGCAACAAGGGGGCATGGCAACAAGGGGGCATGGGCAACAAGGGGGCATGGGCAACAAGGGGGCATGGGCAACAAGGGGGCATGGGCAACAAGGGGGCATGGCAACAAGGGGGCATGGCAACAAGGGGGCATGGCAACAAGGGGGCATGGCAACAAGGGGGCATGGCAACAAGGGGGCATGGGCAACAAGGGGGCATGGCAACAAGGGGGCATGGGCAACAAGGGGGCATGGGCAACAAGGGGGCATGGGCAACAAGGGGGCATGGCAACAAGGGGGCATGGCAACAAGGGGGCATGGCAACAAGGGGGCATGGCAACAAGGGGGCATGGCAACAAGGGGGCATGGGCAACAAGGGGGCATGGCAACAAGGGGGCATGGGCAACAAGGGGGCATGGCAACAAGGGGGCATGGCAACAAGGGGGCATGGCAACAAGGGGGCATGGGCAACAAGGGGGCATGGCAACAAGGGGGCATGGGCAACAAGGGGGCATGGGCAACAAGGGGGCATGGGCAACAAGGGGGCATGGCAACAAGGGGGCATGGCAACAAGGGGGCATGGCAACAAGGGGGCATGGCAACAAGGGGGCATGGCAACAAGGGGGCATGGCAACAAGGGGGCATGGGCAACAAGGGGGCATGGGCAACAAGGGGGCATGGCAACAAGGGGGCATGGGCAACAAGGGGGCATGGGCAACAAGGGGGCATGGGCAACAAGGGGGCATGGGCAACAAGGGGGCATGGGCAACAAGGGGGCATGGGCAACAAGGGGGCATAGGCAACAAGGGGGCATGGCAACAAGGGGGCATGGGCAACAAGGGGGCATGGGCAACAAGGGGGCATGGGCAACAAGGGGGCATGGCAACAAGGGGGCATGGCAACAAGGGGGCATGGCAACAAGGGGGCATGGCAACAAGGGGGCATGGCAACAAGGGGGCATGGCAACAAGGGGGCATGGCAACAAGGGGGCATGGCAACAAGGGGGCATGGCAACAAGGGGGCATGGCAACAAGGGGGCATGGCAACAAGGGGGCATGGGCAACAAGGGGGCATGGCAACAAGGGGGCATGGGCAACAAGGGGGCATGGGCAACAAGGGGGCATGGGCAACAAGGGGGCATGGGCAACAAGGGGGCATGGCAACAAGGGGGCATGGCAACAAGGGGGCATGGCAACAAGGGGGCATGGCAACAAGGGGGCATGGCAACAAGGGGGCATGGGCAACAAGGGGGCATGGCAACAAGGGGGCATGGGCAACAAGGGGGCATGGGCAACAAGGGGGCATGGGCAACAAGGGGGCATGGCAACAAGGGGGCATGGCAACAAGGGGGCATGGCAACAAGGGGGCATGGCAACAAGGGGGCATGGCAACAAGGGGGCATGGGCAACAAGGGGGCATGGCAACAAGGGGGCATGGGCAACAAGGGGGCATGGCAACAAGGGGGCATGGCAACAAGGGGGCATGGCAACAAGGGGGCATGGGCAACAAGGGGGCATGGCAACAAGGGGGCATGGGCAACAAGGGGGCATGGGCAACAAGGGGGCATGGGCAACAAGGGGGCATGGCAACAAGGGGGCATGGCAACAAGGGGGCATGGCAACAAGGGGGCATGGCAACAAGGGGGCATGGCAACAAGGGGGCATGGCAACAAGGGGGCATGGGCAACAAGGGGGCATGGGCAAGAAGGGGGCATGGCAACAAGGGGGCATGGGCAACAAGGGGGCATGGGCAACAAGGGGGCATGGGCAACAAGGGGGCATGGGCAACAAGGGGGCATGGGCAACAAGGGGGCATGGGCAACAAGGGGGCATGGGCAACAAGGGGGCATGGGCAACAAGGGGGCATGGGCAACAAGGGGGCATGGGCAACAAGGGGGCATGGGCAACAAGGGGGCATGGGCAACAAGGGGGCATGGGCAACAAGGGGGCATGGGCAACAAGGGGGCATGGGCAACAAGGGGGCATGGGCAACAAGGGGGCATGGGCAACAAGGGGGCATGGGCAACAAGGGGGCATGGGCAACAAGGGGGCATGGGCAACAAGGGGGCATGGGCAACAAGGGGGCATGGGCAACAAGGGGGCATGGGCAACAAGGGGGCATGGGCAACAAGGGGGCATGGGCAACAAGGGGGCATGGGCAACAAGGGGGCATGGGCAACAAGGGGGCATGGGCAACAAGGGGGCATGGGCAACAAGGGGGCATGGCAACAAGGGGTCATGGCAACAAGGGGGCATGGCAACAAGGGAGCATGGCAACAAGGGGGCATGGCAACAAGGGGGCATGGCAACAAGGGGGCATGGCAACAAGGGGGCATGGCAACAAGGGGGCATGGCAACAAGGGGGCATGGCAACAAGGGGGCATGGCAACAAGGGGGCATGTGCAGCAGTCCACTCATCCCTCACCTGCCTCCCCAGAGTGTGCAGGTGCAAAAAGGACCCGATGATCTTCCCCACACGTCCTATGCTGTTCACACGGCCATGCCTCGTCCGCCCATGTCTCTCACCTGTCGCCCCAGAGTGTGCAGGTGCAGAAAGGACCCGCTCTCGTTCTTGAACACATTAGAGGTGCACTCGCCCGGACACGTGCTGACTTGCGTCCACGAGGGCATGCCACGAGGCCATACTGCCACATGTGGCCACACGACACAAGGCTATGCCACGTCCCCAGTGCACCTCACCTTTGCAACAGCATGCCCATCCCTCACCTGTCACCATAACCCTGCCTCGTCCGCCCATGTCTCTCACCTGCCTCCCCAGAGTGTGCAGGTGCAGGAAGGACCCGATGATCTTCACACTCTCATTCTTGAACACAGCAGAGGTGCACTCGCCGGGGCATGTGCTGACTACCTTCCTGACCTCTGTAACATTCTTCTCACGGCCCTACCTGTCGCCCAAGAGTGTGCAGGTGCAGGAAGGACCCGATGATCTTCACACTCTCGTTATTAAACACCGCAGCAGTGCACTCGCCGGGGCACGTGCTGACTTGCGTCCACGAGGGCATGCCGGGGGGGATCTTGATGAGATACTCGTACGGCACGGGGCCCGAGAGCATGATGGACGCGTCCATGGGGCGGAGGGAGGGCGCGAGCTTCAGGTACAGCCCCGAGTTATCGATCAGGTCTGCGCGGCCCTTGGGATTGGTAAAATGCACCTGAGGGGGAAGGGTAAGGCACGGGGAGGAGGGCATGGCAGGGGGGAATGCGGATGAGATACTCGTAGGGCACGGGGCCCGAGAGCATGATGGACGCGTCCATGGGGCGGAGGGGCGAGCTTCAGGTACAGCCCCGAGTTGTCTATCAGGTCTGCGCGACCCTTGGGGTTGGTGAAATGCACCTGAGGAGGAAGGGTAAGGCACGGGGAGGAGGACATGGGGGGGGGGATGCGGATGAGATACTCGTAGGGCACGGGGCCCGAGAGCATGATGGACGCGTCCATGGGGCGGAGGGAGGGCGCCAGTTTGAGGTACAGCCCGGAGTTGTCGATCAGGTCTGCGCGGCCCTTGGGATTGGTAAAATGCACCTGAGGGGGAAGGGTAAGGCACGGGGAGGAGGGCATGGCAGGGGGGAATGCGGATGAGATACTCGTAGGGCACGGGGCCCGAGAGCATGATGGACGCGTCCATGGGGCGGAGGGACGGGGCGAGCTTCAGGTACAGCCCCGAGTTGTCTATCAGGTCTGCGCGACCCTTGGGGTTGGTGAAATGCACCTGAGGAGGAAGGGTAAGGCACGGGGAGGAGGACATGGGGGGGGGGGATGCGGATGAGATACTCGTAGGGCACGGGGCCCGAGAGCATGATGGACGCGTCCATGGGGCGGAGGGAGGGCGCCAGTTTCAGGTACAGCCCCGAGTTGTCGATCAGGTCTGCGCGGCCCTTGGGGTTGGTGAAATGCACCTGAGGGTGGGGTGGTGGGGGTAGTGTGGAGGGGGGGAAGGGGGGGCAGGAAGAAGGGGAGTATTTGTGATGCGGATGAGATAGTCGTAGCGCACACATGGCCCGTCAGCATGATGTACGCATGGAAATTACTCTTGAGAATTCTTAAAAGTAATTTCCATATTGTCGTAGGGCACATGGCCCGAGAGCATAATGGATGCGTCCATGGGGCGGAGGGACGGAGCCAGCTTCAGTTGCAGCCCTGAGCTGCCAATGAGATCTGCGCGCGCCTTGGGGTTGGTGAAATGCACCTGAAGTAAAATGGCGGGAAGGGAGGGGAAAGAGAAGGCGTTTCTGATGTGCTTCTGAGGCCACGAGATAAAAGGTGTTTATGATGAGAGAAGGCGTCTAAAAAATACTCTTTTATCACGAGAGAGGTGTTTGTGATGTGCTTTTGAGGCAAGGGAAGCACAGCACCACAAGGCATTTGTGCGTGGGGCAGGGGAGTAAGGGGAGGAGGCTGGGAAGGATTTGGTACTAGGCATGGTGGGACGGCTTTTACGGAGCCTAAAAAGGGAGGCTTGGAAGGGTTAGTGCTAGAAACGGTGGCAAAAGGAAGGCTCCAGTCTCCAGAAATGTATCGAGTTCTGCACCGCACTGAATCAAATTGCACCGCACTGAATCAAATTGCACCGCACCGCACTGCACCCACACACCTGCAGCACGAACTTGGTGAAGTGGCCGGGGCCGATGGGGTAGCCGACATTGGGCGGGAAGGTGAAGGGTCTGCCGCCCACAGCCCACACGGCGACGGTGGTGGCACATGGCGTGTCGTGCAGGCAGTCAAAGTCCGCCCCTGCGCCCTTGAGATTGCCGTACTCCTTGCTGTGAGGGGGCAGGGTAGGGGGGAGAGGGGGGGAATGGTTACTCCAGATTCTCGAAGTCGTCGTGCAGGCAATCAAAGTCCGCCCCTGCTCCCTTGAGATTGCCGTACTCCTTGCTGTGAGGGGGCAGGAAAGGGGGAGGAGGAGAGCACAGGGTGTGTATGAGAACACAGCCCACACGGCGACAGTGGTGGCGCATGGCGTGTCGTGCAGGCAGTCAAAGTCCGCCCCTGCGCCCTTGAGATTGCCGTACTCCTTGCTGTGAGAGGGAAGGAGGAAGGAAAGAGAATTCTCATCTCGGATTACACAGAAGTGTCTTGCTGGCTGTATAAGGAGCCCTGGGCGGGCGGCAGATTGGTAGATGGGCGGCGGACTGGCGGACGGGCGGCAGAATGGCGTGCTATTTGCCCAGAGAGGGGAGGGGAAGGGGAGGGTATGTGTGGCTTACGGTTTGCAGCCGTAGATGATGGCATGATGGACGGCTTTATTGTCGGTGGAGTTGTGTACGACACCCCACTCAACCGCATGAGTCTTGGCCTTGAGAGCAATGTCCACCACCTATGGACGTCATAGATGGGTGCCGATGGATGCAGATTGGTGCAAATGGTAGAAGATCGGTGCAAATCGGTGCAGGTGGGTGCAGAGTGGGGTGCGAGCATGAAAAGGGTGCGCTGAACTTAATGTGACCCAAAAGCGCACGGAATGAGAAGAAACTGAAACGCCTGAGAACAAAAGGAAGCACATGGGGCTTTCAGGGGCATTTGGAGGCTTCTACGGAATCTGGAGGCATTCGGGAGGAGAACTAGATTGGGGAACATATGTGCAATGCGTGCTTGGAAATGGCGTGCGCACGACGGAGCATTGCAGGAGCACCGCGCACCTTGCAGCGATAGGTCGTGAAGTCCGTTGGCAAGCGGTAATTCGTGAACGTGAAATTCAGCATGCTCTCCCCCTGCTGCTGCTGCGCCGGCTGCTTCCCTGCCTGCTGCGGCGCAGCCAGAGACGCAGCGGACGCGGAGGAGGAGGCGGAGGGGGGAGGCGCAGGCGCGATGATGGACGGGCCGGGGGCAGGCGCGAGCACGAGGGCGGACGCGCCGCGGTCGGAGCTGTGATAGCTGACGTCAGTCGTGGCGCCCATGGCCCAGATAACGTTGTGAAGCTTCCCGGGAACTATCGGGCGGTCGTTGCAGTCGCCCGTGTCCAGCTGGCGCCACACGTGCACGGTGGTCCACGTGTCGCCGGTGGATTGGTTCGTGGTCTGGCTGCCGCCCAGCACGTGCCAGTCCTGCTTGTCGTCGAGTGCGATTCCTTCGGTCGTCTTGTTGAAGATGAAACGATCCGTCGCATACACGCGGGCGTCGGACTGTGCGACCCATGCGACGAGGGCATCTGGTCGCACAATGCGGCGTGAAGAGCGGGAAAAGAGTGAGCGAGAGTGAACAAGGAATGTGAGGTGGGATAGTTGAGACGTCCGATGCGACTCCTCAGGCAGACTCACAATGAAATGCATCCCTAACGCGGCAGTCAATGGACAGGAACGAGCACGATTCACACTCCGGTCCGGACCCACCCGACAGTCACGAATTATACCCATGGAGTCGTACGTGAGCCCACCATGGAACGAGCAGGAATTTCACACTTGTAGAAGGATCGATTCGTACCTGAGCCCACCATGGAGCCAATCTCGGAGATGCCTATACCGAACCATCCCTTCGTTTTGGCCCTCACTGCCATTTGAATGGTCGCATCGCTATTGTTAACGGTCCAGTAAAGCTCGTAGCGCGGATCCAGCAACGCTACATTGGAGTAGGAGGAGAGCGACTCGGGAACAGAAGCCGCTGATGCAGAACGGTTACAGAAAACCGTTGAGAATGCCACTAATAGGAGTAGGCAACACGAAGTTGTGGGCGAAACCCTGCAGCCGTGACGTCTGTGCGCCATAATCTCAACTTCAAGTCGAGATAAGTATTTCAGCGAAGGAGATAGAAGAATGTTCATATCGCTGAACTGCGGTGCGGTCAAAAGAGACCGAGCGCGGTCGTCGGGATTTCGCGTCTACGAATAGGCTGTGCTGTGCGTCGAACCGACGGGGAGTACACGGCTGGAAGGATTCTACTTCTCGCTCCTAATTTATAGAATCTGCTGAAGTGAGCGATGGTAATGGTGTGAGAGAAAGAGTTGGGAACGGTTTTCCAAGGCCCTGTTCGGCAGGCGCATCACAGACAGGCTCGGTCGTGGAGAACAAACAGAAATGGCCGCGTAGGTGGAAGAATGCGTGTGCTGTGTGGTTGCAGCTGCGTGGAAGAGAGGCAATTTGTAGGCCAGGGGGGGGGTGAGAATGGGAGATACAGCATGCCGAGCTAGTCATATGGTGTAGGGAGTCCGATATGGAGTTCACTGATTGGTAGCGCGGATCGCGCAAGAGATTCATGCCACCATGGCATGTGGCTTCATGTTCGTAGAAATTCCTCGGGATGCCCGATTGGTGAAGTATAGCGCCACGTAATGTAGGTCAGGGGAATTCAGTACGGTTTACTTTTTTTGCCAACTGGCTCCCAAATTCTGAACGTCATTGGTGATGTCATCCGACACTTCCGAGAAGCGAACTGCATCCAGCCTTGGCCGGGTTCCTGGCGGTAAGGGAATTTCATTCCTTAGCGGGTGCTGCATGAATTTCGTAAGTGGAGGTTTGAGTGTTGTTCTCTAAGGGCGGGTCCAACTTTGCACATGTACAATATTTTTTTGAGACAGAACTTTTAACGTACTCACATGCATTTGACGCGATACTGTACATAACTGATGACATGTAACAGAACTTTTAACGTACTCACATGCATTTGACGCGATACTGTACATAACTGATGACAATCCGGAAACGTGCCCCGGAACGTGCGGCACACATCCGAATTTCGACTGGCAATGCATTTCAGACCTCGATTCGCATCAAAGACGTCAAACAGTAACTCTTATTTTTCGCCAGATGCTTTTCGCCATTAATTTCGCCTCGCCGCCAGGCACGGTCCGGCGCGCGAGAGACTGCCGCCAAACCACCTGTGATATCCGGTAACCCCATCCGTGGCACTGTACATTGCCTCGATATCGTACCTTGTCAGACCACATAGGTGTACACTCGTAAATTGACAAGGAATGTTTTGGGTACACCTTTGGGTACAGTCAAATTTGACGATACCATTAACGTTAAAATTACGGAAAAAACGGGAGTGTGCAAAGTTGGACCCGCCATAAATTTGAACTAAACTACTCCTCTAATGTTAGACGGGCTGATTGCAACATAAGGTTAGAATGACAGACGGTTTCCCTTTTGGGCGCAAATATAAGTGCCTCATGATGCAAGACATACTACACACTGTGTCGATGGTGTTGTAAAGTAAACAATTGGTTATTATGGTTTATTATTATGATATAGAATACAATGCCATTTGGACCATCATATCCCATACTCCAGTACATATATGATTCCTTCACCTCCAACAAGGGAGGTTATATAAGAGTACTGGATTCAGTTGTATGTTTCCATGTTTATGATCGCTATGAGTGCACCGATATCTCATCCAGGAGTTGGTCAATGTATGGTCAGCATCTGGTCTACGCACTTGTACACGTGGAAGAATTGTGGACAATGATTGGTACACAACCTTTGCGCGAGCAACAACACCAATCCGTGACTTCCATTTGCAACAAGATTTACAGCGCGGAGGAGACAAACCCAAGAACACATGTCAAGAGACGAGCACAGAAACCCAAGGACGCCGCAACCGCAAATGTCGGGATCGCGGTCAAGAAGGAATGCATTGGTTTTCTCTGCTAGACTGGTGCTGCTGACGCCTGCAATTTTGCCGAGTTGGCTTGGCTGCCGCCGCCGCCACTCTCGTGTGTGGTTGCTGTGTTACACACGAAGTCTATCCCAGATCTGTACGAACGATATCGCTTCAAGCCCGATGCACTGTGACACCCATGTGTACGAACAGGTGTTGTGGCGAAGAAAGAGGTGGTAACCAGTACCTCAAGGTTGGAGTAGGTAGGCTGTGGGTGTACATGTTTGTCCGTCCGTACCGTACGCTACCTTCGAGTTTCCACTCTCGGTTCCCTCCCTCGGCTCACACTGTACGTATCATCAAGTTTCTGTTTTGTCTAGAAGAGCCGAGCCGAATTATCCCAGACCGCGGACCTGAGACCTGAGATGTACTGTGGTTCTCGAAGTCTACTTTCTGCGACCAATAGAAAAACCTTGATTTTTGACTCCTGGTGACTTGACGGAAGGGTGTTTTGACGGGCATCAATGGAACTCAACGCAACACCAGCAGCTAGCGTCGTAGTTACTGTACTTTACAGCTTAGACATTGGATTAGGTCAAGCCGGGGCTGCACTGCACTGCGTGACAAGTTGAACAGAGTCGGCGGAACCCGTCAGGCGAAAGAAAAATGTAGGAGCGGCGGGGCGGGGGATGGGGGGGGGCTAAAAAGGGGGAAATAAGGGTGGGGGGAGGGCGTAGAACTAGGGAGCCACGGTGTACAGTACTTCTCCGAAGCAGCGTCTAGGATGTAATACCTTGCGAGAGACTAGGCGCCGGTACGGTTCGCTGATTCAAGGATGTTCCGAATCCCGAAACGTATCCACTTTTTTTTCCTTACCCGACAAAGACAGTCGGAGTGCTCTCGTGGCAGCACACGAAGAGCATCATCATGATCATCACCCCAGGGGCGACTCGGAGCCCGAGTCGCATGACGGCCGAATCGGGTCGCCGAAATCCAGCGCCCCTTCCAGTCCACATACACCACCACGCATTCACACACCCAGTCACTCACGGTGTGGCATTGCCGCTACTCGGCTCCGACACTGCATCACTGCATGCATGCATTCTGGGCTCGCGTTACTTACCACATTACTCCAGTTGTACCTTACCTCCGACACGGATTACTGCTTTTACCTCCGACACGCGTTACTGCTATCACCTCCGACACTGCACGCATTACTGCTACCTCCGACACCGCAGGGTTTTTTCTTACGATCCAATCACCCACTCTAGTAGTAATAGTACGATTTAGCCCTGCAGACACCCTCTGGGTGAGGATAGCGAATACGACACTAAAGCTCAGCGAGCCTCGACTTCGCCACTGGCCTCGGGCGACCCTCTATAGGCCTCGACTTTTCCACCGCAATCAGCGCAGTTCCGAGCCGTCTATTAGTAGCAGCGCCTGCTCGAGCCGCGGGCCGATTTGAAATTTCCAGTCATTGACGGCTCAAAGTCGCTCGGTTGATCATATGGCGCTAGTTCCGCAAATTCCGCGAAGCCCGCGGCGCGCAGCCGTCGCGTGCATTTTCCTTCTCGCCACGGCTCTCTTTTCCACCTTCACGCGAACTTCCGCCGCCGCCATTTCCCTTCCCGAGTCGCTCTCCTACGCCAACGTGGCGTTGCTAGACCCGCGCCTCGAGCTCCACTGGACCGTCAACGACAGCGACGCGACCATTCGATTGGCGGTTAGGGCTAACACGGCGGGATGGTTCTCTATAGCCATCTCCGAGATAGGCTCCATGGCGGGCTCAGGTACGACATTAAATCTGATTTTCGAGACGTCTCAGAAGTTGATACGGTGGGATGACGATTCTGCAGCCATTTCCGAAATAGGCTCCACGGCGGGCTCGGGTGCGAAATTAATCCGCCATATGAGGCTCTTCATGTGGGTGGGTCCGCACAGTACTTGTGTGGGTGTTTTTTCGTAAGGAGAGTCAGGAACAATCATGTTTGTAGTTTTCACCTTTTTTCACTCCCAAAACTTCCTCGGTGCGTTGATTCAAATCTTTCGTCCCAGACGCGCTGGTGGCATGGGTGGCGGAGAACGAGGGCCGCGTGTACGCCACAGACTGCTTCATTTTATCTCTCTCTCTCTCTCTCTCCCTTCTTTCTTTCACAAAACTTACACGGCGGTGCATCAATCCAAAACGCACTCTTTCGACGCAGACGCGCTGGTGGCGTGGGTGACGGAGAGCGAGGGCCGTGTGTTCGCCACGGATTGCTTCATCTTATCTCTCCCTCCCCCTTTTTATTTTCTTCTTCCTTTCTCAAAACTTCCTTTGTCCATTGATCCAAAACGCACTTGTCTGATTCAGACGCGCTGGTGGCGTGGGTGGCGGAGAACGAGGGACGCGTGTACGCCACAGACTGCTTTATCCTCTCTCCCTCTCTCTTCTTTCTTTCTCAAAAACTTACTCTTCGCGTCCAACCCGAAACTGTTGACCCAGACGCGCTCGTGGCGTGGGTGGCGGAGAACGAGGGCCGCGTGTACGCCACAGACTGCTTCATATCTCTCTCTCACTCCCTCTCCTTTTTCAAAAATTTCCGTTTGTGCCACTCCGAAACTGCTGATTCAGACGCGCTGGTGGCGTGGGTGGCGGAGAGCGAGGGCCGCGTGTACGCCACAGACTGCTTCATCTTCAACACAACAGCCACTGGAACCGCACTGGACGACCAACAAGACTGGCACGTGCTGGGCGGCAGCCAGGTCACCAACCAATCCACGGGCGACACGTGGACCACCGTGCACGCGTGGCGCCTGCTCGACACGGGGGATTGTAATGACCGCCCGATAGTGTCCGGAAAGCTTCACAACATCATCTGGGCCTCGGGTCCCACGGATAAAGTCAGCTACCATGGCTCCACGCGGGGTGGAGGCACCTTAGTGCTCGCTCCTTCGCCAGGCCCCGCCATTCTCCAACCCTCAGCACCGCCCTCAACCACTTCTCCTGCTGCTGCTGGGTCTAATTCGGCTCGAGGGGTCGGGCGGTTGGGAGTGGAGCGGCGGCAAGCAGTGGGGGAGGGGGAGGTGGTGGGGGGAGTCCTTAATTTCACTTTCACGGACTACCCCGTCCCAACCGACCGTTCCTCCTATCGCTGCATGGTACGAACTTGCAATGTGCTCGCTGTGGCGATAGTGGTACCCCTTTTCCCCGTCTCCTTCCCTCCACCCCCTTTTTGAGATGCAACAATCCTAGATTATCCCAGTCCCTCTGACCGTTCATGCGATCGCTGCATGGTACGACCTTGCAAGCAATGTGCTAGCTGTGGCGTGGCAGTAGTGCTGCTACCCCTTGTTCCTCTCTCCTCCCCACCCCCTTTTTGAGACGTCTCAAACCTTGATTGTCCTGACTCCTTCCTCCTCCCCACGGAACGTGTTGCCCCATGTGTAACTTGCACCGCCCATTCACATGTTCCCTTGCGTTGCAACTTGCACGGCAGGTGATAGACGTGCCTCTAGGGAGCAAAGAGCACGCGGTGGAGTGGGGGGCGGTCATTTACACCACCACGTGTAAAATGTGTCGTGTGACATTGTAACGAGGTGACTTTTGAGTCGACTCAAAAGTCACCTCGTTACAATGTCACACGACACATGCCTCTAGGGAGCAAAGAGCACGCGGTGGAGTGGGGGGCGGTCATTTACACCACCACTTATCTCCTTTGTTTGGCCATTCTCATATCACAAGCTTCCCCGCCCATTCACATGTTCGTTGCGTTACACGGCACGACAGGTGATAGACGTGCCTCTGGAGAGCAAGGAACATGCGGTGGAGTGGGGTCCAGTAATCAATACCACCCACGTCGCCTCCTTGCATCACTCCTTCCTCTATGGCTGCTCATCGTGAGTCGCCTCGCCACGCCACCCACATGCATGTAGTCACACACATGTTCTTATCACTGCTTTTGGTGATAAGATAACTGAGCAGGATTCCACTGAAGTTGAACTATAGAGGTTCTTTTCTGCTCTGAACCTCGAAACCACTCATCATTGCTCCACCGCCCTCTACCTGAAATCCAGGAACCAGGATCCACCCACGTGCAACTAGCACATGTCTCTCACCTCCTCTCACCTCCTCTCACCTCCTCTCACCTTCTTGCTAACCTTCCCACCTCCTCTTTCTTCCCCTCATCCACTCACATCCCTTCCCACCTCTCCTCACCCCTTCCCACCCTCCTATCCCAATAGCGAGGAATACCCCGATCTGCTCCCAGCGGGATGATCTTTGACTGTTTAGGGATGGGGAGGGAGCCCCTTATCTCATCTTCTTCACCTCCTCTCAACCCTTTCTACCTCCTCTGACCACTTCCCACCTCCTCTCACCCCACAACAGCGAGGAGTACCCGGATCTGCTGCAATCGGGAATGATATTCGACTGTGTGGGGAGGGAGGGCCCCTTGCGGCACGTTCGTGGCCGTGTGGGCGTGGGGAGGAGAGGACGCCCTTCGCATCATCTTCTCTCACCTCTTCCCACCTCTCACCGCCCCTTCCCATTCCCACTCTCCTATTCTATACCAACAGAGAAGAGTACCCGGATTTGCTCCCATCGGGGATGATCTTTGACTGTGTGGGGAGGGCCCCCTGCAGCACATTCGTGGCAGTGTGGGCGTGGGGAGGCCGCCCCTTCACCCTCCCCCCCAACATCGGCTACCCCATCGGCCCGGGCTACTTCACCAAGTTCGTGCTAGAGGTGGGTGTAGTGCGGTGCTGTGCAGTTAGTTAGTGGTGCTGTGCGGTTCAGCGCAGGGCCCCTTGCAGCGCGTGGGGAGGCCGCCCTTTCACTGTCCCCCCCCCAACGTCCGCTACCCCATTGGCCCCAGCTACTTCACCAAGTTCGTGCTAGAGGTAGGTGCAATGCGATTCAGTGCAGTTCTACGAGGTTCAGTGCGGTTCTATGCGGTTCGGTGCAGTTTAGTGCGGTGCAGGGCGGTGCTGAACGATGTCACCCCACAATTCACTCCAGCGTCTATGCTTAATCCCTCCCCAATTTCCTTCCTTTGTGTGACGAATGCACAACACCAAGGCTTCCCCTGATACCAGTTGGCCCAATCACCCCCAACACCTCCTCCCATCTCCTCCTCCCCTCCCTCTCCCCCCCCCTCCCCTTCAGATGCACTACGTCAATCCCGAGGGCCTGACAGACATAGTCGACAGCTCAGGGCTATACCTGAAGCTCGCATCCTCGCCAGACCTGCAGGACGCACACATCATGAATGAAGGTCGGCCTGGTGGACCACACCAACCTCATCCGCGTGCCATTCCCTCCTCCACCTCCCTTCCCCCCTTCCCCTTTCCCCTCCCTTCCTCTCTCCCCCCCCTCTCCTCCCCCTCCCGCCCCCCTCTCCCCCTCCCCTCCTCCCAACCGCTCAGATGCACTACGTCAATCCCGAGGGCCGAACCGATATCGTGGACAGTTCCGGGCTGTACCTGAAGCTCGCATCCTCTCGGGACCTCCAGGACGCACACATCATGAAGGTCGGCCTCGTCGATCACACCCACCTCATCCGAGTGCCGCCCGGCATGCCCTCGTGGACGCTCGCTAATTCCTGCCCGGGCGAATGCACGGCTGCGGTGTTCAAGAACGAGAGCGTGAAGATTGTTGGGTCGATCCTGCACGAGCATAACATTGGACGGCAGGTGGGTGGGGGAGATTATCAGCACTGGATTTTGAGTCGACTGTAAAGTAAAGTCACTGGGAGTGCACGGCCTCGGTGTTCAAGAACCAGAGCGTGAAGATCGTCGGGTCGATCCTACACGAGCACAACATTGGACGGCAGGTGGGTGGGTGGGATGTTATAGTAGCGCTGGTGCTCACCTCTTTCTGAGTAGATGCAAGAGTCTGCCGCGGTGTTTAAGAACCAGAGCGTGAAGATCGTGGGATCGACACATCTCAGGACGTTCTCCGTCTCTTGCCATCCCATTCCCCCCTTCCTTGCGGTGCCATGCCATGCCACCCACCTACCTCCCTACATCCTACCTTGAGGATTTGAGATCCTCCCTACACAAATCTCCTCTGCATGTGTACACAGAGGTGCTAGGGGAGGGGAGGATGTCTGAGGCGCCTCGAAATTCGTTCCACTCTAAATTCTGCCTCCGTACACGAATTTCCTCTGCAGGTGTACACAGAGGTGCTAAGGGAGGGAAGTGCCGTTGCAACCATCAACCGCATTGACTACTTGTGAGTTCTCCTCCTCCCTTTGCCATGACCACTCTTCACGCGATTTACCCCCTCCTTCACCCCCACCACCGCGCCCCTTCACCCAACCATCAACCGCATTGACTACTTGTGAGTTCTAACTTCTCCCCTTGCCATGACCACTCTTCACGCGATTTACCCCCTCCTTCACCCCCACCACCGCGCCCCTTCACCCAACCATCAACCGCATTGACTACTTGTGAGTTCTAACTTCTCCCCTTGCCATGACCACTCTTCACGCGATTTACCCCCTCCTTCACCCCCACCACCGCGCCCCTTCACCCAACCATCAACCGCATTGACTACTTGTGAGCTCTAACTTCCCCCCTTGCCATGACCACTCTTCACGCGATTTACCCCCTCCTTCACCCCCATCACCGCGCCCTAAGCACCGTTGCAACCATCAACCGCATTGACTACTTGTGAGTTTCCCTCTTGCCATGCCATGACCACTCTTCACGCGATTTACCCCCTCCTTCACCCCCACCCCACCACCGCGCCCCTTCACCCAACCATCAACCGCATTGACTACTTGTGAGTTCTCCTCCTCTCTTTCCCCGATTTATCTCTAGTTTACCTCCTTTACCCGCACCACCACTTTTTTTCACGCAACCGTCACCCGCATTCACTACTTGTGAGTGTTTTCTTGCCAACCCTCCTACCCTCCAGCTTTTCTACCTTCCTGACTGTCTACCTTCCTGATTGTCTACCTTCCTGACTGTCTACCTTCCTGACTGTCTACCCTTCAGCTTTTCTACCTTCCTGACTGTCTACCCTCCAGATTTTCTACCCTCCTGATTGTCTGCCTTCCTGATTTTCGATCTTGCTGCCTTCCTGAACCGTGTGCGTGGTGGGTGGCAGTGACTATGCATCGCAACAGACCATGCCGGTACAGCCCGAGTTTGAGCTGCTGCCAGGGGATGAGATCCGCACCACCTGCGTGTGGGACTCCACCTCTCGCTCCAATGTAAGTAATGCGATTACTATGGGGCTCTGCGGCCTCTAAAACCCCCAGGTCACAGTGTTCAAGGTGCCTCAAAACAAAAGCCCCGAGGTGACAAGGTTTGAGGTGCTTCTGAACTGGTTTGAGGTTTGAGCTGCTGCCAGGCGACAAGATCCGCACCACCTGCGTGTGGGACTCCACCTCCCGCTCCAATGTATGCACCACCTCTCAAACCCCCGAGGCCGCGATGCTGAAAGTGCATCAAAAGCCAGATCTTGTGACATATCTTCGAGTGAGCAGCAGTGCTTAGGAAAGTGCTCAGGAAAGTGCTCAGGAAAGTGCTTAGGAAAGTGCTTAGGAAAGCTCTGCTGCTCACAAGATATGTCACAAGATCTGCTAACCCCCGAGTCCACGATGCTGAAAGTGCATCAAAAGCCGCGAGGGCCTCAAGAGTTCTCAAATTCTGCCTCCCGCCTTGCTGCCTCCCTCCTCCTTATTCTCTGCTCCATTCTTTTAACTTCCCTGTCGGTCCGTCCCTGCAGGTAACGGTGGGAGGGCCAGCAGCTGAGAATGAAATGTGTGTGAACTACCTCGTGTACTACTCCGCAATGCAGGGCCGAAGTAACCCTTTTTTCTCTCTGTTTTACTCTCTCTCTCTCTCTAACTCCCTGCAGGTAACGGTGGGAGGGCCAGCAGCTGAGAATGAAATGTGTGTCAACTACCTCGTGTACTACTCCGCAGTGCAGGGCCGAAGTAACCCTTTTTTCTCTCTGTTTTACTCTCTCTCTCTCTCTAACTCCCTGCAGGTAACGGTGGGAGGGCCAGCAGCTGAGAATGAAATGTGTGTGAACTACCTCGTGTACTACTCTGCAACGCAGAGCCGAAGTAACCCTTTTTTCTCTCTGTTTTTACTCTGTCTCTCTACCTCCCTGCAGGTAACGGTGGGAGGTCCAGCAGCGGAGAACGAGATGTGTGTCAACTACCTCGTGTACTACTCCGCAGTGCAGGGCCGAAGTAACCCTTTTTTCTCTCTGTTTTACTCTCTCTCTCTCTAACTCCCTGCAGGTAACGGTGGGAGGGCCAGCAGCTGAGAATGAAATGTGTGTGAACTACCTCGTGTACTACTCTGCAACGCAGGGCCAAGGTGACCCTTCTTTCCGTTTCCGTGTGCTTCAGTAGTGCTCTCCTTGCATTTAACCACACACTCCCTGCAAATCACCCCCCACTTCTTGCAAAACACACTCTCCCGGCACGTCTTCCCACCTGCACCAACCCCTCCCCCCATGCAACCAGAGATGCACGCATGCTACACGGTGTGTGGGGCGATGGGCAACGCTACCCTCACTATCGACCCCAGCCACGCCAACCTGTCCTTTCCTTGCCCTCTGCTTCCTCCCTCCCCACACCTGCTCTTCCCCCTGCAACCAGAGATGCATGCATGCATGCTACACGGTGTGTGGGGCAATGGTCAACGATACACTCACTATCGACCCCAGCTTGTAGACCTCTCTACGCACTACGTGTGTGGGCCGGGGCACAACCCCTACATCCCCACCAACCTCTCTTCCCGTTCCTCCCTGTTCCTTCCCTCCCTCCCTCCCTCCCCAACCCTTCTTCCAGAGATGCATGCATGCTACACGGTGTGTGGGGCGATGGACAACGACACACTCACTATGGACCCCAGCCACCCCAACCTCTCTTTTCCTTCCCCCCTGTTTCCTCCCTCCTCCCCACCCACTCCCCCGAAACCAGAGATGCATGCATGCTACACGGTGTGTGGGGCGATGGACAACGACACACTCACTATGGACCCCAGTCGCCTGGACCTCACCACGCACTACGTGTGTGGGCCAGGGCACAACCCCTACATCCCCACCGGCAAATCCTGCGTTATCAGCTACGGCTGCAACGACAATGTCACAGTCCTCTATGGCTGCCCTGATAAGTGAGTGCAAACCACTGTACCGCACTTCACCCCGCTCCACCCCACTCCACCAGTTATGAGATGCCTCAAAACGCCATCCCCACCAACCATCCCTGCGTCATCAGCTTCGGCTGCAACGGTCCTATCATAGTCCCCCATGGCCGCCCCTCTCAGTGAGTGTCTTCCCCCTCTTTCCCCTCCTCCCCGCTCTTCCTCCGCCCCACCCACCCACAACCCACTGCAGGACCAAGGTGTCTCTCTCAACCATTCCAATCGATGACATCTCAACACCGCTCCTACCCGGCAGCACTCTCTCCCCTTCTTCCCTCGCCAATAACGCTGCTACAACTGCAAATACCAATGGGGATCTCTCCACCGCCAACACCAATGCTCTTGCTTCCGCCGCCAATGCCACTGCTGTTGTTTCCCCCGCCAAGACCAATGCAAAGGCTGCCCCAGCAGCAGCAGCTGGCAGTTCTCTCACATTGATGCTTCTGCTCTCCTCCTTAACTGCCTCTTTTGTTTTCTAATGGTTGCTTATGGGACAACTTACCGTTCTTGTTGTACACATGTACGCGGTGTGCAATGTAACGCAAAGTAACTAACAGTCGTTTCCTTACAATTCTGCAAAGAGGGACGATGAAACACTGTTGCCACTTTTCCCGCTGTGCCACCTACCCCAACAACCTGGCTACCATGGTCACCCCATTGGGGTTCGCAAATGTAACGGAATCACAAACAACCACCGCAGCGACTCTTCGCGTTTTCGCGAATCAGTGCCTCGACTTCCACGTTGGCGAATCGTTCGTCACGGGCCCCTCCGTTCGTCGCAAACCTTGGGAGTGGCGAGCTGAACGACATGAATCAGTTTCAGCGATTTCCGACGAACAATAGCATAGCACACCAGCTGGTTCCCTCCACCCCCTCGGGATCAGCTGGTTCCTCGAAGTGATAATCGACATCAATCCTTGTCCCTTGTATCCGTCCCTTCGGCTCATCCTTTGTTGACACCATCGCCTCGAGATCATTCCCTCGGTGTCATTCCCGCTTTTGGTCGTTTTGAATGGCGGCACACACATTCTGGCCAGGTTGTAATGTAACACCATCATTTCGTAAGCGTCCATACATACTTCAGTATGTCAATTCACGCATTCAGCGTCAACTACCTTGACCGGACGCACCAGGATATTTTGACCCTCGTCGTAGTTCCTCATGACTCCAGCGTGTAAACGATGCGCAGCTCTCACCTCATCCTCCTCCTCTCACTCCTCGCCTTTCCCCAGCCATCCACCCCATCCGCGCAACTCCCAAGGCCAGCAACCTCCTCTCTCTGGTTGCTCGACGCGCGCCCGTCCGGCCTTGTGAGCGTCACTCCACTCTTGACTCGATCCGTTGGCAGCTTCCGGAGCGATTCGATCTCCCTTGCTAGTTTTGATGCAACTGCTAAACAGCAAACGCGCCTCGGGGATGCGAGTCTGGTGGGAGGTAGTATGAGCGGAAGCCATGAACAACTGGGAGCTTCAGGAGCACTCCTTGCGCACAGCGAGCCTTTCTCTCGAAGAGCCTTGGATCCTCGAGGGATTGTGACTGTAGACGAGGCTCGGACGTCTCGAAATCCTCGCAGAGCCATGGATCCTCGGGAGATTGTGACTGTAGACGAGGCGATGGCACGGACTGTATGGAGAAGACGGGCGGCCGTGAAAAAAACTGCTGGTCTTGTTTCTGCTCCTGCAACTGCTGCTGCCGCTGCTGTTGTTGCTGGTGGTTCTGGTGCAAGTGGTTTTGGTGCTGGTGATGGGGGTGGTTCTGTAGTCAGTGGTGCGACAGTCTCTGCTGGCGCTTCAGATTCTGCGAATCAGCAGCTTCCTATCAAGTACCATGGCGGGAAACTAATGACTCGGCCAATCACGGTGTATATAGTATTCTATGGCTCCTGGCGCAAGAGCCAGATGCGCATCGTTAATAACTTCATCCATTCGCTCTCTAACACGACCACCACGCCCAATTTAAGAAAAGCAGGAGGGTCAGTGCGTTTCCATTCCTCTGCTATGTACATTTTTATGCGTGATCCCACGCTATATGTGTGCATCTGCCATCCATTCTCCCATTGTCGCTTCTGCACTAACTTGGATTTCCAACTGACATGGCAGGAAGAGAATCTTGCGAGGGTGGCGGATTGGTGGAGGATCAACACGTGGTACACTCAGAAAGGCAGGAAACGAGTGACCTCCCAGGTGAGCCTGTCCCTCCTAGTCAAGTCGATGGACTTTCTTTCTCTACCAAACCCATCTATCTTTTGTTTTCAACTTACTTCCCTCTTCGATCTTCTTCGCTCCCCGTCTCTCACCACCTTCTCACCGTTTGTAGCTCTTGAATTATCCCATGTGTTGTTGCCCACGCACCTGCAGGTTCGTCTGGGAGGGTCAGTGCGAGACAGGTACTCTCTTGGGAGGGACGTATCTAATGACATGCAAGGAGTATGGAACAGTGAGATACTGTAGCAGTTTTCTAAAATCACAACTTCCTTGTGTTTCCGTTTTTTCCTTCCTCTGATCTCCTCTTTCATAGTCATTTTCCACCTTCTCACGCTTTTTCCTTCTTTCATATTTTCCCTAATCCCGTATTTCTTTCAACACTGCCATTTTCTTCTTTTTCTTATCTTCAACCATGCATTTTTTCCTTTCCCAACCTCCTCCCCTTCTATGTTGTTATCTTCCACCCAAGCCCTCTCGCAGTTATTGCTGCTCAGCTAGCCAACCGAACCTTCCCCCGATCCTCTCGAGCCCTGTACCTCGTCCTCTCCAGCGTGGATGTCAGGTTCGGATCCTCCCGACCCAACACCGGCTTCTGCCGAACCTACTGCGGGTGGCACTCATACGCGGAAGTCTCCCGGAAGATTCTCAAGTTCGCATTCGTGGGGAACGCGGAGGAGCAGTGTCCCAGTGGGTGCAGGAGAGGGTTTGGGATGCGGGGGAGTGCGAATGGGTGGAGAGGGGTGGACGGGATGGTGAGCATCGTGGGGCACGAGATAGCAGAAGCGGCCACGAATCCTGTTTTCACCCGGGGGTGGTTCGATGATGACGGGCAGGAGAATGCTGACAAGTGTCAGGTGCGTGGGGGGGAGCAGGGCAAGGGGGGAAGGGGGAGGGACACAGGAGGGAGGGAGGGGAGGGGAAGGGAGTTATGTATAATGATTTTGTCACAGGATGATGGGCAAATCAGAAAGAAACATGCATTTAGAGTCAACACCCCGCCCCGTACCACCCCCGCTCATGCTCATTGATATCCCTTGGACCTTAGGAGTAGCAGCATGAGGAAGAAGGGAACAGCTATGCCTACACGAGGATGGGATGTACGCTGCTACATCACCTGTATTTCCCCCTCCCTCTTTGCTGTCATCCTCACCCCTTGCCTTCTTCAGATTGACTTTGGCCCTGCCAGCAGCATCAGGACTGTTGGGGACAGGTACGCCTACAACATGGTGGGGCAGGGCGGCATGCGCTGGCTTATCCAGTCAAACTGGCGGCCGGGCGGCAAGGAGGCAGGGTGTGTACTCCAAGGGCCGAGGGAGAGCGAGGTGGAGGAGTGGGCGAGGGAGGAGAGAGCGAGAAACAACAGGAAACGGGGGAGGAGGAAGAGGAAGAGGGTGAGGGTGAGTGGGTCTTCCCTAGGGAGTGCAGATAGTGTGTATGTGAGCAGGGCTGGGTTGTTCGGTGGAAAAGGGTTTCGTTTCGAGTTGTCTACAAAATCAGTTGGTTTTATTGGCTTGGGTGTGAGGGATGCGGAAGAATGCAGCAGCAGCAAGAGGTACTGGTCTCCTGGGTTGACTGAAATGTCACTGGTGATTCGAGGGGGGCACAGGTATCCATGGCACCAGCAGCAGCATCAGGGACCAGAGTGGTAGAGTATCGGTTAGGCTATCTCATTGGCTGGTGCGAGCAGCAGCAGTGGCAGCAGCAGCCACAGCAGCAGCAGCAGCACTAGAGGGTGGCACTGGTATCCCTGGCACCAGCAGCCGCATCAGGAACCAGTAAGGCAGAGTATCGTTAGGCTACCTAACTCATTTGTCGGTGTGAGGGCAGGCTGACTGCTCTTGCACAGTGGCCAGGCCGTCCCAATGTCTACAGGGGCCAGTCGAGTCCCGATATAGGGATGTTACGGTATATGAATTATTGCCTTCATTCGGTTATTCATTCGTCACACGAGGTATTTGTCAATCAACCTGCCTGATGATTGGCTGGAATGAAAACGGGCAGATCGCTCTTGCACGGTGGCTAGGCAAGCCATTCAGAGAGGTATTAGGTTGTTTAGAGTGGTATAAAATTCTTAACAGATGCCTCATGCATTATGTGTACCCCATGTATCACATATCGTATCCCACCCTATCATGCTGTTTGAGTGTGAGGGTGTGCTGAATTCTCTGCATAAGAATAAATTCCTTGTACGGTATAAATTAGATAGTGCACATTGGGTGCAGTAACAAACTCGGATTATCCGGGCACACAAAGCTTGCTATATACGGGACTAAAAACAGAATGCCTCGGTGTAATCCAAAACTAGCTTCTAAAGCTTCTCCTGGCTTGCCTGGGTTGCTTTGCATGAAAACACCCATTGTCAGCACGCAACACAGCCTTGGTACGCACCCCTTGCCAGCATACGCCGTAGGTAACAAGCAAACACTAGGCTTTCCCCTCTCCTGTTTCCAATCCCTGGGATCTCTCGCCTTCACTTCAGTGACCAGCACGGACCCTCACCCCTGCTTCCCCTGCCCGCTCATCAGTCAGGTAAACCATTATCCGACCCCCGCCAACCCTTCTGCTTCCCGCCGTTCACCTCGGCGGTTCAAGCACGTTCCACCACGAGTTGTCGCGCTGCCCAGTGCTCGCAGAGCCCTCTGTCGTGGCCAATGGCGGGGACGGGTCTGTGCGCTTCCTGTGCTTCCTCTGCTGCCGCCGCTCGTTCCTCTTGAACATCTGGAGCGAAACTTCCGTGAACCCCCCAGCCTCCTGCGTGCCGGACCTAGCCATCAGGTCCGTCACCCAGACCTGCGGCTCATCCCCCTCAAAATGCGCAGGCTTGGGCACAAACAGCCCGTTCCGAATCTCCTTGATCAACCTCGCCTCCCGCGTGTGGAAAAACGGGTGCGCAAGCGCAGCCTTGGCATTAATCCTCTTTCCCCCTTCTTTCCGCAACATCGACTCTAGCAACCCCCAGCCATGGCCGCCATTTTCATCTAGAAGCTCAAGTCGCCGCATATCGTCCGCCGTGGCCCGAAGTTCAAGCTTTTCGCGCCAGGCCGAGAGATTGTAGTCGAGCTTTTTGAACTGGCGGGTGAAGGCGGCTAGTCCAGTGTCGGAGCGGAGCGAGGGGAAGATCATTTGGAGGAAGACTAGGCCAGCGCTGTACATGTCAAAGCGATCCGGGTGGTTCATCTGAGGGGTTCAGGGGAAAGAGACGGAGGGGCACAAGGGATGGGGAAGGGGTATTGAGCGGAGGGAGGGGAAGAGCATTTGGAGGAAGACTAGGCCTGCGCTGTACATGTCAAAGCGATCAGGGTGGTTCATCTGCGGCGGGGGGGGAGGGGGGACAGGGGGACGTGGGGGGGAGAGGGTCCAACAGTGAAAAACGAGGAGAGAAACGGGGGAGGGAGGGAGGTGCTGAGTGAATGGTGGTGGGTAGGGGTATGCTGCAGCGAGTGGTTTGTCAACAGGGTAAGAGATGATCCGATAATGTGATAACGGGTATGAGGGGGGAGGTTTTACCTGCCAGAGGATTGGCGCAAGGGCGGCAGCAACAGGGGCAGGAGGCACGCTGGGTGTTTGCGTGCTCATAATGTACTCTTCTGGTGCCGCGTATCTGATGAGGAAAGGGAGTACAAAGAGGTGCGGAAGGGTGCAGAATGGTTGGGTGCTCAAGATGGGCACACAAGTCGACTGAAGACAGCTGACCTACTCTAAACAGCTCGCTGCAAGTCGAGCAGATACCAGTCGCAACAGTCGCGGGTGGGAGTCTCGGATCTGGCTTGATGCGCGGCTAGTGGCTCACCGCGGGTCCAGCAGATACTGGTCGGGGTCGTAGTTAATCCCAACGCGCAGATCCGCCGCAGCGCCGAGATCGATGATCTTAAGCGCGCCTTTATCCTTGCAGTAGATCATGTTCTCGGGCTTCACGTCGCGATGCACGATGCCCTGACTGTGGAGCTTCTCCAGGGACGTGAGAAGACGGCGCATGATCTCGCGTGCCACGTGGAGCTCCCTCTCCGGGCCACGTGGCTCGTCCGCCGCCGGCGTTTGCGTGCCGAACAGCGTCTGCTCGATCTGCTCATGGCAAAACAAAACACGATGTACGTGTTAAACGGAAGGTCGGAAGGGTGCGAATACACATGCGCATTAAACCATCAGCCGCTTCGAAAGGCAGAAGGTGGAGATACTCCGATGTGTCTCTTAACTCACGTTGTACGGGAAGTCGCGGTCCGTGAGGATATCAGCGAACGTCGAGTCGCCTTCGTATCGCCACACAAGCCACACCTCGCCGTCAGTCGCGGTGGAGGACGCATCCTTTTGCTCCTTCCCCGCGCCAGTCTTCCGCTTACTCCCCGGCGCTCGCTCCATGAATCCGCCCAGAAACTCCGCGCACACGTCCGGGCACGCGCGCCGCACGCGCTCGTTCATCCAGAGCTCCACGTCACCGAACTCAGTGACGCGCTTCACGATCACCTTGTAATCCGGATCCTTCGCGAGCGTACCGACGTACACCGATCCGAAACCACCCTCGCCGATCTTCTTTCCGAGCACGAGGTCCGATCGCTTGTAGGTTTTGCGAAAGAAACGGTCGATCTTAGCGAGAACGAACATGTCCCAGTAACCCGCCGCGACTCCCGGCGTGGCCCAGAGATACGCGCCGACTTGAAGCAGAAGCGCCGCGCCGGCCACCGTCAAGTGGTGCTCGTGCGCCAGACTCGAGAGGTAAATCGCGTCGCCGCATTCCATGACGTTACATGGTAACCCGAGTCCCACAGCGAGGGTCATTAACGAGTTCACGTCGTGTGGAGCCGCGTCGCTCACGGACTTGACGGCGGTTACAAACGCTTCGAGCTCTTCGGGGCCCAGACCCGCGCCGCCGGTGAGATCGCATCGCGCGGTGAGCGCACCGCTGCGTTTGGCCCCGTGCCTGGCGGAGAGGTGCTGCGCGACGGAGCGAAGGAGCCGCTGAGTGGCTGGGGAGGATGCGAGGAAAGGAGTCAGCTTTACGCTGGTCGCGGTGGGGATGAGGCGAGAAGACGCTATCGCGGCTGGTGCCGGCGATATCAGGAGACGCGCTGATGATGCGGCCGCCATCGGTAGCAGGTTCCGATGTTACAAGCTTAATAAGTTACAGATATATAGGTCGTTTGGCCTAGGTGATGACAAAGGGCGTCTGCAGAAAGGTCATGTACTCGTTTACTGAGATCTAGGTTGAAGCCGTCACTGGATCTACTTTCTCACGATGCAAATGAGAAGCAGTACGCTTTATGCGGAGAAAGCGATGAGGGGTAGCCGCAGCTCGAGTTACGAGTGGATTTGGATTAGCGCTAATGGGAGGCTGAGGAAGGTTGGGGTGCTAAAAGATCAGGCACGGAAAGAGCCGAAGCTGGAAGGGAAACCGAGCCGCGATTTGTAGGCTGCTAGCGGAGGAGCCGAACCAAGACGAGGTGAAGTGGTTGGAGGATAATTGGCTTGGTAGGTGGTCTGTTTGTTGTGGGGGTAGTTTCGTTAGATGGCGGTACGCAGCTGATTAGGTTGACCGTGGATGGCACGTGGTGATGAGGCCATCGGCTGCGTCGTGCTGGCATGGGTCTATTCCAACTAGACGCGGTACGGGTGAGGTGACCGCACCAATTGTCCAAGCCTCGTATGTAAGCTTGGACCCCGGCGGGAATCTGGTGCAACCGTTGGGGTGACGGGGTTCTGTTTTCTAGGCGAACCTGATCATACCGAGCCTTCTGTTTTCTGGCTTTCCGAGCCGCATTAATTCCAGCAAAGAAAGGCGAAAGTGACAAGGAAACGGGAAGAGCGCGTGCTCTGGCAGGTTCCACGGGTCAGTCCAATCAGCGGAGTTTATTTTCGTGCGTCGGATTGGTCAATGATTCTCAGCCATGCTTGAGGATTCGAAACAGTTGCGTGAAAAAGTCGCAAAGCAAAGTGTGGTTGTTTGCTGTGCTGCGCTGTTCGCTCCACGCAGCTGGTTGGTTGCTGGAACTGCTCATTTTTCACACACGAAAGGAATTTTGAAATATCCGGGGGAAGACAATCTTGCGGCTGACATCAAGCGTGCGCTTTTTGAGATCTGACCACGTCATTCTAGCCAATTTCTGTGGGGGACCAGCAAAGACGGTGGCCTGAGGTTGCACCGTGCTGGCGGAGACGGCGCGAACTTTTTCCTGATTTCTGCGTCGCTGGAACATGCGCTGGAATCGTGTGTGGAGGAAACAGCCCACCTGGATGCCGTTGGTGTAAAATGTGAGGTCATATCGGTGGCCAATCATACAGGTGGAAAAGGAACTGATCCAACCTCCTCCATAATATCTCCAGAGCCACGAATGTCAACGCCTCAAGTCAACAACCAATGGTGTGGTGAGTCATGACTCAGGACGTACGGAGTCGGCTGAAGAAAGCAGTGTCTTTGGTACAGTAATTTGCGCACTAAAATATCAAACGTGTAACTTCTATTTCCTTTCAGTTTTTCAAACACTTAAAACCAGCAGGCATTCATGTATATTGAAAAAATCAGATGAAGAGCTCACCATGATGTATTCCAGAGCCCCAACAACGATTCCAGAGCTCTATACAAAGAAAATAACCAGAGTTGCCGCGCTTGTAGCTCCTTGAATACTAAATCCCTCAGTTGTGAAGGGTGCTTGCTTTGTCATGCACGAGACTCCAGCTGGATCCAGAGATTTGTAAGTCGCTAAAGGCATGCATGCCACGTGCTGCATGCCAAATAATTCATGCTTGCCTAACTGCTGCGTTCGCATTTACGTGAGTGTGGTGTAGAGCTCGTCAATTGCCGCTTGGTACTTGCCCTGGAAAGGATAGGAAGGGAGCAGATAGAGAAACCCCTCAACATTTGTGAACACATTGACACGCTAACTCGCACTCACATACAGAAGCAGATGGAGAGGGAAGGCTGAGCGCGTAAGAAACAGAAAGGCTTCTCAATAAAGAATAGTGCCCCACAAAGGAGCATCATAAGGGCAAGCGAGAATGCTTGCTTGGGATAAACACATCGCAACTCCAACGGTGCCGCAACACCACCTTCAGCTTGCAACGAGTGGCAGCTCAACAGCACCCACCTACCCTTGACCCTGCAGCATTGTGCCTCAGTGCCCTGGGCAAACCTCAGTGCCCAGCTCAAATTCGCCTTGAGGCTGAGAGGCTGAGCAAAAAGGGGTCGACATCTCAGCAGCACCCACCTTGAGCTTGGGGCGCTTGAGCTTGAAGGGAGGAGTTATGAGGTCGTTCTCAGTGGAGAGGGCCTGTGCCTCCAGAGCCACACCCACCTTTGAGCCATGCATACCCTTGACCCAGCAGATCTGCGTCTCAAAGGTCAGCACTAACCTCAGTGCCCAGCTCGCACCCACCTTGAGCTTGGAGCGCTTGAGCTTGAAGGAGTGCTTCATGAGGTCGTTCTCAGTAAAAACACTCTGCCTCCAGAGCCACACCTACCCTTGAGCCTGCAGCTTTGCACACCATATGGCAGGAGTAGACCCAGTGATCCTCACACCCACCTTGAGCTTCGGGCGCTTGAGCTTAAAGGAGGGAGTCATGAGGTCGTTCTCAGTGGTAAAGGCCTCGGCCTCCAGGGTCACGCCCCGCACTACCTCAAACCCCTTCATGCTCGTTGCCTTGGCCCGCTTCACCAGCTCATCCAGGACATACTCCCTTGCTCCCGGGAGGGCGCAGCTGTGGAATAGAAAAAGGATGTTGCAGGGGGGAGGGAGGGTGGTGCCACATTCTCAAGCCATGCATATCACCACCTCAAAGCAACCCCTTCATGCTCGTTGCCTTGGCTCGCTTCACCAGCTCATCCAGGACATACTCCCTTGCTCCCGTGAGGGCGCAGCTGGGGACAGGAAGAGAGGGGAGCACAGGGGTGGGAGGGGGTAGGGAGGGTGGTGTTGAATTCCAAAGCCACACCCCTCTCCAGCTCACATGGCCATGCAGGCATGAGGGGCTTGGGGGCATGAGGAAGAACATGCACCTATGAAGGGCACACAGCTATGAGGGGAAGCAAGCTAAGCAGGAAAAGAAAGCTAAGCAGGAAAAGAATGCACTCTCACAGGTCAGCAAGGGATGCCGTGGCAGCCTCGTCAGCAGAGAGGGCTCCTGATGACGTGGCCCAATCAGAGAGCACGTCCTTTTCAGGCACCACCACCGCCACCAGTGAGGACTTGAAGCTGAGCCACATGGGCAGGGGGTTGAGGGACAGGCAGGGTGACGGGGGAACAGGGGCAGGCAGGGCGTGGGGCGGAATGGGAGAGGGGCAGGTGAGAGCAGGTGAAAATAAATTGGTAAGAGTGTGAGTGCATGGGGGAGAGATACTTGCCAGCATATGGAGGAAATCTGAAATCTTAATCTGATTCACACAGCTAGTGGCAACAAGGAGAATTCGACTTCACCTGTCACCCTACACAAAGATCTGGCCCACCACTGCAGCACCGGCATACAGCACCTCGTCGTTTGAGGCGCCTCAACATATGTGGCGCGATTGGTTGAGGCGCGTCAAGTAGCGAGCATCGCACCTGTCGCCATACACAAAGACCTGAGCCACCACTGCAGCACCAGCGAGGTGACTCTTGAGGGGACTCAGAAGTCAATTGTGCGGGGCGGGTCAAGCAGCGAGCATCTCACCTGTCGCCATACACGAAGATCTGGCCCACCACTGCAGCACCAGCATACAGCATATGGTCGTTTGAGGCGCCTCACCGTTCGTTTTAGGCGGGTCCAGCAACGAGCATCTCACCTGTCGCCATACACGAAGATCTGGCCCACCACTGCAGCACCGGCATACAGCACCTCGAGCTTCTCTGCTGCCACGTACTGCAGGGGGGGTGGGTGGGAGAAGAAATGTGGGATGATTGCGGGTGAGAGAAATCACACGAACAAGCTATTCTATTGTGAACAGTACTGGCATACAGCACCTCGAGCTTCTCTGCTGCCACGTACTGCGGGGGTGTGTGTGAGAAGGGCAGAGATTGTTGTTGTGGGTGTAGACTCAGCTTATCCTCACGTCTGACGTGGAATGAGAATGCCAACCTAAGGCTCGCGAGTGCAGTAAGAATGCCTCACCTCCCCTCCCCTCCGCTGCCACCTCACCTCGCTCTGACCCACCCTCCCCTCGCCCCGAGCACAGCCCTCCCCTCGCCCTGTGTGTGCCTCCCCTCGCCCTGTGTGTGCCTCCCCTCGCCCTGTGTGTGCCTCCCCTCGCCCTGTGTGTGCCTCCCCTCGCCCTGTGTGTGCCTCCCCTCGCCCTGTGTGTGCCTCCCCTCGCCCTGTGTGTGCCTCCCCTCGCCCTGTGTGTGCCTCCCCTCGCCCTGTGTGTGCCTCCCCTCGCCCTGTGTGTGCCTCCCCTCGCCCTGTGTGTGCCTCCCCTCGCCCTGTGTGTGCCTCTCCTCGCCCTGTGTGTGCCTCCCCTCGCCCTGTGTGTGCCTCCCCTCGCCCTGTGTGTGCCTCACCTCGCCCTGTGTGTGCCTCCCCTCGCCCTGTGTGTGCCTCCCCTCGCCCTGTGTGTGCCTCACCTCGCCCTGTGTGTGCCTCACCTCGCCCTGTGTGTGCCTCCCCTCGCCCTGTGTGTGCCTCACCTCGCCCTGTGTGTGCCTCCCCTCGCCCTGTGTGTGCCTCACCTCGCCCTGTGTGTGCCTCCCCTCGCCCTGTGTGTGCCTCACCTCGCCCTGTGTGTGCCTCACCTCGCCCTGTGTGTGCCTCCCCTCGCCCTGTGTGTGCCTCACCTCGCCCTGTGTGTGCCTCCCCTCGCCCTGTGTGTGCCTCACCTCGCCCTGTGTGTGCCTCCCCTCGCCCTGTGTGTGCCTCACCTCGCCCTGTGTGTGCCTCCCCTCGCCCTGTGTGTGCCTCCCCTCGCCCTGTGTGTGCCTCCCCTCGCCCTGTGTGTGCCTCCCCTCGCCCTGTGTGTGCCTCACCTCGCCCTGTGTGTGCCTCACCTCGCCCTGTGTGTGCCTCCCCTCGCCCTGTGTGTGCCTCCCCTCGCCCTGTGTGTGCCTCACCTCGCCCTGTGTGTGCCTCACCTCGCCCTGTGTATGCCTCACCTCGCCCTGAGCGAGCTTGAAGATGTTCTTCTTGCG